CAGAAACGCTGCATAATGTTGCCTACAAGTGCCTTGGTTGCCTTGGAATGCATCTCACAAACCTTATGCCTCCTGTGATAATCTTTGGCCTTACTGAGATCTGCCCCACAATCCTCAACTTGACAAACGGCACGGTTAGAAGTTGGTCCAGACAACTTGATCTTTTTCCCAATGGTTCCATCCAAGGTTTGCAGTTCCCTGTCATTACTAGGAAATCGTCGTTCTCCAAGCTTCAAGGTAAGAGTACCAGTCTCACCACCTTCAAGGTTATCTTCCTCAACCACAATAACCCTCTGCCGCTTTTCCAATTCTCTTGTCTCTTTCTCAGACCCAATATTTACTTCATCGGAGCAAGAGGAGGAACTATTGGAGGTGGATGACACCACGGCTGTGGAGATTCCAGTTTCAAGTGGGAAAAACTGCCTGCTCTGGTAATTTGATGATGGGTTGGGATTGAGAGGTCTGGCAAGGAAAAGATGGCCATCCCATTTCCAATCACTGGGATCCCACTCCAGACTCCTTTTCCCCACCGCTCTCAAATCCGCTGCACCCAAATCATAAAAGAGTTGAGCTTGACCTCCAATTCTGGCCTCCATTTATGGGATTACCAGATTTCCAACACTCTAATATTGATAAAAGCCCCCAAAATACTATAAAGAAAGAAAATTAAAAAAGTCGAAATCTTTTAGCAGGCACAACAGATCAGAGTCGAAAATTCCCAAATCTCAGCCAAAAGGAGAAAGACCTTAAATGAAGCTAATCGGCCTCAGTTCGGCCCCAGAAGTCAAGAAACACTACAGAAATAGATCCATGGTTCCAATTAAGAGCTACCCACATGCCCGTCTCCTAATTAAATTTTGAAAAAGCTCAAATCCGCTCAGTCTTGATAACGAACTGCCTCCATACCTCAATTAAGCAAATTGAGCACCGTAAATTCATTAATGAAATGAAATCAGTTAAAACTCGGAGTTGGGAGAAAAAAATAGATACAACTAAATCTTACAGGAACGACCGAGATAAGGATGGACGGAAAGCGGCGAACGGCGGGGAGTTGGGCAGAGGATGGTTGTAGCTAAAGCCTAAAGCCGAAAGGTTGGGTGGGATGAGGATGATAAGATGGCGAATGTGAATGCCGTGGTGGGGTAGGAAGAGAGAGAGAGAGAGTGGCGAGTATGCTGTTATGTCTGTGCGCGTTATTTTCTTCCCATATACTGTATTTTTTATTCTTTCTTTTTCACCGTTGTTGCATTGACAGTTACCGGCAGCAGGAGTTCTGTTTTTTTGTTTCTTATTTTTTATGTATTTATTTTTTGGGGGGTAATTTTGGCGCACAACCTAACACCAACCAGGACGGCAGGATGCTAATCGATAATGAATTTTTGCACAATATTTTATGATATTTATCACCTTTTGATAAAACAAAACAGATATAATAAAAAGAGGTGTGCCGGTATTTCATTCTCAACAATCAATCATTGAAGGGAATCTCTGAGCTAAGAAGTGGACAATCCTATTCACTAATCGTTTAATAAAAATAATGAAAACGATTAGAAGAAATAATAGAATGTTTTTTTTTTTTTTGCATCCAAAAGTAACAAATCAAAATATATAGGAACCAGGAATGATGTGTGGCATTCAAAGTTCAAACCATGCATGGATCACCTGGAGGGCATCCATTTCAACCTGGAAAAGATCATGATTCAGCCTTTTCATCCATAAAAGAGCTTCAGCTCCCTTAGAGATAATGCTTCAGCCTCCTTCGATTCGGAGTGTATATTCGCATCCATGGAACACTTTTTGCAGCAACAAAGCCTCCATGGTCATCCCAAATAATCCAACCAAATCCCATGACACATATGGCAGCATGCCAGCATCAATATTAAACTTTAAATAACCCAAACTTGGCTTCCTCCATGTATCAAAGAACAACGGGCGAGCTGAGCTGTCTCATAAGAAATTTCTTCGGTAGTAGCAGCTTTCCATTCACTCAGGTGAGTTTTAATTTAGTTCTCTGATCTCAACAATAGCTCTAGTTGGGGTACGTGTTGGTGTCATTCCAAATGTTTTCATTTCTAGCAATTTAGAGGTACTAACAGATCATCAGTAAAAGACTTTGTTCTTCTTGATTCAACGACCAACTAACCACTCTGAAATTAAATTCATGCATGCTTATGCACCATAGTTGGTTGATAGGTGAGCTTATGATCGACACATTTAATTTTTATATATTTTAATTACAATATTATTTGATAAACAATACCAATTTTTTAAAATTTGATAATATCAATCAAATCTACTTGTTCATATTAAGTAGCGAGTAAACTAATACTTGCTCTTAATTAATTAATATAGAGTGGTATCTTAACTTAATTAATTAGGTACGTAAACCTCCACTCAGTTCAGCTCGCCAAACAATTCCAATCTTTACATACATTCATGCGGATGAGAGGAAGGAGAGTTTGCAGAGGTAGTGCATGCATTGAATTGAAGCTAATATAAGCTAGCAGGTACGTATAGAAGGGGTACAAGAGTTAGTGGAGCATCAATTTTGTAGGTAAATGTAAGTAGCTAGAAATCAAAGACCGGTTTTTGTTGGCAGTTTTGTCTCATTAATTGTGATTACAATACATGTGTATGTGTGTGCATGGCTTTTCTTCAAGGGAACATGCTATGTTCTGCCTACCAAAATCCCACTATCCATCATTTATATTTCTATATACATACATATATACATACTTCAATTCATTATATATATATATATATATATATATATATATATATATAGAGGCGAGTTCAGATGCGGCAGTGCGGCATCACCAATAGTTCAACAAATATACACATCAAAAAATACACCACAAAAAACAGAAGAAAATTAGGTACGCATCACCAAACACACACCATTAGGAGTGAGTAAAAACACCATTGTTCGGAAATACACCATTGGGAGTGGTGAGTTATATGGTGTATTTTTTTGGGTCTATTGTGTATTTTTTATGTTTTATTGCATTTTGTGTGTTTTCCTTACACGGTTGGTGTATTCTGAAATTCTGCCGCACGAAAAGACCTCGCCGTATTTGAACTTTCTTTTATATATATATATATATATATATATATATATATATATATATATATATATATATATTACTGTATACAGTGTGCAATAAGCTAGCTAGCCGATCGAGTTAATATTGTTACAAATTAAAATTAATATTAAATAAATATCATGCTGAATTTTGATTTAATTTGTTTCTCTTAGCTTTTTGCCAACAAATAAAATCTTATCTAGTTACTCAACATGCGTTAAAGTTGTGATGTTTTGATGTAGGAGTTCAGATACATACTAAAAATGGTGCAGGTTGGCATATGGCGTAATGATGCAGACCCCAACTATTGAACCAAAAATGGTGCGTGGTCGCATACTGCATAATGATAATGCAGACCAGCGGAATTTTTACCCGGTTTCACTCACACGGTACATCAGATCACCATTGTAATTAAAATTTGTACTTCATTAACCGTTGAAATTGCAATTCATTAAACACTCTTTATAAAATGAGTTTAACAATTGACTTTTTTTTTTTTTTAAATGAAATAATACCACATTTACTTTTATTTTGTATTCACGGTCATCATAACGCGTTCACAACCTTTTATTAAACAAGTGATATTAACTTTACATACTTTCATTTCTATTCACGATTAATATAACACGTGCAATTAATCTATAAATAAGTTAGACATTTTTTAAGTAAAAATCAGACTTTGTATAAATAATTTATGATGAACAAATATTAGTTTCATTTGTGGAGTCTGATACGAAAATCTATTAAAAAAATATAAACAAAACTATTATAAATTCATAATATTTTATATATTTTAAAATAACAATGGAAATAAAATAATCCATTAAAAAAAATAAAGATCTAATATTACAAATATTCAAATAACCAAAATTATAACAAATTATTTTAGTGCACCCTTAGTTGACTAATAGACAGTTATACTACTTTATTAATTTTATTGTAATTGTAATGCCGGATACAGATATTTTATGTTTTAAGTTTCATTCTTTTGACTTGTGATGGGAACAAACAATTTTTGTGTGTTTTATTTTAAATCTTTGGGACTAGATGCTATTTTTAGATTTTTTTGTATTATTTGTATAGTCGTTATGTTGATTGTTTGGATATTGTTTGTGAACATAAATTATTTATTATTTACGAACGAATTATAACCATGAACATGTGTATGCGTTTGTCTATTTAGTGCTTACGGACATTAACAAACACGTTTGCAAACATATTCATTAACATTAAAGAACATATTCACAAACTTTAACGAGCACATAATAATGAACACTTGAAAAACAAATTAAATATGAACATAATTTTTAAAAACATTAACAAACGAATACAAATATGAATACGAATACTCTAAAAATATTAACAAATGAATATAAATAACCTCTTGTTTGTTCATGTTCGATTCGTTAACCGTTCTATGACCAAGTGTGCAATCCATAGAGGCCACGAGAGCTATTGGGAAGTCCGCATGTGCAACTCAACTGACCATAGCGGTGAAGTTTGAGAAGAATGACAAGGGATCGAGTCTCACTAGCGGAGGAGCAACCTCTCAAAGTGAGAGGCTCATTGTGCGTAGTAAGTAAATGTCTAGTTTCTATGATTCGGTTGTGTTATCATAATTTACATCCTCTCAGATGTTGTGACGGGTCCTTGGGGTTGACGATTCAACCTTTTGGGAAGGTTGAGAGCTATTGGAAAAACCATTGTGTCATTTGAAAGGTTCGAGACTATATCAAGAAAGTAGAAACTAATTCATTCACTTGCTCTATTTATTTTGTTCCTTACAGATATATAAAATAAGGATTATATAAGGATTTTAATTAAAAAAGGATAATTTAAAATTGACTATGTAGTAAATCAGTAATCAGTAATAACATACGAGCAACGAAGTTTCCCCGCTATATTCCTGTTCATATTTGCTTAATTTGCGCATTAATCTCCGGCTTGGAATTTCGGAGCTTCAAAAATCAAAACCCTCAATCTCTCACTCACGCGGTGGCATCCTCAGTGCGTTGAAGAAGGCAGGCTGCTTATTCCATTCAGGTACCGGCTTCATCTCTGTGTTCCCATTTACATACCCAACTGACTGGATTCTATATCTTCTTAGCCATTATATGTCAAGCTCGAACTGCTTTTTCATTTCATGAACTGCTTTTTTCTGAGTTTAATTTCTTCTGTACTAATGTTTGTTCTCATGTTATTATGCTCTTTGTCCTTAAAAGTAGTCAGGAATCTGAATTCCATACATCCATCAGTAGTGGAAATACATGTCCCATTCATTTGCAGAAAGCAACTTGCCAAATCCCTTATGGCAGGCCCCCTTTGTCTGTATGTAGTGGTTGGGAATCATCCCATTAGCACTAAATTTGAACTTTTCCACAACCAGTGCTCCCAGGCGTTGCTATCTACTCCGTATTTACCAGTCACTTGTGGTAACAAGATCATCCCATATTAGAGTTGAACACAATATTCTTTTTCCATCCATAACCACTCACTCATACCCTGAGACAGGGGCTATGAAGTCCTATGACATAAGACATTCAAGACTAGAGAACAGAAACTTACCACGATTGAACTGTGTCCTTGCTGACACTAATTGTTCAATCATTCTTAATCTAATGCTTTCACTTCCTTGTTTGACATTTTACAAGTTTATATGTTTCGTTAATCAATTATTAGATCTATCTGTGAAATTTTGTTATGGGTCTATTTACCTAAGAAAGAATTTTGGTGTAACACTAGTTAAGTATCAGATTCCAAAACATTCAAGTTTAATCAAATTTACTAAAAACTATATATTCTCAAATACTGTTTTGGACTTTCAATCAAAACAGTACTCTTGAGATCGAAGGGAAATTTGTATTATACAAAGTATGGAGTACTCCGTAATAAATAAGAAGGCACTGTCTCACTGAACTATTTCTGATTGCATCTTGATTGTCTATAGGTTGAAGAAAAATAAATGATCATTTGCATATGAAACACTTATTAATTGCATTGGAGAAAATAACTCAAGTCCAAGTGCTAATTTTTTGTCCTATGGCTCAACTTTCGAGACAGCTTCAACCATTTGAATCTTTTATCCTGTCGTCAACTTCTTTGCACTGTGTACACTGCACATTGTTCAATGCTACAATAAAAGCATCTTTCTTATGGGACAGATCATTTCTGATGTATCTATTCTATGCTTAGATCAATTCCTTTCCTTAGAAGAAACTATGGCTTTTTTTCCCCTCTTGAATATCTGCATGCATTTTTACTTATTTTAATACCAATGGAAACTACATTCTAAATGAGAATTTTTTAAATTTTTTGCAGAGAATATTAGGACAACAACCCATGAGCTGCTTTAACTGTTGTGAGGAAGATGATTTCAATAAGACTGCTGATGGGGGAGACTTGCATACTGTGAAAAGTTCAATGGGTAAATTAGCCCAATTTATTTTGTCTGTAATATAGGGCATGAATTAAAATGTTACGACTTTCTATGGAAGGAAAAGAAAGGAATCTACTTGAATTTTTCGGTTGGTCTCCCTCACATCAATTTGGCCTTAGGAAATGATTTCATTGACAAAATATGCTCCAATTTCAATTTCAGTACCTTGGTGAACATGTCTAGTTACTTTTTATTACCAAAGTTTTGCTGTCCTTTCTGCTCTTCCTTTATATTTATTTCTGGTCTTTGATATATTTAATTATGTATTTATTTCTGGTATTGGCAGCTGAATTAGAAGTGATAGTAAGGTTGATATTTCCTTGCAGGTAAAAATGGAACTCAACACAGCAAAGATGCGTCAACCGGTGGTGTTCAAGCTGTGAAAGTTCAGCCTATTGCAATCCCTGCAATACCAATTGAGGACCTTAGGGAGATCTCAGATAATTTTGGGACTACTTCTTTAATAGGGGAGGGTTCATATGGAAGAGTATATTATGGGGACCTCAAAAATGGGAGGGCTGCTGCAATTAAGAAGTTGGATGCAAGCATACAACCAGAAGATGAATTCTTGGCACAGGTGCTACTAAATATCTGGACCAATTTTTTACCTCACTGGATAATACTGCTAAGCACTTGATGTTTACAGGTGTCTATGGTTTCAAGGTTAAAACATGAAAATTTTGTTGAACTACTTGGTTATTGTGTTGATGGAAATCAGCGTGTACTTGCTTATGAATTTGCATCAAATGGATCACTTCACGATATTCTTCATGGTATGACATAGCATTTCTGAATTGTTTTTCAGCATAGTTATTCTTGTCATTCTTCTCTTGTGCTATTTTTTTGCCTTATGGACTTCCATGCAACACTATTGTTGAATTGTTATGGAGGAAATTCCCAACATTAAAGTTGTTCATATGATGCATGATCAGTTTAGTTTATTACAATTCCAACTTGTGGGTTTTTATTTTTTTTAAAGCTTGAGCATACTTTTCTAGATTGGTTTTGCTGAATATCTACTAGAATGATATGCAACAATGAAATTATGCCATTCATTTTGGTTTTTATTATTACCGAGTATTATTTTTTGGGTAGTTTAATTGTAAAAGAAACTATTAGGAAAAGAGTATGTACATTTTACCCTTTATCATTTTCCAGCGTATTCACACTGTCTGAATATGTGATGGAGTAGATTTTAATGTTTTTACTTGTATGTTTTAGGGAGGAAGGGAGTAAAAGGAGCTCAACCTGGCCCTCTGCTTTCCTGGGCCCAGCGAGTTAAAATTGCTGTAGGAGCAGCTAAGGGCCTTGAATATCTGCATGAAAAAGCTGAACTTGAACTTGTGCATCGAGATATCAAATCCAGCAATGTACTAATTTTTGATGATTATGTAGCTAAAATTGCTGACTTTGATTTATCCAATCAGTCTCCTGATATGGCAGCGCGTCTTCACTCAACTCGTGTCCTTGGGACATTTGGTTATCATGCTCCTGAGTAAGTTCTCATAAGTCATACCTACTTTATCAAATTGCTTGTATTCTTCTCTCCCCTACGTACGCCAATGTTACAATATGTAGGAAATGTCAAACTATTAATCTTTGTGTCCTCTCATGTTTTGAACTGATTACATCATTGGTATATGTTGGAGCATCTTTAATTCTTATTTTTGTGAATTGGTAGATATGCAATGACCGGGCAGCTAAATTCAAAAAGTGATGTATATAGTTTTGGTGTTGTCCTTCTTGAGCTGCTCACAGGACGTAAACCTGTTGATCATACCCTACCACGAGGCCAACAAAGTCTTGTTACATGGGTATTGTGCTCAACTCCAAAATATCTAAGCTTTTCTGTTCATTTGGTTTTTCTAATTCTTTGCGACATTCTTTAGGCTACCCCAAAACTCAGTGAAGACAAGGTTCGCCAATGTGTTGATGCAAGACTGGGAGGAGAGTATCCCCCAAAGGCAGTTGCAAAGGTAAATGATGGAATCCATCATCCCATTTATGTATTTTTCATAAATATGAGTTGCAATGTGGAAAAAAAAAAAAAAAAAAAAAAAAAAAAAAGAGATGCTACTAGTCCATCTTCAGATATCTGCTTATAGTTGCTTAGAATTGTGAATCACTCCCAGTGATTCTGGCACTAGGCAGGTGGATAATTGGATTTTGATTGTATGAATTTCCAGTGAATTATAGTTTCAACACAAAAAGGCAATGGGGAGAGGATAAAACTAGGATGAAAATGTAGGGTAGAGTTGATGAATTGAGTGGTGATTTGTGTGTTGATGCAGTTTGCTGCTGTTGCTGCCTTGTGTGTACAATATGAAGCTGATTTTAGGCCAAACATGGGCATTGTGGTGAAGGCACTCCAGCCTCTTCTGAATACACGGCCTGGAATTGGTGGTGAAGTGGGTGTGGGACACACATGACAATTGCAGCAACCAAGGGAACTCAACTCAGCCTGGTGAATTCTAAATATTCTGTACTGATGCCAGTGAGGTCTAGACGCATTGGCGGAATTAGTCTGAAATCTGAATCGGTTGAGTTTAATATTGTAGATGCTGATAATGTATATGTCTGGCTGTGTTTGTTGCGGACTTCTTTAGACCTGAGTTTTGATCGTCACGTTTTTGTCATGCACAGAATTAAATTATGGCAAGGCGTCATGAAGAGGACCGACCTATTGCCACACAATTTCTGTACCTTGACAAATACAATACAATACACATATATTTTAGTTAGTAAAAAGGATTTCAATTAAAGTTAGTTAGCGATTTCGAATGTTCTCTTTTGTTTTTGTTTAATTTAATTTAATTTCTTGATTGTGTTAATCTTATCTTAGAGTATTGATTTGGTTATTTCAGTGTTACTAATATACTAATTTGACACTTCTACTTCATACTTAACTAACATTGCTAAAGTGAAACTAGATCATCTAAACTTTTAATTACTAGATAAGTATCTATGTATTTAATTTTATTTTTTATTCTTTATGTATGCTAGAAGAGTATCTTGTAATAAAAAAATTATTTTTTTTGACCACTTGCATAATAATTTTAGATCTCTGTCCATTGTATCATTTTACATTTCATCGCTCTTCAATTTTTAAACTCTACACATAATTATCTCTTATTAAGTGATGCCTTTATAAGTAATAAAGATATTCCTAATTTAACAATTAAAATTATAAATTTAATATAAAAGTTAAGTATGAATAATGTACAAAATTTGAAGTGAGAACATGTAAGAAATTAAGTGAGAATCTGAGATGAGATGAAAAATACTGGGTCTAGCGGGTCGGGTATCGTCTTCTCCACACGGCCGGGGTAAAAAGAGAACACGTGTGAAATTACAATCAAATCTGGTAAGTTATTTTATTTTATTTTTTTCCGTGTTGCAAATTCCAACTATAATATGCGAGTAATTTGTTTATATTTAATTTAATGCTCCGTATATATTTGGGATTGGAAGTAAGAGGAGGAGAGGAAGAACAGTGGCGGTAGCAGCAGCAAAGACAGGCCGGCGTCTGCAGCGGTGGGAGTGCGATATATTTGTGGTTAGAGGAAGGAAGGAGTTACGCACATGGTCTCTCTCTTTCTCTCTCTCTCTCTTCTAAGTCTGAGACAAAACTTGCTTCTCACCCTCTCACATCACCACTGCACTAAAATCCAGTAATCCACTTGGATCTCACACTCCTTATTAATTGCTGCTCTCTCATCACTAGGGTTTATCGTCCTCCACTCTTCACCCATAGCAGATCTTCCTTACTTGAGGTATGAATTCTATCACATTCTCATTTCCTACCTTTTTTTTACTACATTATTGTTACTGTTATTGTGGTTGTTGAATTTATTAAGTCTCCCAAGGTACCTTGATTCCTGATTATCTCTCATTGCTTTGGCGCATTAGTTACTGCATAGATTTTCTCCATTTTGTTCCCTGGTTTATTCGTTTCTCAGATCCGCCTCCTTTTGCTTTCTTTCTTCATCGATTTGCTCTTCTTTTATGCTTTCTCTTGTCTCACTCATGCTTACCTTTCATTTTTTAAAAATGCTTTTCTAGATGTATTCATTTACTTACTGTTGCATTTTCTAGTCTGCTATTGTCACCTCTCTCTGCGATTGGATCAGCGTTTTGACTATGTTTTATAGTAACAGCGAACTGCTCATTATTTGGATGACTAACTGCAGTTGAAACTGAATATTGCACCTCCAATCTGCCTTCATTCTTCAGCAGATTTTTCCTTCATCTTTGGGGAGCAGGAGACCAGTGCTACCCAGACATGATGATTAACAAACAACTTCTTTTGACTTATCTATATCTCCTTATTTATATTCTGCTTTCGTCTGGGGTTATTTTGTACAACAAGGTATGCTGCACCTGTCTCTTACTCTATTTTATTAATGCCTTTTCATTCTTATCTAAATATAGCCCATCATTTTATGGTATTGTATAGTTGATATTAGCCTTGTGGGAGTTTTTTTTTTTTTATTCAAGGAAATCATAAGATGTTTCCCTACAAGTTAAGAAAAAACTTTTGCTCTTGTTACTTAATGTCAGAAAAACAATTGAACATAAACTGGATTTAAATTGAAATTACTAATGATCTTTGTTTGCCTTCTTGTTTGTTTGCAGTGGGTGCTCTCACCAAAATATTTCAATTTCCCATTTCCTATTACACTCACCATGATTCACATGGGCTTTTCAGGCTTAGTAGCATTCTTTCTTATCCGTGTTCTCAAGGTAACAGTGCTATTGCTCTATGTTCTTTCTTGTACCAGTTTATTTGAGCAACAGATTCATTACTTCTTTGGTTCTCATTGATGGGATTGAAGAAATATTAAATAAAGTTGGAATTATTATTTTCCCTTGCAAGATTGATCTAATTTTTTTAACTATTGAAAATAAAATGCAATCCATATGATACTTGAGGACAGCCAATTTTCTAGAGTTGGCCAGTACTTAAAGCTTCCTTGTTCACATATGTTTGATTTTTGAATCTCATTTTATTTACTTAAGTTCAGATACTTATCTGTATAAAGTGGCCAATTCACCGGCAGGTCTCTAAACTAGGAATTTTGTAGCTAAGGTAGAGACTTTATGGCAGATTCTAAACTTAGTTTCCTGTTTTTCTTTGCTCTTCTTAATCCTTTTTAGGGATAGTTTGGTTATGAATTAGTTTTGGAAATCATTGGTCAACATTCAACAAGGATATATAAGTCTTCATGGATCATTGTAGATGACCTATACTGGATAATACTGAAAAAGGAAACAGAATGCTTTACTTTTACAGATGATGGAAGAAGCCGTGTTCTCAGTATTTCATATTTGTAATACATTTTATATAAAAAGAAGGATCCACCATTTGCTGCAATAGCTGGAACCACCATTTTCTGTGTATTTGTGCATGCATAGCCTTCCCCTTTTTTGCTATTTTGGCTATGGGGTTCATAATGCAACTTCTTTTACATACCCTCAATAACAGTACCTGGTGATCAACTTATTTACTTGTGAATTTTTGTTCTGTGTAGGTTGTGTCTCCTGTCAAGATGACATTTGAAATGTAAGATATCTGCAACTTACATCCTCATCTATGTTGAATATTTTTGTCATTTCTGATCCTTAAGATGTATTCTTCCATCTACAGATATGCAACATGTGTGATCCCTATTAGTGCTTTCTTTGCAGCTAGTCTTTGGTAAGTGACTCGTAAATGGAACTAAAGTCATTTTTTCACTTCTACCAAGGCCTTACATATTTTCATGAGTTGTTTCTTTCAGCGTAGATGCCATTTATCTTAATAATCACTATTTTATTTTCTGTTAGTTGGCCTTAGGAGTGGAAATACCATCTTTACCAACCATCAAGGCACTTACCTTAACATGATCTTAATATCTCAACACTTCATCTGGATGTTACTGAAAAAGATAAGAGGATGCTTCACCTTCACTAGTGATGGAGGAAGCCATGTTCTAGTAGTTGATATTTTTAACACATATTAAGTAAAAGAAGATCCCCTGTTTTTTATGCAATTGCTGAAATAGAGATTATATTTTAGACTTTTAGCTTCCATAATATGACAGAGATGCAGTGTGGTATTTCATTAATAGCTATTTCTAAAATAATCATATTTTGTCTTCTTACAGGTTTGGCAACACTGCTTACTTGTTCATATCTGTAGCCTTCATCCAGATGCTCAAGGCTCTAAGTATGTTTCTTTAGACATAACATTTACGTTTTTAACTCTCAGTACTACCACATTGGGGCGCATATTAATTGATTATACCATGTGTTATTCTAAAAAATACAGTGCCAGTTGCCACATTTGTCATGGCGGTAATTTGTGGAACTGACAAGCTAAGATGTGATGTATTCTTGAACATGGTATTAGTCAGCATTGGTGTTGTCGTATCGTCCTATGGGGAAATTCACTTCAACATTGTGGGCACAGTTTACCAGGTCACTGGGATATTTGCTGAAGCTCTTAGGCTGGTCTTAACTCAAGTTCTTCTCCAGAAGAAGGGATTAACTCTGAATCCTATCACTAGCTTATATTACATTGCACCATGCAGGTATACTAATTTTTGTTAGCTGATGCATCTATTTTTGCTGTTTGCCTAGTCTGAAGGCGCTGTATGCAAGTGTAGACAGTTTTTATCTTTAAGACTTCTGCATTTGCATCACTGCATCTATGCATGTCCCTTTGAAAATTTGAAAATTTTTCTTTCTAGTTTCTAAAACTGACTTGGCTATTGGACATCTGGACATATATATGGCACTTAATATACTGAAAAGCAGAGTAGCATTCTATGAATGTAGGATGTGGAAAAGGCATTTTTCTCTCTTAGAGGGAAAATGTTGTTTCCAGTTATACTGTGCTGGAAAATTCTTCAGCTATAAGGAAATGCTAACCTGTCATTATGTGCAGCTTTGTGTTCCTTTTTGTTCCATGGTATCTTCTGGAGAAGCCCGGAATGGAAGTCTCACAGATCCAGTTCAACTTTTGGATTTTCTTTTCAAATGCGCTCTGTGCTTTAGCTTTGAATTTCTCAATATTCTTGGTGATTGGTAGAACTGGTGCTGTGACCATCCGAGTTGCTGGTGTCTTAAAAGACTGGATTCTTATTGCCCTATCAACTATTGTTTTCCCGGAGTCAACAATTACCAAGCTTAATATTATAGGTTATGGCATAGGTATACTTCTTATTCCGTGTTGATGTTGGGGAAGTAATATTTCTTTTCTTGCTTTGGTACAAGGAGTCATTTATTAAGCAGCTGAATTAACACCAATTTTGTATTGCTCCAGCATTGTGCGGTGTTGTAATGTATAACTATCTAAAGGTAAAGGAGTCTCGAGCATCCCAACTTCCTATGGCAAGTATTATGGACCGAACTGCTAAGGTACAGGCTATGAATTCCATCTGGATTGATAGTTATTCTCATCTTGCTTACTGCAGCCATCTCGTTTGTTTTTATTTTAAATTTTTATTCTGCCTTAATAGATACGGAGTACTATAAAATTGAAGTTTATTATTTCCTTTTCTTTAGAATGTGAAATTTTGAGCTTTTTTTCCGACTATACAGGACCTTAAGATGGAGAAGAAGTCATCTGATCTGTATGTACCAGATGATGTCGTAAACATCAGTGGAACAAGGAATGGTTCTCAAGATTCGATCACTGATGAAGAAGCACCACTGATTCCTTCAACTAGAATATCTCATCTTGGGCGAAGCCAACTTGGCAGCCACTCTGCATGACCACTGCTGTTCCTTTAGTGGGTCAGGTTTATTTTGTTTGGTAGAAATAGTTGAAGCATATTGAGACAGCCGGCTCTCTGTAGTCTGTACACCACCCACCCACCCCCTTCTTTTTTGTGGAAAAATGAAATTGTTTTTCGTTGCAAACCCTCTTAACTTGTAGTTATATACATGTAGTATATTTCAAAGATGGTTGTCAGAAATAGTATTGTAGTGTGTTCTTTAAAAATGTTTTACTTGTCTCTCGTCTTTTTTAATTGTTTATATTACACTAACTACTTCGTCTTTATTCCATAAATATAAATAAAAAGGTCTTTCTGGGTATGGGATAATCAAGGAGATTAGAATACATTGTGCGGGTGTTTGGTAAATAGTTATTAACTAATAATTAGGTTAATAGGATTGACTAGTTAATAACATTAGTTGATTGTATAAAGATATTTAATAAATTAGCGATTATATGTAAAATGATTTTTTAATCGAAAAATTTGTTTTGAACAATTTTTAAATTTTAAGTTAATGGAATTGACTAGTTAATAATATTATTTATTGATTGTTTAACCAAGTCAAACAATTAATAATAGTCAAATAAATCAAAATTGATTGATAAGCTAACTATGTTACCGAACAGCACCTTTATATTTTTAGGATGCCACCTCATTTAGAATCAATCTTTATCGAGGTATTTTTCAAGCCCAATTAACTAAATTTGGCTTCCCACAAGAGTTGGCGTTTTCCTTTCTGCTATATATGTAGAATTATAGAAAACTGATACAGCCAGCCATTTGACCACAGTGCCATTAATATAGTAGGTTCAATTGAACTCCACTCTGCTAGTCATTGCTATACTACATACAATATATTGAAACCATAATTGAAATGGCTCCTGCATCGATCAGGGGAGAAAAGGATTATGAGAAGGATAAGCCTGCTTTTCCTTTCTGTAGGCCCTGATGTCACACACACATTCAAATCACACTTAGTTCATGCTACGTACTCCAAGCAATATAAGGATATGTGTAATGTTAACTTCATAATATATCACCTGGCCACATTTGATCCTGCCAGCGCAACTGTACCTACAATTATAAAAATGAAAGGAAATCCAACCAGTCGCTGGTTCCTTCTTCCTCCATATGTTCTTGGAACTCCAGTTCGCACAACATACGAGTATGAGTCTGTTTAAGATTTATCATATATTAACCAGATAACAGGTTAGATTTTACACTCCATACAAGATCAAGTCAAACAGATGTCCACATCAGTAACTTGCCTGCGTGAGAACTTTGCACTCCTGCTCCTGTAATCATCATTAAGACGTTAATGGTATGAGCTTAAGTCATTCGAGTAACTTTTTCATTGTAATGGCAATTTATAGACTTCAGTGGTTCACATCTCAACAATCATACAAACTCCAGGAACCCCATTGATCAGTAAAGATAAAATAATGTCATGATGAAACAATCCATAATATTATATTGAAAATCAAGGAAATGGAGAGGAACATTCTTCCCGACAATGTTTTCCATGGAAAAGAAATGACAAGTCATGATAATAAATACTTCTAAACCCCGTTATTCTACATGGTAAATGAGTAACTGTTGCAATTCATTCATAACATTAAAATAATAATAATAATAATAATAATAATAATAATAATAATAATAATAATAATAATAATAATAATAATAATAATAGTATTAGATTCACAACAGAAACCAATCTTAGACACCCAAGAAATGCAGCAAAAATCACATAAAACCTAAGCTACAAATTGGGTAAATAATATGGAATGCCTGCTTTAAAAATGTAAGCAATTTGGAGTATGTGAAATATATTCACATCATATATGGATCTTCGCAATAAGATAACTGTCTACACAAGGAGAGTGAAGGAAAAAACTGCCAAATATCTCATCAAGCAGCGTGATGCTTAAGCAAGAATAGTTAATATTTTTCAGCCCACTACTGCTGCATTCAAGATTTTGAGAGTGTGATTAGTAGATTCGAATGTAACTTTAGCCTTGAGGGCAATTGGTTTTTCTAGCTTTTGCTTGTCAGTTTGCTTCTGAACCAAAGTACCAAAGAAAAAATGGTAAAAGTATAATTCAAAAACTAATATGGTTTTGTCCAAGGCAGTATAATTAAAAGTAGATCACAAGAAGCCTCCTAGGCATAAAATCTGTGCAAAGTAGCTATTCCATTGATTAGGAATTCTATTCAACTTACTAAGCTCAGTAAGGCTCACTAATCAAAGTGTAGAAGAGAGAAATACCAGAGCACAGGCAACTGTATGCTTCGCTAATCTGCAGGCAGCAATGGACTCATTTTCAGAATAAGGCAACGATGATCAATAAACTCCAAATAACAAAAAAGGAAGCACAAGCACAACCATACTTGGGCATGTACATCAAGGAATAAATGCTTACCATCTTGAATTTACATTCTGCATTTGATTTTTCGTGAGCAGGAAAGCGATCAGGATGAGTTTCCCATACCTTCCTTCTATAGGCCGCTTTAACCTAACCACAAATTCTCAAGTTATTAAATAGAAACGGATTTCTGTTTTCAGCAAAGTAGTGTGATCAAATTTCGTCAGCTTTCGGCACCATCGGTAGACAGAGCAAAGTAGAAGATGGCATATGGCATATAGAAGCAATGCTCTTAAGGTAGAACTAATTCAATAATTTCCTAAATCGCAACAACTCCATATAATAGATAGAATAGAATCATAGAAATGGCAGGCGACTGAAATTCAATACATGGATAGAGCAACAGGAACTTACCTGAGATGAGGAGGGACGACAATTTGGGGAAAAACCTAGCAAGTCTTTTGCCTCGTCGGCCAGCATCTCCCTCCCGATGAATTAAACTTGGTTTGCCCGTCTAAGAAGTCTCGTAACATCATTTGGTATTCATTACCAAAAAAATAAAATATTATTTTACCCCGCTTTATCATGCCGGGCCCTACTCAAGGAAACACTCAGGTCTCAAACATCATAATCAAAATAATAATGTTGTATTGATTAATGAATTTTTTAAGTATAAAAGTAATGGACTTTGTGATTGAGTTGTGACTTGTGCTTCAGTAGTATTCGAAAAAGTAAAACAAGTGTACTTATCTAGGGGTAAATATGAATTAGAATTAATATAATTAAATATATACAAATATTTGTTATATATGTGTATTAAAGTTTTTTTTTTTTTTTTAATGGAAGGGGATACTCCATTAATGTGGGAGGGGAGAGAAAAAAAAAAAAGAGAGAAAACTATTTTTTTTTTAAATAAATAAATTAAAAGACTGGTCAGGCGCGGTGTCAGCGCGCCTGACGTGCCACACGTGGGCGCGTAGTTCACGCGCCCGTGTGGCACTTGGCTGTGCGCAAACGCGCACAACATCTATTTGTTTATTTCTTTCTTTTTTTTTTCTTTTTTTTGACACTATTTTGTTTTTTGCAGGACAAATCTCTTCCCAAATAACTCCACCCCACATTTGTTATTAACCCCACCCAACATAATTGTTCTGACATTAATCCCAAATAAACCACAGATGTGGATGCTCTTATAACCTATTACATCAAATGATATCATAATCGCCTCCAAGGCTCGAATCATCCACTTATTTTTTATTGTCGTTTTCATAATATATGGCTAGGCTTGTATTTTTTATTTTTTTTTAAATGTACGTTTATACTCAAACAGTCAACATGACTTATTATTATCATGGTTATATAACCTATATTATATTGATTGATAGGATATGAAATGATGATGAATTTAATTAATGAGATATATTGAGTGGTTGAATTTGGTTGTCCATCGGTCAACCATTAGTCACAAACATTTAAACGAAAGGAATTTAGGAAACCTCGGACATCCATACATTGAAATGCAGAGTCTGCCGGATGTACTTGCTTCATGTTGCTCCGATCCATTATTCCGAATTGCATCTCAGCATTGTTATATAATATAATCTCCATCCCTTCATCCACAATCTAAACTCATCCACAATATAATGCCATCTTTAATTTCTTCTCTTCTTCTGTCCATTATTGTAATTATAAAATAAAAGGAAAAAGGAAAGAAGAAGAAACGAAGAGATCAGAGATTGATTAATAAGAAGCTGAGCTAAGGGGGGATCGGATCGGAGAAAGATGGCAGGTAATAATGTAGTCCTCCCCTTGGTGTCTATCATCTTTGTGGTGGTGGTTCTGTGTGGAGCCGTTCTGGTGTTGCGCATAGGCGACGAGGATGCACCATCCAACACTAATCGAAATATTTCGACCGGCGGCTCCATGAAGTCTGTTACAACATTCTGTCAATATGCGGAGTACAAAGACTCATGCGCCAAGAGTATCTCCCCAGTGGCCAAAAATCAGTCAGCCACCACTAAGGACTTCATTATCGCAGCCATACAGGCTACAATCGAGGAAGTGTCCAACTCCTACAAGGTTGCCGCGGATACCGACGTTGACCAGACCCTCGATCCTTACAATCATATGGCCATTGAGGATTGCAAGGAAATGTTGCAAGATGCGATTGATGACCTTGAGGCGTCCTTATCTGTGGTGGGAGATAGCGAAATTCACAGCCTCAACGATCGCGGGGACGAGTTACTCAACTGGGTGTCTGCGGTGTATGCCTATCAGAAAACCTGCACGGAGCAAATTGAAAAGCCGGAGTACAAAACTGCGATTGAGGATGGCATGATCAACGCCTCCCAACTAACCAACAATGTAATCAATATCATAGCTGATATGTCCAAGGTCATAGAGGCATTCAATAACATCACCAAAGCAGTGGACTTACTTCATCATGCTGGAGCTAAGGCGGCAAGTAATATTGCTAAAAACGACTCTACCACCACCACTACCTCTCGTCGCCTCCTCCAAGCCACCGCCCAGCTGGATGATGATGATGATGATTTCCCATCGTGGTTCCCTGCAGCAGATAGAAAACTATTGGCTGAACAAAAAGCAGGGAAATTGAAGCCTACCACGGTGGTAGCCCAAGATGGTAGCGGCAGCTTTAAGACAATTCAGGAGGCACTCAAGGCCTACCCAAAAAAGCGTAAAGCCAAATACATCATATATGTCAAGGCTGGAGTGTATAAGGAAGCTCTTGAGGTCAGCAAGAAGAAGAAAAACATTTTCATGTACGGAGATGGTGCTGGGAAGACCGTTATAACTGGCAACAAGAACTTTGCCGTGATGAGAATGACCATCTCAAGAACTGCCACCTTTTCGGCTCTTGGGCAAGGGTTTGTGGCACAAGGAATTACCTTCCGCAACACTGCAGGTGCAGAAGGGCATCAAGCTGTGGCTTTTCGCAGCCAGTCTGATATGTCAGCCCTTTTTGATTGCTCCATTGAAGGATACCAGGACACACTATATTACCACACCTATCGCCAGTTCTATCGCAACTGCGTCATCTCCGGTACTATCGACTTTATCTTTGGCAAGGGGACGGCACTCATCCAGAACAGTGTCATCATTGCAAGGAAACCCTTGTCAAATCAATTCAACACCATTACTGCCGATGGAAAAGAGCTAGCCAAGGCCAAGGGTGGAGTGGTACTCCAGAATTGCAGAATTGTTCCAGATACTGCGCTCTTCTCCGCCAGGTTCCAGTTGAAAACTTACTTGGGAAGACCTTGGAAGGCCTACGCCACAGCTGTGGTGATGGAGAGCCAAATAGGTGATCTGGTCAGCCCGGTGGGATGGAAGATTTGGGACGGGGAGAGTTTTGAGGACACTTGTATTTGCTGGGAGTATAAGAACTATGGACCAGGCGCAAACACGTCTAGGAGGAATAGAGCTTTCAAGCAATGGGGGTTGATTGGTGACATAAGAGCCAGACGATACACCGTTGGATCTTGGCTCAACGGAAATACCTGGTTGCCTGCCACCGGGATACCTTTTGCCCTCGGTTTCACTAGAAGCTAATTATTAAGTAATTACGTACGTTAGATCTTATAAAATTAATTAATAGATGATTGATTAGATCGATTTTGTGTATGTACCTAGTTTTGGAACTAATTCATAAACTCAACTGCCAAGATGTGATGTAGTATTATATTGGAAAGTATTTATCTAATTAAATACTTTGATGAACTAACTCTATTATTAGATGAGATGAGTTAACACCGCTTTCAATGAGGCTTGATCTCATAACTTTCGATATAAGAGAGGTCACTACATACATGCCATTTGAACATAAGGTACTTGGCAAAATTAATTAGTCATATACATTGAGCACGCACATGAATAAATTAAAGCAGTTCATTCATAACAGTTGATGACCACAAACATTTAACTGAAATTTCTGAAAAGTTGGGCATCCATGCAAATGCATACACTGTACGTACGTCATCCTTGTTTCACGTTGCTCGATCGATCTGATCTATTCGATCCGCATAGCTAGCTTAGCCTGCTAGCATTGTTATATAAACGTACTTCAATTCCTTCATCTACAATATAATAATCCAAACCCACCCATCATCTCACATCCCCGCCCCCCCATCGTTCTTCTCTTCTTCGATCCTACATACTGTAACAATAAATGAAATAAGGAAAGAAGGGGGGTGGGTTATTAATTAATAATAACCAGGAGAAAGATGGCGGGTAACAATATAGCCATTACTTTGGTATCCCTCATCTTAGTGGTGGGTGTTGTGTGCGGAGCCGTTTTGGTCTTACAGGGCGTTGACGATGCATCCTCTGGCAAGGGCGATCATGGTGTTTCCACAGGTTCCATGAAGTCTGTCACTACATTCTGCCAATACGCCGAGTATAAAGACGTATGCGCCAAGAGTATCTCTCACGTCGCTAACAACCACTCCGCCACCACTAAGGACTTCATTTTTGCTGCTATTAAGGCTACGCTGGAGGAAGTCCACAAATCCCACCAGCTTGTGGTTAACACCAAGATTGAACAGAGCACCGACCCTTACAATCATATGGCCATTGAGGATTGCAAGGAAATGCTCCAAGATGCCATTGATGACCTTCAAGCTTCTATATCTGTTGTTGGTGACACCGAGCTTCACACCCTCAAACATCGCGCCGACCAGCTTCTCAACTGGATGTCTGCGGTGTACGCTTACCAAACTACCTGCACCGAACAAATTGAATCTCGGTTATACAAATCTGCCATTGAGGATGGCATGATCAACGCCACCCAGCTCACCAATAATGCAATCAATATCATCGCTGAGATGTCTAAGCTCCTAAAGGCATTCAACATCACAACAACCACCGACTTACTTCATAAGGCAGCTGACAAAAATAACAACAACAACAACAACACTACCTCTCGTCGCCTCCTCCAAACTGACCATTTCCCAGAGTGGTTCCCTATTGCAGATAGGAAACTTTTGGCCGCACAAAGAAGAGGGAATTTGAGGCCTAATGTGGTGGTAGCCAAGGATGGTAGCGGCCAGTTTAAGACCATTACTGGGGCACTAAAGTCATACCCACCAAAGCACAAAGCCAAATACGTCATATATGTGAAGGCTGGAGTGTACGATGAAATTGTGGAGGTTGGCAAGAAAATGAAAAACGTTTTCATGTACGGAGATGGTGCTGGGAAAACTATTATCACTGGCAAAAAGAACTACGCCCACATGAAAATCACCACCTCAAAAACAGCCACATTCTCGGCTCTTGGGAAAGGGTTCGTGGCACGAGGAATTACCTTCCGCAACACCGCAGGTCCAGAAGGGCATCAAGCGGTGGCTTATCGTAGCCAATCTGATATGTCAGCCATTTTTGACTGCTCCATTGAAGGATACCAAGATACACTATATTACCACACCTATCGCCAATTCTACCGCAACTGCGTCATCTCCGGCACCATCGACTTTATCTTTGGCAAGGGGACTGCACTCATCCAGAACAGCATCATCATTGCCAGGAAACCCTTGGTACATCAATTCAACACCATTACAGCTGATGGTAAAGAGTTGGCCAAGGCCAAAGGTGGAGTGGTACTCCAGAACTGCAGAATTGTTCCTGAAACTGCGCTTAACCCATTGAGGTTCAAGGTAAAAACTTATTTCGGAAGACCTTGGAAGGCTTACTCCACAACCGTGGTGATGGAGAGCCAAATAGGTGATTTGTTGAGCCCTCTTGGATGGAAGATTTGGGATGGGGAGAATTTTGAGAAGACTTGTATGTATTATGAGTATAAGAATAGCGGACCAGGTGCAAACACCTGGAGGAGGAACAGAGCCTTCAAGAAATTTGACGTGCTTGGTCCCATAAGAGCTCGACATTTCACTGCTGGACTTTGGCTTGACGCAAACAGCTGGTTGCCTGCCACTGGAGTACCTTTCGCCATTGGTTACACTAAATAAGTATATGTTTGGATGAAATTCGTTCGGGTCGCATGTATACATTTTATTAAATAATAATAATAATTTCATTTATATTGGTTAATTATATATATTTTTTTTGATAAATTGGTTAATTATATTTAATTGATCTCAATAGCAAATCATGAACTTCTATAGAATAAGGTCTAAATTGGTCACAGAACATTGAACATCAATATACTACTGAATAAAAAAAGAAGTGCAATTAGGTATAACACCCAAATATATGTATGAAATTTCAACCCAAAATGTATGCAATTTCATCAATTAAACCACGGAATGAAAAGGAAGTGCAATTAGGTCACTGAACACCTCAAATGTATCAAATGTATGCAATTTCATTCAATAGCAGGCCGTCCTCCTTCACCTTTGGTGTCTCCGTCTCCAACCAAAGACGAAGGAGGGGGGAGAGTGGTGGTTAGCCCCCGGCATTTTAGTAAGAAGGCAACTTGATGAAATGGATGATAACCTACATCCTACATGTTCAATTCAGTGGCCTAAGTGCACTTTTAAGTTACTTTCAGTGATTAATTTGAATCTAATTCTTAAAATCAATTCAGTGGCCTAAGTGCACTTTTAAGTTACTTTCAGTGATTAATTTGAATCTAATTCTTAAAATTAATGAGGTGAAATGAAAATGGTATGATAAAAGAAAATTATTGTAATTATTATATACATATTATATTGTACGGAGTATTATTTTTTTAATACTCAATCAATCTCAGGCTAATTAATTTGAACAAGTTGAAGTCGTTCGCATATTGGTTTTAATTCTAGATTTCTAGTTACAACCATCAACTTAGGGCTTAGGTAGTTTGGGATCTTACCTAGTGTACAACCCGAATCGCATTAGGGATTGGTAAAGTTAGTATTGAAATGTGCAGTGCTGGAGAAGTATGAATGTTGAGAGCATTGAAGCGTTAATTGAGTTTTCTTTGCGGCTTTGCTCACTCCCACTCGCTCCTTCCCCCCTCCCTCAAAAGGTTGAATCCACTCGCTCCATTCAGAAGGACTGAAGGAGGAGGAGGCTCCTGTCTTTTGTCTGACTGTGGAAGATGATAAAGATGATGAGGACTCAGGTTCAGCGTGAAGGGTTTTGGCGGAGAAATCATATATCCCTTTTTCGGGAGTGGTTCAAACCACACAAGGATTTTAAAGATAAAACCTTTACGGCTGCTGTTGTTAATCCACTAGGATATGCATCTGTAACATCTAACCCTTCCGTATTCAATCTCGTTCGCTTCTGCTCTACTGGTCAGCTCTGATCTGATCTGTTCCACCATCGTCTTTCTTTGTCTTCCTATTTACACAGCTCACTATCCCCTTTTGGCCAAAATGACAGAGTTGCGACCACATCTATCACTTGACCTTATCAAGATAATGGATCAGCGGTTGTCTTCTATTGAGAGCAGGACTTCCTATCTTCAGAGTGTTCTAGATCAGGTAATCTGTAATCACAACTCTACTTCATTTCTTTGCGATTAGTCCTAGTATTAATCGAGCTCTTTGTAATACAACTCTTTTTCTTCTCCGCGGAACACTTCAATATGTGGGTTGATTAAAGACAGCCAGAATTGTCTCCTCATGAATATTCAATAACCAACAAGGAGCTTAGGAAACTCAGAGATGTAATGCAATTCATAACTGAACTCAGGGCTAAACAGAAGGTACGATTATCTTCCCTGGCCTTTTTTTTCCTGGTACATTCATATTTCTAGCTGAGTAAGAATATTTGCAAATTAAAGCCTATGAGTTTATGTTTCTTGGCTCTGCAAAAATTTAAAATCTTTTTGCTAGTAGGAAAAAAGATTGTTCTGTTTGATTTTGGTTCTGGTTTAGTGTACTCTGGATCACTCTATATGTCTGGTCGTGGTTAAATGGTGGCAAAAACATGTATTCTTGTGTTTTCTCACTTCTGGGCACTATTTTTGCTTGCATAGTATTTTGTAAGGCCTTTATGTTTATGCTGGTTAAATCATTAACATTGACATAATTTATGTCCTTCCTTTCTATATGTTTTAAATATAATGGATTTGTTGCCCTTCGAGATGGCTCAATGACCACTCTTCTTCTTCTATTTTTCCTGATGTCAAAACTGAAAAGGCAGAGGCTTATATAAAGTTGTTACTCACCCCTCTGTGTTCTCTTCACCCAAAAAATGGTATATTTCAATATTTCCCTCGTATGAGGGTCTCAATTAAATGACAATGATTGTTCTTGTGATTTATTTATTTTTCAATTGATCTTACCATCTGTTATATTTTCCCTCCATCTGTTTTGTGATACCTTTTTTTTTTAATTGTAGGAAATTGAGGAACTAGAACTAGTAATTTCTGAATGCCAAGATGATAAAGAGATGCAGCAAATGGCTTCCGAAGAATTGAGCCAGGCCATAGAAGGAGAGAAGAGGCTGCAGTATCTTCTTCTGAAATCACTATTACCAAAAGATGATGCTGATGAGAGAAGCTGCATTCTGGAAGTGAGAGCAGGTAAACAATTTTCATCCAAAATTATTTGAAGTATACTTTCATGGGAGTATCGCTAAACTCAATGGAATTAAGCTTTAAACCCGTCTAGTTGGGGTGCTCTACACTGGTTCTCTTTCTCCACATCTTGTTGCTCTCTGGCTTTAATTTCAGTTTAGTGACTGAAGAAATTTGTGTCAGGAACTGGAGGTGAAGAGGCTTCTTTGTTTGCTATGGACATATTCAAAATGTGGGTTACTGCACTGCTTTTGGTTTGTAAGGGTCCTTTTTTGTTGTCGTTTATGATTCCATCCCTGCACAAAATGCATCAGGTATGAAAAGTACTCAATGAAGAAAGGTTGGAAGTTCGAGATTCTAGATGTAGCTGAATCTGATCTCAAAGGATACAAGGTCGGTCAGCCACACCTTTTTGACAAATACTAGTTATATATTTGGGACCAAGAAAAATTGTTCAGTTTCTAATGATTAATGACAAGGGGTATCCCTTTTGTAGATGATGGAATGCTATAATTGGGTTATGTTACCACTTGCATGATTAAAATATTTTTAAAAAGCTAATATTCAAAATTTCTTGCCAGGAAGCTAGTGCAGCTGTGTCTGGAACTGGTGTGTATGGAAAATTAAAATTTGAAAGTGGTATTCACAGAGTTCAGGTACTTGTCTTCAAATTTGGTGTTGTACTGAAATATACTTGTAGAAATCTAAATCTACTATTTGCATTCATGTTGCTTCTTTTTCAGAGAGTTCCTGCTACAGAGAAATCTGGACGTGTCCACACAAGTGCTGTGTCTGTTGCAATACTCCCTCAGGCAGATCAGGTCTGTATTTGTTTTATTTTATTTAATTTTATTTTAAGTTGATGGCGTTGAAGATTCTTTTGTATGGCAATCATGGTTAGTGACTTTCACAAGCCAGTGTGTATGTGTCAAATAGAGAGGTATTGGTGGAATGGTGTAGTCCCCCCTCGTCTCTCTTTATTTCAGTCTTTGGCCCTTGTTTGTTTTATATATAAAATTTCAGGGGAAAAGAAAATCTATACTGGCTACAGAGAGACACATAATGTATATATGTACAAGAGTCCCCACCTTTTTTTGTCCAAGATGGAAACAGGTCTAGTTCTTTATGGGTGGTTGAACAATTTAAACTGGGGTGGATGTAGCCATTCATGGAGTATAATGAATGTGAAAACATAGTTCTGAAAAAAATCATAATATATACAAAATCAAAAGAGTCACGCATCTTACAATTAGGATTTACTTGTTTCAAATACTCAACTTGCGTTTATGGTAAGTCAAATTGTGCTCCCTACTTGATTGGATTTTCTCAGTTCCGGATTCAACTTTTAAGTAACCATGTTAATGCTTCTGCAGGTAGATGTTCAGTTGAGAAATGAAGATCTGAAGATTGACACGTATAGAGCTGGTGGTGCTGGAGGTCAGCATGTAAACACCACTAATAGTGCTGTTAGGATCACTCACATTCCTTCAGGGTTGACTGTTGCCATACAGGACGAGCGATCCCAACATATGGTAAGGGAACTGAATGATTGATGATTTGAGCATTTTGGCGTATGATGTAGTATTTACTATATACGTTTGCTTAACATTTTGGCATATGGTTAGAAGCATTTAAACAACCAGCGCTCTTATTTGTATGTCATGACTGACATATATGCAGCTCACTGTAGAGTGCCTACATTTTTGTTATCACATATTCTCCTTTCTTATTTCTGGAACATTCGTGCACTACTTTTTATTCTCAAATGCTCGTGTTTCCCCATTTGTTGTGTCTGTCTTTCCAGAATAAGACCAAAGCTCTTAAAGTATTATGCGCAAAGCTCTTTGAAATGGAAAGATGTAGAATTCAAACTAGTAGATCAAAACTCCGTTCAGAACAGGTAAGAGCAGTCTTTGATTGTTTGGTGTGTGTAGGATTACTTTACTCTATTTTACCCATCATAAAATGGTTTTCCCAAAACCTCGAGCAGATTGGCAGTGGGGACAGATCAGAGCGCCTTCGAACTTATAACTTTCCTCAAGGACGGGTTACTGATCACCGAGTTGGCATTACTAGTCATTGTATAGATGATGTGATGCAGGGAGAGAGTTTGGACAGTTTTATTGATGCTCTTCTTTTGCAGCAGGAAATGGACGCCATAGCATCTTTCAGCTCCTCGCATAATACTTGTAGCTAAGTACCTCACAAAACATATAACCTTTTTATCTCTTACATTTGTTGAGCTCATGCATGGCTAGTTGGCTACCCCAAATGTTAGATTTGAAACTACCTTCAAGTTCTTTATTTGGTCCCAAGGAATCAATTATCAATTGGATTCTCTATCCTTCCCCCACCCTGAAATTACACACATACATACATGCGTGTGTGGAGACTGGAGGATGTGAATATGGAGGTAGCCACATTTTCATACTCCTGGCTATTTGAGCAAAAGAAACTTGGATATGATCCAAAGTAATAAAAATCAAATCATTCAGTATCAGTAACCACCACCACCCCTTTGGGGTGGTTTTAGGGGGTAGGGGAAATTGACAAGACAAGAAAAACACATTATGGATTTTGAGTAGATGTAAGTATAACATCAAAGTCGCTCAGAGTCCATTCTGCCACTTCATCTTTGTCACTAACAAAAATTTCAGTTCCCACATCAAGCGATGTCCATATTCTTCTTGCAGGAGGGGTACCTGGATCCTGCATATCACAGCCTAAAATTACTCCACTTGTTGTGTTTTGTTTGCAATCATCAAACTACTATATACACTCCTCACTCAAGTACCTGATAGAAGTAAAGCCTGCTTGAAAGAGCACCGACATCTAGCTCCCAAGTTCTTCCATCCCCAACCCATCCATGTCCTTGTTTGGTTGGGTAGCCATATTCTTCCCATATAGGGTGAGGCAACAGCTGAACCAGTTCCTGTGCCTGAGGATTGCTGTAAGGATCGCAGATGCTGTATGGTTTTTCGAGGTGTTGGGCGTTCCCTGGGGCACAATAATAGTGATAAGCGGCGTAAGGAAAGTGAGCTGTGTCATTTCTGTAGATTTTGGTATCATTGGGGGTGATGTGGTAGGGAGGGCAATTTTCGACATGATTTGGGGTACACCAAGCAGGAGTTGCTGGATTGATAATCATCTCACTGTATCTGGTGATATCCGTAAGCACATCTCCATCACAGGGATCACCATTGTTCTTCCAGCAGCTACCAATATCAATCAAGTAAAACTGGCTCTTAGCTCCTCCCCCCTTCTTCACATCCAAACTCAGTCTCACCTTGAAGTTGGGAGACTCGGGGAGCTGCACTCATACACAACCCCAACTTAAAATAATAATACTCCGTAATAATTTTAATTAAAAAGACTCCCTAGTGGGCTCAAATTTTGGTTCTTAGCATCAGATACTACATTGTAATAAAATCAATAGTACTCAAAAAGAAAAGAAGAATAGCAACAAATTAAGTTGTGAATGGGTCGGGTCGGTCATGCCTGCTGTCTGGCGGCAAGACTTTTTGCACCAAATTAGAGGTTCACATGATTAGTGAAACTATTCATTCAGTAATGACTATGATTTGTGCACAAGTAAATATAAAATAGGTTTGCTGATGTGATTTATTTGTTTTACATAACTAAGCAGTTTGCAAGTGGATAGGTAATAGTAACGCTGCCGATTTTTGCTTGTTTGTTCTCTTGTTTCCTAATGATATCAGTAAAATTTCCTAGCTTCAAATAAAAACAACAATAACAATAATAATAATAATAATAATAATAATTATTATAATAATAATAATAATAATAATAATAATAATAATAATAATAATAATAATAATAATGGTGGTACCAACTCAACAGACGTACAATCTGGGGTGATGGTTATGTGCATTTGAAAAGGAAAAGGAAATGAATCATGTGGCTGTGGCACTGTCCCACTGAACTAAACCATGTGATGTGCCTTGTGGTGATTTTGCTATCAAAAAAAGGAAAAGGTCATTCCTGCTGTGCTGTGGTTGGGCAGTAAGGTCAATCAAACCCGTGAAAAGTAATGAGCATGAATAGGAACAGACTCTGTGTGTGTGTGTATGCATTGGGAGATCGATAAAGATGCAGATGCAAAGGAATGAGTGTTAGGTAACTCGAGAGAGAGAGAGAGAGAGAGATTAATATATTAATGGGAATTATGAAAGATTAGATTTAATTAATTTGGTGATGAGAGAGGTACTTACGGTCTTGAGCATTCCTCTGGTGTCATAGTGGTAGCCTCCGGAGAAGCCTTTGGTTGCATCTGCTCTCAAGTAGAGCATTAGCCATGGGTAGGATTTTGAGGTCTTGAGTTTGTGGGTGAAAACCCAACTTCCCTCTCCTACTTTCTTCTCCCACACCACCTCAAAGTAGGAAAGGCTGTCTCCTTCTCCTCCGCCCGAATCATAGGTGCCATTGAAGCCTCCTCTCATGGCGAGGCCGCCGGCACTTAAGCTGGTAGGGGTGTGATACAATAGGGGGTGGTTCATGCAACCCTTGCCAAAACAAGGAAATCTGCCCGGGGGAAAAGGCGGCACTTTTTTCCCGTTCTGAGGGCAAACACCGGATCTTGTGTCGTAGTTGCCATTCTTGAGCATAATCATCCAAAACTGCCACGGCCTTGGTGAATCCAGCACTTGGCATAATGAACCTAGATAAAGCTCCTTCTCCGCGGCATAAAGGTCCGGATTATTCAAGGATCCGGGACTGAGCCCGGGGAATGGCTTCCCAACTCCAAGTCGGTTGTCGGCCTCCGACACCAGGTGATTTATCATTGTAGTGTTATTGTGTGAGGAGAGGTCAAAGCAATCGGCAGCTCTGGGGCTACCCATTCCCGAGCCGGAGGGAGCTTCCTGCACCCCAACTTCATTGCAGAAGTTCCAAGATTCCAACCCCACTCTCAGACCGTCTCTTCTCATTCCCGGGTCTCCCACTGCAGACCAACTCGAATCATCTGAAGCTTTGGATGGGACAGCAGCACAAGAAGAAAACACAATAAATATTACTTGAAGCAACACTAATATGGAGGAGGAGGAGGAGGAGGAATAACTAGCCCATTCCATGGCAGCTCGATCTGAGCTTAATTAAGGAAAGCTAGACGAATGTAATTTTTAAATAATGTGCAACCTCATAACATTATATTCCCCTAGCCGCCTCACCTCTGCAACAAGTAAGCTAGTATGTATATATGTGTGCATTAGAATTTACAATTTAGAGAGAAGGGAAAGTGAGTGAGCGCAAGGCGAAAGCGTGTTAGGGCATTGTGGGGCTGCCCCACCATGATTCCTGTCGCAGTCAGGACAAACAATCCTCCCTCCCTCTTCACCGATTCTTACGTGTACGCAGATTCCATGTTATATATATTTCAATATTAGTATCGCTTTTGCCAATGCCGACTGAGGGAGGAGAATAACTCCGTGACACGAAGCGGATTTCTCTCATTTCTTGAAATCCAGGCCTAAAATTAAAATATACAAGAATCCCAAAAAAGCATGACGACCCACTTTGTTTATGCTTTATTACTTACCTACCTACTTACTGCCAGGCCCAACCAATCACTCTCCTATTCTATGCATTTCAACAAAAATCTAATAGCCCACACTTTAGCTAGTTTCCTATACAAACAAATCATCTTTTCTTTTTTTTTTTAAAAAAAAAGTTTTAAAAAAGAAGGTAGGTTTGTGTGTTTATATACATTTTATGCATGGTGGGGTGCTGTAAATTTATTTATTGATTTAAAACAAAACGTTAGCGCAAATTATGCTGTGCAACCGAATGCACCATGCGCATGGTGCATTCGATGCAAAACGACGTCGTTTTGGTTAAAAAACGCGCGTCCCACTTAAAGAAGAAATCAGGTTTGATTCCCGGCAATAGCATTTTTATATATTCATAAATTCATAACTATATATTTATAAATTCATAACTATATATCCACAAATTCATAACTATATATCCACAGTGAATGAATGAAGTAAAAATTCACAACTATATATCCACAATGAATGAATGAAGTAAAAATCCACAATGAATGAACTAAATATCCACAATGATTGAACTAAATATCCATAATGAATGAACTAAATATCCATAAATTCATAACTATATATCAACAATAAATGAATGAAGTAAATAACTAAATATCTACCACGAATGAACTAAATATCCACAATGAATGAACTAAATATTCATAAATTCGTAACTATATATCCAGAAATTCATAACTATATATTCACAATAATGCTATTGCCGAGAATCGAACCTGAATTTTTTTTTTTAAGTGGGACGCGCGTTTTTAGTCAAAACAACGTCGTTTTACACCGTATACACCATGCGCATGGTGCATTCAGTTGCACAGCATAACTATTGAAACGTTAGTGTAATGTAGCTAGTAATATTATGGTGGATGATAGATGAAGTGAAGCCAATAAATTAACATCCCAAATCCCACTGGCAAAACGCATGATCTAGGATTGCAGTTTTCAAGCCTTTTAGCATTTGTATAGAAAGGAGTATAGCCGTATAGGCCCAACCCAGAACTAAACAATTCATCCATTATCAGCTTGGGCCTGATAACTTTGATTTATCCTGAGACTGTGTGCACAAGTACACAAAGCTTTGTTTTATTTTAGAGTTAATTAATAATATGTTCAATGCTATTGTGTTATAATAATAGTGTTTTGGTATGATGGGCCCAACAGAAGACGGTATCGCATTTTTCATTTCGTAGGTGCCAAGAAAAGATATACAAGTTTGACTTTGCTAAATAATGTTGGACTCGGAATAAAAATGAGGATAAGTCAAAAGTTACCTTGGGAATTGAAAATTATACATGCACCGTACTCGATCGTATTCTCAACTGCTCTACCTAATATTCCATCGGATCCATCTCAATTCCAACTTGGACTCCGTCCTTAGTTTGCTCACCACACAAACCTAAACTAAATTAAATTAGCGTTACTAATTTCACTTTATCTTAGTCAGTAACATTAAAAAAATATAATAATAAAAATAATTTAACCTTATCTTTCAACAAATATATATATATATATATATATATATATATATATATATATATATATATATATCTATGAATGAATATATACGTGGTCCAATGCATGCATATTTATTATTCTATTATTATTATTATTATTATTATTATTATTATTATTATTATATGCGTGTAATTAAATGTGCAGTGGAGGTGGGAGGAAGCTCTCTCAATGTGCCTGTGTGTCATCATTTATTTATTGAATGGAAGGAAAGGGCCCGTTGAATATATATATATATATATATATATATATATATATATATATATGGATTGTTTTTATATTTATAGGAAAGCTTAAGGGGCTAGCTAGGTAGCTTGCGGGGGAAGCAAATTAAATTAAAGGGTTGGGTTCACTTCAAATCAGATCGAGGTTGGTGACGATATGCATGACGTGAGATCGAGTATATAATAGGCGCGCTAGTTCAGGAATGAGGATGCAAGAGAGAGTGTGTGAGGTGCAAGTAATAATTAGTACAAAGAGTAATATTATATTGTAGCGCAGCGCATCCAGATAGGATCGAATCTGGGCTGCACAGAGTCTCTCTCTCAGGCTCAACTGGAATATATTCACTTATTAATTTGTTGGCAATTGAAAGAGCGGTAGCTACTCCCTGGCCTCGTCGTTTCATACATCTCGATCAGCTGCAAACTCCAGTGCAGGCCTGCCAGGTATAGTAAACTAATTGCCAATTAAGAAATTTAAATGGGACAAATTCCATCTCTATCATTTTTTTTCTTTTTTATAATAATTGCATTACCACTACCAACCGCACTATACTATACGTGGAGCCCATCGTCTGTTAAGCACAAACAAACTCCCAACGTACTTGTTATTTTCTCTTTCATTTTACTTTTTCTCCTTCTCCTCCCTCCCTCCTCACACTAGTCATTCATTCTTTCCCACTGGATCTGAGCCCATTGAGAAATTCTACTTTTTGCGCGTGCTATATATATCTCGCTCATCTCACCTCAGTGCAACCCTAGCTAGCTAAGCACTACTTGATTACATTACCACCTGGCTCTGATCTTAATTTGTGCGTCTCCGTTCCATTCAACCATGTCTACTTAATGCTATCTATCTACTAGTATGTATTTCTTCACGCTAGCTCTCCCTTCCCATCTATCTATCTCTAAATAAAGAATTTGAAATTAACCATGTAAACTTTTGGCTGCACGTACTGACCGCGCGCAGGTAAGCTGCTGTGCTAGTATAGGCAGTAGATCAGAGGAGAACGGCGCCGGTGGTGGTTTGGTGTCAATCCAAGATTTATCAATAAAATGGCAGAGGTCCACAGGGTCAAGCAAGAAGATGAAGCAGCAGCAGAAGATACTCATAGTACTCCTCTTAAAACCGCACCTTTCTACAAGCTCTTCTCCTTTGCAGATTCAACAGACATCGTGTTAATGATTGTCGGCACAACTGCGGCGGTTGGCAATGGCCTCTCCCTCCCATTGATGACCGTTCTCTTCGGAGACGTCACTGACGCCTTTGGACAAAATCAAGGTGACAATGATGTAGTTCACGCCGTTTCCAAGGTATGTACCTAGCAGCTCTGATTGATTGATTAGTCCTCCCTCAGCCGGCTCTGGCATACTGACCTGACCGGCCTCTCTCTCTCTCTCTCTCTCTCTCTCTCTCTCTCTATATATATATATATATATATATATATATATATATATATATATATATATATATAGGTGGCGCTGAAATTTGTCTACTTGGCTTTGGGGTCTGGCCTAGCTTCATTTCTTCGTAAGTACTGTACTGTACTGCGTGCCTATACATATCATCCCATTTTGATAGCTTTCATATCTCAATTAATATATATATATATATTGTTACGTTGTTCAGAGGTGGTTTGTTGGATGGTGACTGGTGAGAGGCAGGCTGCACGGATTCGGAGTCTGTATTTGCAAGCCATTCTGCGACAAGATGTTGCTTTCTTTGATATGGAGACTAATACTGGAGAAGTTGTGGGCAGAATGTCTGGTGACACCGTTCTTATACAAGATGCTATGGGAGAGAAGGTAGGTCGTCGTAGCTAGCACGCACCGTACCGGCCGGCCTGCAGCTCAACTCTTTTTTTTTTTTGAAATCATAGAGCATGGCAGGCGGCTTTTCTTTAACTTCTTGTTCTATCTTGTATGTTCTGACAACGAATTGAACCTTAATTATATTACTTTTCATCCATCTCTTAATTAATTGTAGGTCGGGAAATTCATTCAGTTAGTATCAACATTCCTAGGAGGGTTTGTGATTGCATTTATCAAAGGGTGGCTTCTGACATTAGTCATGTTATCCTCTATACCTCTACTCGTCATATCCGGTGGTGTCATGTCTATTGTCATAGCCAAGATGGCATCCCGTGGCCAAACTGCGTATTCAAAGGCCGCAGCTGTGGTTGAACAAACAATTGGCTCAATTAGAACGGTACTTAAGTTTTTTTTTTTTTTTTTTTTTTGTTAATCACTCAGTCACTCACTGATACAATAAACCATAAATGTATATTTTCTAGCAACCTTCAATTCAGTTCCTAAATTAAACTGCAATCTCAATCTATCTCTACATACTACTACTACTACCTTTAGGTTGCATCATTCACTGGGGAGAAGCAGGCTGTGGCTACTTACAATAAGTCCCTTGAGAAAGCTTATGAATCTGGTGTACAGGAAGGGTTGGCTGCTGGATTAGGTCTTGGGTCAGCTATGTTTGTTCTATTTTGCAGCTACGGCTTGGCTATTTGGTTTGGGGCCCGGATGATAACGCGAAAAGGTTATACAGGAGGTGAAGTGATCAATGTAATTATTGCTGTATTAGCTGGTTCCATGTGAGTAGTCCTCCATCCCATTCCATCCTGAGAATTTTATTTATTATGTTAAATGATCAATCAGAATTGGCCAGGGACAGATATAGCTAGCTAGAATATAATGGCATGCAATTTATTCATCAATTCCATGCATGCTAATCTAACACTTCAATTCCATCTTCTCCTATATATATATTCGATCAGGTCCTTAGGTCAAGCATCTCCTTGTATGAGTGCATTTGCATCAGGTCAAGCTGCAGCCTTCAAGATGTTCGAGACCATAGACAGAAAACCATGTGTAGATGCATATGACACCAAAGGTAAAATATTGGATGACGACATCCGTGGAGATGTTGAACTGAGGGACATCTACTTTAGTTATCCAGCAAGACCAGATGAGCAAATATTTAGTGGCTTCTCTTTATACATACACAATGGGACGACTGCAGCATTAGTTGGACAGAGTGGGAGTGGGAAGTCAACAGTGATCAGTCTGATTGAGCGATTTTATGATCCCCAAGCTGGTGAAGTTCTGATTGATGGGATTAATCTCAAGGAATTCCAGCTTAGGTGGATCAGGGAAAAGATTGGTCTCGTCAGCCAAGAACCTGTGCTTTTCACAGCAAGCATAAAGGATAATATTGCATACGGGAAGCCTGATGCAAGTATTGAAGAGATCAAAGCAGCAACTCAGCTCTCAAATGCTGCAAAATTCATTGACAAGCTCCCACAGGTCACACTTAATTATTAGTAGTTTCCATTCCGCCCATTTACTCATTATTATTTATCTATCTCATCGAATTCAGCATTATGCATGTGATTCTAGCTTCCAATTCGATCCCATCATTATATTTAAACAAGCTAGCTGATAGATGATATCGATGTTTACTCCAAACTTCAGGGGCTAGACACCATGGTTGGTGAACATGGGACTCAACTTTCTGGTGGTCAGAAGCAAAGAGTTGCTATAGCAAGAGCAATTCTAAAAGACCCTCGAATTTTACTTCTAGATGAGGCAACAAGTGCATTAGATGCTGAATCTGAGAGAGTTGTACAGGAGGCATTGGACAGGATTATGGTCAACAGAACAACAATCATTGTTGCGCATCGCTTGAGCACAGTAAGAAATGCTGACATGATTGCTGTCATTCATCGTGGAAAAATGGTTGAAAAAGGTAGGTAAATGTGTATGTATATATATAATAGTACGCATACATACAGCTTAACTCTGCCATTCTCATATTTCTCGAGTGAGCATTCCAACTTGATCTCCCTTTCTCGATCTGTCCATTTATATAACTAATCCTTTTGGTTTTGGATGGAATGAATATTCAATTTGATCAGGCACACATTCTGAACTACTCAAAGACCCTGAGGGAGCATACTCTCAGCTTGTACATTTGCAAGAAACAAATAAAGATACAGAACAACTTGGAAGGCAGTCTAGTCAAAGGGCATCAGCCTCTTTACGCTCTATAAGCCGGGGTTCATCTGGAATAGGAAATAGCAGCCGCCATTCATTCTCTGTCTCATTTGGTGTGCCCACTGCACTTGGTGTTTCTGAAACCACCTCAGTTGCAGCAGATGTTGGTTCAGAGAAAGATTCTGAAAATCCTCATCAGAAGGTCCAAATCCGTCGCCTTGCCTATCTCAACAAGCCTGAGATTCCAGTGCTCTTAGCAGGAACCGTCTCTGCTGTAATTAACGGTGCAATCCTTCCAATTTTTGGTATCTTGATCTCTAATGTGATCAACGCATTTTATGAGTCACCACATAAACTAAGGAAAGATGCAAATTTTTGGTCACTAATTTTTGTGGTACTTGGAGCGGTGTCATTGCTGGCATTTCCAGCAAGGACATACCTTTTTGGTGTGGCTGGTTGTAGGTTAATTAAAAGGGTTAGGTCGATGTGTTTTGAAAAGGTAATTCACATGGAGGTTGGTTGGTTTGATGAGGCTGAGCACTCAAGTGGAGTAATTGGTGCCAGGCTTTCCACTGATGCATCTACTCTACGTGGCTTGGTAGGAGATGCGCTGGCACAAATTGTACAAGATACTGCATCAGCAGCTACTGGTTTAGCTATTGCATTTGAAGCAAGTTGGCAGTTGGCGCTTATAATACTTGCTATGATACCTATGATTGGATTGAATGGATATGTTCAAATCAAGTTCATGAAAGGATTCAGCGCTGATGCAAAGGTATGTATGTATAGTTACGTTTTTCTTAATTATATATGTAGGTGTAGCGTGTACGTGATAGCTAGAAGACTAGCTAGGTATATGTAAGCATGCATTGCATATATATATATATATATATATATATATATATATATATCCGAGATCGATTGATATGATGGAAAACTTAAATTTAATTTGGAATTAAATATGCATGCAGATTATGTATGAAGAAGCAAGTCAGGTTGCCAATGATGCAGTGGGGAGTATAAGAACAGTTGCTTCATTCTGTGCTGAAGAGAAGGTGATGGAAATGTACAAAAAAAAGTGTGAAGGACCCGTGAAGGCAGGAGTTAGGCAAGGGCTAATTAGCGGAACAGGATTTGGAATTTCAATGACATTGTTATTTTTAGTTTATGCAACGAGCTTTTATGCTGGAGCACGGCTTGTTGAGGATAAAAAGATAACTTTCTCAGATGTTTTTCGTGTGAGTATATATATATATATATATATATATATATATATGTGTGTGTGTGTGTGTGTGGTAATTAATATAATATAATGCTAATGAAATGAGGGGGATCTCCCATGCAGGTATTCTTCGCCTTGACAATGGCAGCTATGGCTATTTCCCAGTCAAGCTCATTTGCCCCTGATTCAAGCAAAGCCAGGAGTGCGGCTGCTTCCATATTTGCTATCCTAGACAGGAAATCTAAAATAGATCCGAGTGAGGAGTCGGGAATGACACCGGCAAGTTTGAAGGGAGAAATTGAGTTCCGACATGTGAGCTTTAGTTATCCAACCAGGCGGGATGTCCAGATCTTGAGAGACCTGTGCTTGTCAATTCGCAGTGGCAAGGTTAGCTTTCAATTCATAATTAATATATATATATATATATATATATATATATATATATATATATATATATATATATATATATATATAGGCGGGATTAAATTGGAGTAGTAAATTAATTAATGAGGATATATATATTATGATGGATGGATGTGGGCGCAGACTGTTGCCATAGTGGGAGAAAGTGGGAGTGGGAAGTCAACTGTGATATCATTGCTACAAAGATTCTATGATCCGGATTCGGGAGAGATAACATTGGACGGAATAGAGATTCGGAAGCTGCAACTGAAATGGGTGAGGCAGCAGATGGGGCTGGTGAGCCAAGAGCCAGCATTATTCAATAACACTATTCGGGCCAACATAGCATATGGGAAGGGAGGAGAAGGCAATGCTGCAAGTGAAGCGGAGATCACAAGTGCAGCAGAGCTGGCCAATGCCCACAACTTCATTAGTGCTTTGCAGCAGGTACACCTACCCATACCACCTACTACCTACTACTCATCATCATCATATATATGTTCATTCAATATCATCATCATATGTATCACAAGAACAAACCAATTGGATGCATGCATGTGCAGGGATACGATACAATGGTTGGAGAACGAGGAGTTCAATTGTCAGGTGGACAAAAGCAACGAGTGGCAATTGCACGTGCTATGATCAAAAATCCAAAGATATTATTGCTAGATGAGGCGACTAGTGCATTAGATGCTGAGTCCGAGAGGATAGTTCAAGACGCATTAGATCGAGTGATGGTGAACCGAACTACTATAGTGGTAGCACATAGATTATCAACCATCAAAGGAGCAGATGTAATTGCAGTAGTAAAAAATGGAGTCATTGTCGAGAAGGGGAATCATGACAGTCTCATTAATATTAAAGATGGGTTTTATGCTTCTCTAGTAGCCCTTCACATCACTGCTGCTTCTTCCTCTTCCTCCTAGTCCATCCATGTAACTCATTTATTTTACTTTGATCATTCCATTATAATTTGAAAATGTACGTTACGTTTTGGCTGTCTAAACTCTATAGTACGTAGTACAGATCAGTTCCCTCCATTATTTCTATTCGCAAATCACATACAAACACAACTTTAATTGAAACTGACGCCCCGGCCCCGGCCCGCTCTTGGGTGCTTGGCTGCTTGCTATTTGATGATTTGGATTCCGTGTCCTTCTTGCTTTAGGTGCAAAAATAAATACGGAGTAAATTATTAGATCTCGATCGTGGTGCTGGCTTGTTCAAGAAACGGCTGTTGATGCGCTGCTATCTATGTTCACGTCATGACTGATGCCACATGATGTTATTCATTGCAATAATTTAAGGGCATTAAAGTTGCTAGGCTTCCTACAAGTTACAAGTTTATAATTATATATAGTTTAAAGATTATGCTTCAAATGCTCACTTATATTTTAATTTCATGGGCGGGACCTGGGAGTACTATATTATAATTATATTATTATTGGATCTCAGTAAATCCAAATTTATCTGATTTATTTATTTATATTTATAAAAATCTTTAATAATAAGGTATCTTTTAGGAGTTTTGACAAGAATATTTCATAAATAAGTGACAAAAATGAACAACTTCTAAAATTTAGACCCAAACAAAAAAGAAGAATTAGACAAAACGTGAGTCCCACTATATATATGCCAAAAGCAAGTTCCACTTGCATTTGTTTTTAGGACTCGTTTGGTTCGCGGAAAATATTTTAAGGGAATTAGAATTGGAATTCCATGGAAAAACAATTACTAGGAAGATAAATTTCATTGTTTGGTTGGTGGAAAAAGAATTACTGGGAATACTAATTCTATTGTTTGGTTAAATTTGGAATTGTAATAAAAGATCTATATGCCCCTACAAATTAATAAAAATAATATAATTAAAAAAGAAAGTAAGGGTAAAATAGACAATCTATTCACATTTTCTTCCCATCCTCCATGGAAAACAAAATCCTTGGTCCAACCAAGGATTTTGTTTTCCTAAAATTTGAGGACCGTTTCTGAACACCTTGAACACTCCTTGCTCGGAAAAGATCACAAAACCATATGTAGCAGTTCCCGTCTCTAGTTGGAGCTAGCGTCCACTCTACAAAACCAATCGTGGGTTGTATCCTGTTGTGTAGCTTGTTGGGTATCAACTGAATGTCTTCCTCCTGCGGTCAACTGCATCATAATGGACTTCCATGCACTCCAGCTGACTTCGAACGAATTTCATACTGCAACAGGCGTTGGTGCATACTGGTCCAAACCGCGTGATTACGAGAGCGCCAGATTGCATGAAGAAGACCCAATATTTTTGCTCCTATCACTCTATCCGCACTATTAAAAGTCCTGTCAGTGCACTACATGAAAACTTTCACCAATAACCACTGAGACGCCTTGCTAGGAGAGTGTCCAAATGCGTTGAGAAAATGGACAAACACACAAAGAATGCACTATGTACGTCTTCCTCACCTTCACCACATAAAGGGCACTCTACTAGCACATCTACTGCACTCTTCTAAGGTTCGAGTTTGTAATGGTAGAGAGGATGGCATTCAAAGCTATCCACATGAAGATCTTCCACTTGGGAGGTACTTGAAACTTCCAAATATGTGAGTCAGCCAATAGAAATTCACGTAACCGCCTATAGCCAGCTTTAACTGTGTAATTGCCTCTATGGTTTCCAAACCAATACCATATATCCTCCAAGTCGTGTCCAATAGGATTCTTTGATATTAAATCGACATCTCTATCCTCAAATAAATGTTGAATGAGTTCGGAATCCCAACCTCCCGTGATATGGTCAAACAAGTCAACTACTTTTAAATTGGCCAGATGTGGTTCAAGGACAGTCTGAATGCAAGAGTTAGCATGATCCAGGAGCCAAGGGGAACCCCAAACTTTAGTGTATAAACCATTATCAATTATATGCCTACTATTACTCAAAATCAGGTATTAGGCTACCATAATACTCCTCTAAACATAGCTCGAGCTAAGACCCAACTACGCCTCTAGAAATGAACCTTTGGAAAATAACGTGCTCGGAACACCTTAGCCACCAATGAATCAGGTTTCGTTAGAAAACCCCGAATACCCTAACACCCTCCACCACCACGACAACAATATATATTCATCATTATTTCCCAAGAATCACAAAATGTTTTGGGTAATTAAAAAAAAAAAAAAATACACTCATAGAATAAGTATACTATCCACGCTCTTTAAAAGAATCTCCATGCCAGCTTGTGATAAAAGTTTTTTATTCTAGGAACCAATTCTATGACTTAATTTATGTTCAATATATGCAAAGATCGCCCCTTCTATTCTTGACTAACACGGTGGAAACCCCATATAATTACCAAAATCATCTCCAACCGTGACTCCCAGCACCTCAGCCACGGCTGATCTTTCAAATTCCCTTGTATTGTGGCTATATGAGATGTTAGACTTATGAAAGTTAACAACCTATCCAAAGAAAGTTTCATAAATCTAAAGACACATCTTAACACCAAAAGCCTCCTGCAAATTTGCTTTAAAAAATAATTGAATGTCACAACAAAATAGAACAGACAGGGCACCACGAGCCACAAGTAACAAAGATAGACCCTCACCACAAATAATGAACAAATAGAGAGGAAAGGGGATTCTCTTGTCTTAATCCACAAGAGGGGATAATAAGATCAATGGGCAACCATTTACCAAAACCTTGTCTCTCACAATAGTGACACACATCATAACCAAGTCTATCCACTTCTCCTCAAAACCCAGCCCCTACATCATCCTTCTTAAAAAATGTCATTCCATACGATCATAAGTCTTGGCCATATCCAAGAACAACCCACCCCACATGACCCAGCTGTTTTTTCCTTAGGTAGTGACCCACCTCAAAAGCAATCAATAGGTTGTCAGTGATTAATCTATCTGAGAAAAACGCGCTTTGCGAGCCCGAGATAATATTCTCTGGTGAGACCCAAGTAACAAATACCTTCTTCCAGGAAAGGCTATTGGGCTAGAGCTAAAAGCCTAAAACACCAAGTAACAAATACCTTCTTCCAGGAAAGGCTATTGGGCTAGAGCTAAAAGCCTAAAACCACAATACATATCATCGATGATGCGTCGTCGGTCGTCAATTAAGATTATGAAAATTCATCTCAACAAGCCAAGTACAAATATAAGCACACCTATATAAGCACACCTAACTAACTATTCATCATCGCTTTCATCACTGTATTGAACTAAACTACCATTTGCAACAGAACCAGACTTGTCATCATCACCTTCAGTCATTCCTGTTTTCATGTATCCATGGGACTCCTGTGTGTGACAAGACTCTTTTGCATTACCATAAGACGTTGTCCTAGCCATCAAAGATGCTTCAGAATTTGCATCATCTACCTTAGCTTTCTTCACTTGTGGCTTAACTTTTATCAACATTCCCAAGGGCTTGGCTGGAGGATTTTTCCTCCCACCACTTCTTTGTTCCTGTATGAATGGATTAGAACTAAGCACGTTGGAACACAAGTCAATGCAAGATGAACTCTCCTCCTACTCTCTATTTACATAACTAGAGTGAGATTATGGTGTCACAATTTGTTTTTTCTTTTACACAAGGGAGTAACAAGCATCTAAACCAACTGGTTTCCAAGCATGTAAAGCAATGGGTTAAACCCTTTATAAAGTGGTGTTTGGTTTATAGAATGAAAACACAGAGAATAGAAATAGGATTTCAGATTTCCAAAAAGGAAAATATGATTAAATGACAAAGGTATCCATGCCCAAAAGATTATATTTACATGCAAATAATATGTGTGTGCCCCTTGACATTTTGCAAAATAGAAAAATGAACCCTATTCCATGAACCAAACGTTACATAAAGGTAAAGCCAAACATGTAATCTACCAGCATGAGATTTCACAATGTACCAGAGAGTTTTGTCATCCAGAGTCAGAGTTGACTGTTGGATATGAATACATGTTCAAGTGTCAGATTGATGATGTTTTACATTGCTTGACTAAATTTGAACAAATCCTTCACTCAAACTGTGCCATGTTGTGTTGATGATGTTGGTAAAGTTAAGAGTCTAAGTAACAAAGCCAGTGCTCGGAAAGACTAGCTAAGAAGGAAGGAAAGGTCCTAGACTCCTAGTCACTACTTGCCAGTTTTCATTGCAAACACCCCACTTTCAGACACGTAAACCTTTAGTTCCGTATTAGCACTTGATGATGTGGGTAAAGTTCACTATTACCTCTAGATTAACACATAAGAAAATTGTAAGTTGGCTAGCAATAGGACTTTGATACTTGTAGATAAAGTAACAGCAACTAACCTGAATTTTAGGAGATATCTCCTTGAGCTCATGTACAGTGATAGACTGTGCAGCAACTGCAGCCTAAAAATGGGCCCAAACAACTAAAATCAACACTCTGGTGCATGACATTGTTGGTAAAAGGAAACGTCAGTAACTGTTCCAACTTACCTGAAAACTTCGCAGCTGCTTTGCTTCTTCATCAACCAGTTGTCGTTCATATTCTTGCCTCGACTAAAGGAACACCAATATGAATGAATATGGGCGCATAATTCACAAGAATTTCATACAAACATAATTTCTACATTTTCATGCCCAAATAGAACTCATAAAAAATCTTTTCATAACCAATATTTTACTTCCTCTCTTTTCGATTATGACAAGTGAAACTTGGTCTTAAGATTATCAAATTACTTCACACATAACAACGTACACATGCATCTCTGATAAAATCAATCAAAATTATAGCTGTAAGTAGATTACCTAGCAAATATGCAAGATGACTATAAACAAATTCTGATAAACAATATGGCATGAAAGATGATATGGAATGAAGAAAACTAAGAATGGTGAATGGAATACATGAGTGAGAAATGAATTAAAGTCGCAAATGTTGTGTTACCAATAAGAGACTCTTTAGTTCATTACGCAAATGTTACTCTAGCTTAGTTATAAGTTTAAAAAGTGTCTATTTAGTTTCAGTGACCTAAAATAAGATTTAATTTCTCCCAACCCTAATTTATTTGTCTCCTTTCCTCTCTGTACTCTCCCTTCTTTTCCCCCATCAAAAGATAATCTGATAACTGCTGGGAATGGAAACACTGGATGCAACCAGGCTATGCATGTCAATGGGAAACATGAAAGGCCTCCCTCAGCATTGACCCCCTCTATTACCAAACAAAAAAAGGAAATGAAGGAAGTAGAACCTCTCTGCATTCCAATCCAACAATATAAAGTCGAGTCTACTTCTACAATATTCTCCATTCTCACAATATAAATACATCTGGCATGCTAATGGAAATCTGATAAGAATAAGCAATTCATCGATGAAGACCTAAAAGAAGCTCTTGATTATTTAGTTTTGAAGGCAGCAAGGGTCAGAAGTTGCAAAAGTAAAACACACTGAATCAAACCCCTTACCAAATTGCAAAATCAAATCTTAAGCATACTTATGCCAATTAAAAGGGAAAACCTTAACCATGCAGTCATAATGATGCTGAGACAGTCAAGTACAAGATAGTGGCTAATTAATTACTTTTCTGTAAGAAAAGTCTTACCGCCTCAAGTTTATCTAAAAACTCAGTTTCATCCTCATCCAGTGCTTTGGGGGGTCCTGAAAGTAAATTTAAAGAATCTTCATAGTTGCCAGACATGGACAAAATATCAAAGACCACAAGCTCAATAAAATATTGGGAAAATAAATATTTAGTCACCCAGGCTCAACTGATCAAAGTGTTTTCATGTAATATAGATGCAAACCACATAAAGGTGGGAAAAAAAAAATTACTGTGCTTGAAGCGTTCGTTGAATTCAGCATCTTTCTTGTCCTTGTTCTCCTTTAAAATCTGTAAATTGTAATTGAAAAGAAGTCAAGCGAGTAGCTGTGTGCTGCAAAACTTAGTCAGATTCGTCATGTTTCCAGATTGAATTAGGCCAGGCAGACATTGAATTGCCACTCCAACGCATAATAGTATTCTGCCCACAAAACATTTACAATAGTAATTTAAGATAAAGCATAACACAACATGACCTCGTACAGGGACCTATCTCTTTGGGCAGTTCCGTCCTCAACCCGAGCGCCACGGGATCTCCTAGCCTCTTCTAACTGCTCTTCAGATACAAAATTCATCAATCTCACCGGAGCCGCAGAATGGCCTAACTCCTCCTCCCCGTCTCCCCCCGCCATCTCTCTCTCTCTCTCAGCAACGATAATCCGCTTATAGTTATTGAAGTATAGACTGCACACCCAACCCAACCGAACCCTACCCACGCGGTATTCCGTAAACAGAGCAGCTCTTGGATACTGATGGACTATGATGCTTCCCAATTCGTAGGACAATACACAGGTGTTTGATGGGAAGGAGGGAATTAAAAGGGAAAACAATTGTAATTTTTTGGAAATAAAATTAAAGCGAGAATTTTTTTTGAAAATCAAAAGAAGAATTTAAATTATATTGTTCCGTAATAAAGAATAAAATGATTAGGAATTAAAATGTAAGATTTTATTATTAAAATGATCTCTAGATTATTATGAAATTATCAATTCGATTTTTGATAGTTTTTTTTATTTAATTAAATTCTTGATTTTGAGAATGTTAATTATTTTGGTCTTCTATTAAAATCATCCAATTAAATTTAAAGACAAAAATATAATTTCATATATTTTATTTATTAAAGCATTCCTTAATCCTTCTTCCTCGTCAATCTTGTCGATGTTGCTGCAATAGTTGTTCCAAAGGTTTTTGAAGCATCGCACACGTTGATAATGGTGGCCATTCTTTCTTAAAAATTATTGAGAAAAGGGTCAAATATACCCCTAAACTTTACCCCAAAGGTCAATTAGACCCCTAAACTTTAGAAAAGGTCATTTAAATTTTCAAACATGTTAAATTGAGTCAATAAAGTCCAAAAATCGGTAAATGACCTGTTATTATAGGTCATTTCAAATCTGGCGACGAATTCCGGCCACCGGCGACAACATCCGGCCGGACGGCCGCCTCTTCCGGCCGTCTCCTCCCATGGAGAACACGGCCAGATCTGACCGTCTCCTCCGATGGAGGAGACGGCCGTCTGGTCGTCTTCTCCATCGGAGGAGACGGCCAAATCTGGCCGGAGAAGGCGGCCGTCCGGTCGTCTTCTCCTGTGGAAGACGATCGGACGACCGGATGTTGTCGCCGGTCGCCGGAATTTGTCGCCGGTGGCCGGAATTTGTCGCCGGATTTGAAATGACCTATAATAACAGGTCATTTACCGGTTTTGGAGCTTCATTGACTCAAATTAACATGTTTGAGGGTTTAATTGACCTTTTCTAAAGTTTAGGGGTCTAATTGACCTTTAGGGTAAAGTTTAAGGGTGTATTTGACCATTTTCTCAAGATTATTTTAACCTCCTCTCATTCTAGAAAGTACAAAATTACTTTTCCTATTCCTCCAAAATAAATAATAAATAAATAAATAAAAATGATAAAAGAAAATATGAAAAGTCAAAAGTCAAAGAATAGAGAGAGATAAGCTATAAGCTCTGTTTGGTAATGTTTCCAAAATAAGCTCCTAGTAGCTTAAAATAAGAGCTTATTTTGAAACGCTGTCATAGGCTCTGTTTGGCAAATTTAGCTGAAAAGCTATAAGCTAGGAGCTGAAAGCTGAAAAGTTATAAGCTCGGAGCTGAAAACTGAAGAGCTGTTAAGCTAGCTGTTATAATTGAAAGTATTTGGTAAAATTAGCTTTTTGATAAACTGATAAAAAAAAAAAAAAAAACACCTAAAAAGGACATCTTCATGCAATTTAAATTAGCTTGTTTACATATTAAAATTTAACATTTTGTCTATAAAAAAATTTTAACATTTTGAAATAAAACTATTAACATAATCATGATCTAGCATCTCGTAATGAAGTAGCAATATTGTTACAAATATAATAATAATAATAATAATAATAATAATAATAATAATAATAATAATAATGTCATTTCTTTATCCTTATTATTATTATTATTATTATTATTATGGGGTGAGGACCCCGGCCCAAGAAGGACGGCCCAAAAGAAGAGGCCCATAATGGAAGAGAGCCCATAATGGGTAAGAAGCGGCCCAGAAAGTGAGAAAATGGGTCAGTGGATAGGTCTGGTATGGGCCTGGGCCGAGTCCAGGAGTCGGCCCAAGCCCCGGCTAAGGAAAAGACTCAGCTTAGAGCCGTTGGGGAGCATTCATTGTAGCATTCAAAGGGCTCGGCCAAGCGAACCGTTAGGGAAGTCCAAGGAGCCGTTGACCGACCCGGTAACAGCACCCAACAGCTCCTTGGTATAATTAGCCTTGAAGGCAGTCTTCAATGTACATTAACTTGGCGGAGGGGTGAGTCTTCTATATAAAGGCCCCTCCACCCTTGTAAAAGGGGCAAATCCAGGCCAAGAGAATAAAGAAACACGTTCACTACAACTACTTACTTTTATTCTATTTTTAGCAGCTTTGTTGAAAGGTGTATCCACCAACTAAGGTTGTGTTGGACCTCCCTGGGCCCAAAAACCCTAAAACCAACAATTATTATTATTATTATTATGAGATTTGTAACAATATTGCTACTTCATTATGAGATGCTAGATTGTTATTATGCTAATAATTTTATTTCAAAATGTTTTTTTTTTTAAAGATAAAATGTTAAATTTTAATATGTAAACAAGCTAATTTAAATTTTATGAAGATGTCCTTTTTAGTATTTTTATATTTATCAGCTTATCAAAAAATTAATTTTACCAAACACTTTCAATCATAGCAGCTAGCTTAACAACTCTTCAGTTTTCAGCTCCGAGCTTATAGCTTTTCAGCTTTCAGCTCCTAGCTTATAACTTTTCAGTTAAATTGTCAAGCAGAGCCCATGTGATGAGGAAGGAGATAGAGAAACCAGTGGAGCTGAAAACAACGCCGACGGGCTGAGGAACATGTTATTTAGCTGCATCAACATCCACGGGTCCGACACTGGCGAGAACAGCTCCGGTGGAGATATCGAAATTAACGACGTCGGTGCAGGCGCTAATATTCCTAGGATCTGCCCCATTTCAACACTTAAATTTTCGATTATCGCCAATACTTCATATTGTTCCATGTCTCTCTGTCTCTCCCTTTCTCTCTCTAACGGACTTGTTTTCTCAATAAAAGCTAATTTCGTCGCCGAGGACAAGTCGCCGAATCCACTATCAGACCTCGAAGCCTACCCCACCTGTGAAGAGGACAACCCCGTCGACCGCTGCACCACGCCCATGAAGTCGCGGACCAAACAAATGAAACTCACGAACGGTTTCTGGTTTCTTTGCATTGTGAATTAATTGAAAATGGGTTTTCGTGCGATATTACATTAATGTCCTCAAATTTAACATATTTTTAACGCCTGATCTAACAGATGACTAAAATGGTTAACATTTTCAAAGTCGAGGACTTAATTGGCCTGAGTAAGAAAAATTGTCAATGACTAAATTGGTAATTTCGCAATAGTCGATGGACCATTTCGGTAATAAATTCAAAATGTAATAACTGAATAAATACTAAAATGACCTTTATAATAATACAGAGTAATATAATATTCATTCAGTCTTATTTTATTTGTCCTATTTACTATTCATTAGTTACACCAACTATTTCTTCTTTGTTTATTTTTTACTTATTTTTAAATTTGATTTTTTTTTTTGGTGGTTAATAGTACTTTTTGTGTTGTACCAGCGCAGGGAAGGCTCAAGCTTAATACTGATGCTGCGTTAAGGGAGACAGATAATGCTATGGGGTTCGGATGGGTCTTGCGGGATGATGGAGGTAATTTCCTGGCTGCTAAGAATGTCAGAGTACCCGGGCTGTATACGGTTAAGGAGGCGGATGTGCTTTCTATACGGGAGGCGTTGAGTTGGCTTAAGGGTACTGGTCTGGGTGCTGTAGATGTGGAAACATATTGTATGATTGTTTTTAATGCTTTGACTTTGGATTCTTTTGTTTCTGTTTTTGGCTACTTAGTTGATGATGTAAAGAGCTTGGCATCTGAGATTGAGGATGTGCGGTTCTGTCATGTTAAGCGATCTGCGAATTGTGCTGCCCACACTGTTGCTGGGGAGGCCTTTTCTGTGTCAGATTGCGGAGAGTGGTTGGATGACCCACCTGCTTTCCTTGTTGACATTCTTGATTCTGATTTAATGAATTAATCTTTCTCTTTAAAAAAATAAAATAAAATAAACATATAAATTTTTTATACTAATATTAATTTTTTTTTTTTTTTTTTTTTAAAGCCATGTACTAACATTGATCCTTCCTCTAGGAATGGATTTGTACCCTTCTCTCTTAATTTTAGATGCTCCTAGGACAAATTTAACGTCTTAATGAAACTTGTTTGCTTAAAAAAAAAAAAACAAATAAATCTCATGCTATCTGCGGAAAAGGCACAAGTTTGGCAGGGCAGTCAATCGTAACGGCGTCGTAGTCTGAACCATATTAAAATGTGAGATGTACACGTTGGACGTTGCGTTCGTAATTCTAACCAATGGTGAGTAGCTTTACTGCCAGCTCAGCGCGAGAGTGTAAATTAGTTGCAGTTTTATTTTTTTAATAATTAATTAATATAAAAGCTCTTAATAATCTTACCAGAGAAAGGTTATTGCTCCGTACATGTCGTCGACCTGCACTATCCATCAGACAGAAGAAGCAAAGCATTGAGCGACAGAAGGGTGAGGGGCTGCCGGCAGAACCCAAGTATCCCAGTTTCCGAAACCCGAGTATTCCGACGCTCAGAGGATCCAATTGCGGTCCGGTCGATATCATCGATATTTCTTTTATGCAAAATCTCCCCTGATTTCATGTTTTCACCCGCTTCGCCTTCAGGTATGCAAAATCTCTTGTGATTTCATATCTTCAATTCATGCCTCGTTAATTCTTGATTCAATTTAATTGCCTTTTATTGATTCTTTCCGAAATATTTCCCCTAAAATTTTAAACCGGACGTGCATTCGAAAGCTGAATGCATAGGTGTTATCTTGAATTGATCTATATTTACCGCCTTGTTTCTTAGATAGATTGACGGGCCGCTGCTCCGGTTAAGGTGCCATCTCGCAATTTCGCAAGGAACTCTTCTCATTTCCCAGGTTTTATGATCTTCTGGGGGGTTTTTCGCTGTCATGTTTCTATTCTCTAATTTCTGCCACTCCTAATTCCTGCTCCCTGTCTTTTCATATACTTTTAGCATACATTTGACATTCCTGTAATCGTGACTGTAAAAGTATTCACCTTTTTTTCATATTCGTCTTATGGGACTGGAGCTTGGTCACTTAAATCGAGCTTTTGGTTATCTTCAAAAATCTTTTTTCTTTATTTGATGTTCTTGAGCTAAATTTTAAATTGTCAATGGCCAATCAACCTCACTCTTCCTTGGGGTACTCTGGCACTGTTCAACCCCCTCACCAAGGTACCCACTCACCTCTTCCGGATTCAATACTCAGCTCTCCTCCTTTCCCTTCAACATCTGGTCCAAGATTTCCTCCACCAATAGTACAACCTAACCAGGTTCCTTCTCCATCTATTAAGACCCCTAATCTACCTTCACCAGCCAATGGGATTAGAACTGGAAGCCCTGTTCCTCACCTGAGCACTCCACCTGGACCTCCCATGTTCTCCCCACCACTTCAACCTGCTGCTGTGCCTTTTCGAACATCTCCAGCCACTCCTCAGCCTGTTGTGTTCTCTTCAGGTTCATCCCTACCCACATCATCTCCTCCCCATTTTTCTAATGGGTCTCTTGAGGAGCTGCACCAGACTTCTGGTGATAGAGAAGAATGGACAAATTCTACAGAATCTCCAAATGTTGTGTTTTCATCTTATAAGGTATATTTCATGAAATCTCTTGTTTAATTTAATGAAAATTATGTATTTCTCTAGGCAATTAATCATTCTAAAAAATTGCAGTTTAGTGAATGCTTATCTACTTTATATATAATATGGAGTAATTTTTTTTCCCTAGTAAATGTGCTGGATATGAATCTTGTTACTTTATGTTTTCTTTCTTATATGATTATCTCTTCTTATTCAGGTATTGAAACAGAAGAAACTAGCAAATGTTCTGAGTTTAGGGTTTGGTGCATTAGTTTCCCCAGGCAGGGAGGTATCCTTAGGTCCTCAAATAGTTCAGCGTGATCCCATTCGCTGTCATAATTGTGGGGCCTATGCCAACCTTTATTGCAATATTTTACCTGGTTCTGGTCAGTGGCAGTGTGTAATTTGTCGTAATCTGAATGCAAGTGAAGGTCGGTATTTGGCTTCTAGCAAGGAGGAGCTTCGCAATCTGCCAGAACTGTCATCACCGTTAGTTGATTATGTCCAAACTGGGAATAAAAGACCTGGTTTTTTCCCAGTCTCAGATACTAGAGTGTCCGCACCAATTATTCTTGTTATAGATGAGTGTTTAGATGAACCACACCTGCAGCATCTACAAAGCTCCTTGCACGCTTTTGTAGATTCACTACCCCCAACAACAAGACTTGGAATTATTGTGTATGGTCGCACAGTGTCAGTCTATGATTTCTCAGAAGAATCAATGGCATCTGCTGATGTACTTCCTGGTAACAGATCACCATCTCAGGAATCTCTAAAAGCATTGATCTATGGAACAGGGATATACCTTTCACCTATGCATGCTTCGCTTCCTGTTGCACACTCAATATTCTCATCTCTGAGGCCATATAAACTTAATATTCCAGAAGCTTCTAGAGATCGCTGTCTGGGTACTGCAGTGGAAGTTGCTCTAGCAATAATTCAAGGGCCTTCAGCAGAAATGTCAAGGGGGGTTGTTAAAAGACCTGGAGGAAACAGTAGGATAATTGTCTGTGCTGGGGGACCAAATACATGTGGGCCTGGTTCAGTTCCTTATTCTTTTTCTCATCCAAACTATCCCCATATGGAGAAAACAGCATTCAAGTGGATGGAAAATCTAGGTCGTGAGGCGCACAGGCATAGTACAGTCATTGACATATTATGTGCTGGTACATGTCCAGTTCGGGTACCTGTTCTGCAACCTCTTGCAAAAGCTTCTGGTGGTGTTCTGATTCTCCATGATGACTTTGGAGAGGCATTTGGTGTGAACTTACAGAGAGCATCTGTCAGGGCTGCAGGTTCTCATGGTTTGCTGGAGATCCGTTGTTCTGATGATATTTTTATAAGTCAAGTAATAGGTCCTGGTGAGGAGTCACATGTAGACAACCATGAAAGTTTTAAGAGTGACAGCGCACTTTCCATTCAGATGCTTAGTGTTGAAGAGACACAGAGCTTGGCATTATGCATGGAAACCAAGAGAGATATCAAGAGTGATTTTGTGTATTTTCAGTTTGCATTTCACTTTTCAGATGTTTACCAATCCGATATCTCCAGAGTGATCAGCGCAAGATTGCCTACAGTGGATAGCATTTCAGCCTATCTTGCAAGTGTTCAAGATGAAGTGGCTGCTGTTCTTATTGCCAAGAGGACACTTTTACGTGCCAAGGATGCCAATGATGCACTTGATATGCAAGGAACAGTAGACGAAAGAATTAAAGATATTGCCATCAAGTTTGGTTCTCAAATGCCCAAATCTAAGCTTTATCAGTTCCCCAAGGAGCTCTCCTTCTTGCCAGAGCTCTTATTCCATCTTAGAAGAGGCCCACTTCTTGGAAGCATTCTTGGTCATGAAGATGAGAGGTCTGTGTTGCGGAACTTGTTTCTGAATGCATCATTTGATTTATCCCTCCGAATGATTGCCCCTCGTTGTCTGATGCATCGGGAAGGTGGTACTTTTGAGGAACTACCAGCTTATGATCTTGCTATGCAATCTGATGCAGCTGTTGTTCTCGATCATGGCACCGATGTCTTCATTTGGTTGGTATGCCACTTAAGTTACCTTCTTTTTGTTAAAGACAAAATTATTATTAAAAAGAATCTGACTACTTATTATGCTTGCATTTGAATGGCGTGTAAGCTATGATACTGCAAATTATTTATTTATTTATTTATTTTTATGGTTTTACCTGTTAGCTAGTGAGAACTCCAACTTTGATTTTGCCTTTGCGGGACATAAAAAGTATTGAGTTGTGGAAGAATGGTGAAAACCATGCCAAGTAGTTCCATTTTCATTTCGGCTTGTGTTATCCTTGGGAGAGAGTACAAAGTTTTGGGAATGGAAGGAATGGAGAATAGTTTGCTTTTCAGAAAGGAGAAGTAAAAAATTTTTTGTGAACGAACTAGAATTCACAGCTGTTATATGCTATCATGAAATTTTTTTCCACTAGTTTTGTCCAATTTTGTTATCGTTGAAATTTTTTTACCAAGGCTACCAAAGTTAAGACTTTGCTTTTTAATATTTGGGTTTATGGTTGTGATTTCTCTTTGTGTACTACCTATTTACATTTTTTTTTTTGGTCAACTTGCTTCAATGCTTCCCTTTATCTTTGTTGTTGTTCAGGGTGCTGAACTAGATGCTCAGGATGGAAAGGGTGCTGCAGCGTTGGCAGCTTGTAGAACATTAGCTGAAGAGCTGACTGAAATGAGGTTTCCAGCCCCACGCATCCTGGCATTCAAGGTTAATATTTTTTATCAGCCCACCTTGCCTGCCTATAAATGAGTTTGCCTGGGTGGAATCCTGACTCTTTTTTCTTTTTTAATCAAAGGAGGGAAGTTCCCAGGCACGGTATTTTGTTTCTCGGCTGATAGCAGCACACAAAGATCCTCCCTATGAACAGGTAGTTAGGGACTTGAGATGCTGTTTTTCATGATGTTAGCTTTTATTTTCTCTGTATTTGTATACTTCTTGAGTTGAAAAGGTACTCATCAAGACTCAAATTTCAGAATCCAATAAATTGGTAAGGTCTAATTTCTAGTCCAATGAACCACTTCTCTGAAAATAGAAATGCACTTGCCTATATCTTCCTTCCTAAACCCTGGATGTTGCTAGAGGGTGGTCTGTTGAACCTGATCTATTTAATGCATGATTATAGTCCTTCAGGTAAAGAAGTATTACGTGTACAAATGTGATTGTACACTGAACCTGTATTAGTGATGATAAGTACAATTGAGGCTATTGAGTACCCACTTTGTAGTTGACTTGAGAATACCAGGTGTTATGGAAAATTAGTTATAATATTGTTCATCTGAGAGATTCATTATTTATACATTAGGTTTTACTGAGGAATTAACAGGAGACATTTTCTCTCTTTTCAATTATCTCTCACTTTAAAATGTTCTTTTGATTTGGTATTATGAAGGCTTAAATATACACCATAGTTGAGTGTAATATTTTATTGAAATTCTCAAATCTTAAATCATGATTTTATAGCTTCCCTAAGTGAAGACATTGCTAAGTTGATGCATATGAATGTAGGAGGCAAGATTTCCACAGCTTCGAACACTGACAACAGAACAGAGGACAAAACTGAAAAGCAGCTTCCTTCACTTTGATGATCCTAGCTTCTGTGAATGGATGCGGAGTCTGAAAGTGTTGCCCCCTGAACCAAGCTAGGTGGGCTGCATAATCAAAATTCCCGGACGAGTGGTGAAAATCTCAAAGAGGAATTAAGTTGGGCCATGCTTTTGTCTTAGTCTCCATCTCTCAAGAACTTTTTCCCCTCCTAGTCTGACTATTTTGCATGCAAATTGCAGTGCTCACAGAGATTATATTGCAGTCCCCGCTCCCTCAGAACTGTAGTTTTTTTTTTTTTTTTTTTTTTTTTTTTTTTTTTTTTTTTTTTTGGTTTGGTTTTGTTGAGGTGATTGATACCTGATGTACCTTGTTGCATTGGTTTTGTATTTACACAATTAGCTTGTACATCATGGCAGATGAATAAGGTAGATTGTTCACTTGATTTGATGGTACTTTTACCGCCTGAGTAGTTGGATGTTCAAGCGTGGGCATCTTCTTTAGTTACCTATCATTAGTGTCTGTGAGGCATCCACTTGTGGCTCTGATGGATGGGAAAATAATATAATCATTCTGATGAATTGAAAATTGATTTCTGCATTACTTACACTCCCAAATAAATGTTTCACCGAAGGAAAAAACCCGAATGGACTCCAAAAGAGTGTGGAACTGGAATGCTGTTTATTTATTTTTGGTTAAACTAAAGCGAGCGAGCGAGCCGGGTTTAGAGTTTAGACCATGGACTGACGGACGGTCATAATTGCCATTTTGGTGGCATTATCTTTGATGGCTTATCTATTGCTCTATACTCTATCTGGCTGTGAGTCAGTCTCTCTCCCTAGTCCATTCTCTCCCAGCTTTTTTAGGCTTAGGGAAGCTACAAACTGAAATTGAATCGGTTGAATTTATGGCATTGGCGGTTGCCCACCCCCCGCCCCCGGCAGCCTACTGTCGCTGTGATGAGGCTTCTCACCTCTCCCGCACCGCTCTCCATTTCTATCATCATCAAAAGAAGACAAACCGCTGCAGTTGGCTTCGCGCCGGAGGAACCGGTGCTCTCCATCTTGCTGGGACTAAACCAGTGGAACTCAGAGCGGGATGGATGAGGAGGCCGCGGAGCCGCCCCATCGTGGCGTCTTTAGGAGGTCTCTTCGGAGGGATCTTCAAGTCCACTGATTCCGGCGAGTCCACAAGACAGTTGTACTCCTCCACCCTCGCACTTATTAACGCCTTCGATTCCCAAATGTCTTCTTTATCAGACTCCCAATTGAGAGACATGACTGCCACTTTACAACAACGTGCCCGTAGCGGTGAATCTTTGGACTCTCTTTTACCTGTGAGTCTTGTCCTTTTTTTTTTTTTTTTTTTCCTTTTTCTTTGCGCACTATGTATGTGTATCTATGTATGCGTCCTTAACATCCATCTTTATCTTTAAATGCCTATTGTCCAAAGATAATGGAAACAATCAAAAAATTAAGTTGTAATCAAATTTCTTGAGCGACTATTTGAGGTGTTATGTATGGAGTATTAAACTCAGATAGATATGTGCATTTCTTTCTACTGATATAGTTTTGTTATACTTTTAGTATGGTTCAGAAGATCTATTCCATTTTCATTAGTGTATTCTTAATTGATTTTTAGTTTCTTAGTTCCTACTTATTTGTACCTATAGAGCAGTAACTACTACACATTATGAAGATTATTTGACGCTTCATAAACATCTTTCAAATTTTCTATCTGTTGTTCAGAACATAAAGTGTGGTTTGCTTGCAGGAAGCATTTTCTGTTGTAAGAGAGGCTTCAAAAAGGGTTCTAGGACTTCGTCCTTTTGATGTGCAACTAATAGGTAGTATTCTGGATCCTCCTACTTTCCAACATAGGTAGCCAAGTTTGCAACATAGGTTAGCATGATTGGTACTTCTTACTCAGCATCACTTTATAAAACATGATAAAATTTGGCTCCAAGGGTCTGTTATTTCCTACCTGTTATATATTTCTGCTTCTACATGTTTGGGAAAGATTATGAATTATATATTATACAGAGTCACATACTTTCATTATTTCATACGAGCTGGCGTGCTCTTTCACTAGGAATTTCAGCTCCTTGTCATTCTGGAAACCTTAATTGCTTTATTTTTGTTAGTATAGGGGGCATGGTTCTTCATAAGGGAGAAATAGCTGAAATGAGGACCGGAGAAGGAAAGACACTTGTAGCTATATTACCTGCTTATTTGAATGCATTGACTGGAAAAGGAGTTCATGTGGTTACAGTAAATGATTATTTAGCTCGAAGAGATTGTGAATGGGTTGGTCAAGTTCCTCGGTTTCTCGGACTTAAAGTTGGCCTGATCCAACGTATGTCTTGTAACCTTTATTGGTCACATTTCTTCACTTACAACGGTTCCTTTATCATAATTGTGCTTATATTTGTCTCATGCTGCTATCCTTGTTTTCTTTTATGGAGTTAATTCCAACTTTTGTCTTAGATTTATAGGTGTCAGTACACTTTTGTCTTTTTTTTTTTTTTTTTCAAAAATCCCCCTTTGGTCCTAGTATTATTGTGGCATGACCAATTTTGGTCCTCTGTCAATAAAAGCGTTTAAATGGCCTTAAATACAAGGGAATTTTGGTCTATTCAATTCTAAGTGTTAACTGTTAAGTCATTTTCCTTTTTTGGCCTTAGATTTATATGTGTCATTTCACTTTTAGTCTTTTTTTTTTTTTTTTCAAAACATTCCCATTGGTCCTAGTATTATTGTGCCATGACCCTTTTTTGTGTCAACAAATATGTTTAAATGACAATAAAAATGATGTTATTAACCACTCAAAGTCCTCCTTTTTTTCTTCTTGGTAATAAAACAGTTATTGCAAAATCCAAAAAAGTGCAATTAAAAAACCACAAGTCTACTTCATGGCAAACCTTAAGTCTAGTGTATAAGTTTACTTCATAAAAATTCTTCTACTACCAAGAAGAAAAAAGGAGGATTTTGAGTGGTTAATAATGTCATTTAAACATATTTGTTGACGGAGGACCAAAAATGGTCATGCCACAATAATGTTAGGACCAACAGGGATGTTTTGAAAAAAAAGGACTAAAAATGGAATGACACATACAAATCTAGGACTAAAAAAGGAAAATAACTTAACACTTAGAATTGAATAGACTAAAATGCCCTTGTATTTAACGTCATTTAAACGGTTTTGTTGACAGACGACCAAAAATGGTCATGCCACAATAATACTAGGACCAAACGGGGATGTTTTGGAAAAAAAAAAGGACTAAAAGTGGACTTACACCTATAAATCTAGGACTAAAAATGGAATTAACACTTCTTTTATGTTTTTTTTTTTTTTTTCCCCTAAACTGTCTTATGAATCTCATCTTTTTATTGCATAGTACTTGGTAAGATATAGTTGGACTTCAGCTTTAAATATACAAGTACTTATTTATGAAGATTTTCTTTTCTTGCTTGATGAGTTGATGATGAGGTTTGCTCTAATGATGGCTTTTACATCAAGCAGAAAATATGACAAGTGAGCAGAGGAGGGAAAATTATCTCTGTGACATCACATATGTGACTAATAGTGAGCTGGGTTTTGATTACCTGAGAGATAATCTTGCCACGGAAAGTAATTATTTTGCTTTGATATGTTTTTTTTTTTTTCTTATTTATGTTCAATTGAAAAACACATTTAACAATAGTGAACTAGGTTTTTAATATACTGCTGTCCTAAGTGGCTTTGTCTTTCCTCTGCAGACTGTGGATGAGCTTGTGTTGCGACGTTTTAATTACTGTGTGATTGATGAGGTTGATTCTATCCTAATTGATGAAGCCAGGACTCCTCTTATCATATCTGGACCTGCTGAAAAACCAAGTGATCGGTATTATAAAGCTGCTAAGATAGCTGCTGCCTTTGAGCAAGATATACATTACACTGTAAGGAATAACTGTAATTGCCTATGACAAGATAATGCGCAAGCAAGGAATAAGCATAATGATCTTTCCATGTGCTTTTTGTTTAAACTATTTTGTAAATAATTCTCCATTTTCTAGGGTACGAGAGAAATCTCAGAGTGAAATATCATTCATATATTGTCTCATCTTATTATTCAACTATAGTCTTTATGTAAGTTTGTAGAAGCACTATTTGCCTTCAAGCAAACAATTGTGCTTAGTTTCCAGGGCATTTTGGTGTTGGTGTTAGTTATTATTTATTATCACCTAATATCATTACTATTGCAGGTTGATGAGAAGCAAAAAACTGTTCTACTCATGGAGCAAGGTTATGCAGATGCTGAGGAAATTCTAGATGTGAAAGATTTATATGATCCTCGAGAACAGTGGGCCTCATATTTATTGAATGCAATAAAAGCAAAAGAACTTTTTCTTAGAGATGTGAACTATATCATTCGTGGCAAGGAGGTTCTTATAGTTGATGAATTTACTGGTCGGGTCATGCAGGTGAGTTTTCTTGCCAGATTTTCACTTTATCAAAACATGAATGACTTTGCCTAATTTTAATTTGCTATCCACAGAGTTTGAGTGGTTAAAATCAGCTAGGTTGTAGCTTTAGCTATAATGCCTTCTTTATTCACATCTTCTTAGTTTGCAATAAATTGCAAAGCCACTCAACCACTCAGGAGCATATAGCCCCGTAGGTCTAAAAGCTGATGTTTAATTATGGCCATACATTTTTAAAAATTGAAGAAAAATGCCACTTATTCCTAAAACTAGCTGTGTGGTATTATCTTTATCTGTAAGGCTTAATAAAGGAAAACTCTATATATTCATTGGTTAGTTGTGAATTTGCCGACCTCACCATGAGTTAATCCGAAACAAATGTCATTAAAAAAAGTCTATGTAGTAATCAAATATAAAAAAGAATCCAATGCAATCATGACACATACAAAGCTGAAAATTAAGAGGTAGTTTTTGAAGGGAAAAATAGCAGGACTGATAATTGAATATTTAGTCCTAATAATTATTACGGATTAATTTTCTTGACAATATCATTGAATAAGTAAACCCTTTTTTCTTTTGTTAGAGCCAAAACTGTTGCAAAGTTTATACAGTGTTACACTTATTCAACTGTAAATTAGTTATATGTTATTGATTTCAATAAATTAGAGTGTCATGGAACTTATATTCCATAATCTCTGGTAAGCACATAGAAAATGGATTTTTAAAATCTTGCTAATCTAATAAAATAAGACTTAACATATAGGTACACTTATGTTTCAAATTCGTGAGATTCTATGCAAGAAGTTTTAAGTTCAATTCACCTACCCCATTAGATGTACCAAGCAAAAGTCATGAGGGTGTCATTTTTGTTTTCCTATATATTACTCCTATCCCATTTTATTTGTTTTACTTATTAGCTTGTCTCAAAATATTGTCCATTTCCTAAATTAAATGCTACTACCTTTTTTTCTTTTCTCATTTTACCTTTGAATTTATGTAAAGGTTACCTATTGTGGGCCCAATGTGTCCTCTTTACATCCATAGACTTTAACAAAAAGTAAGGCAAACAGTGAAAAAAATCTGCTGTTTTACCTTTTTTTTTTCCTTAAACTATGTGCCAAACATAAATGGGGCTTAGAACTTTGGACAGAGGGAGCAATTAATTAATTGTTTTAATCTTCAAAGCTACTTTAATTTTTTTTTTTTCATCTGATTTACCAGTTTACTAACAAGGGTTAAATCTTTAAATAGCAATGGAGTTAAATAAATTAAAAACTCAATTTTATTTATAGTACTTGAAAATGAATTCAAAATCAATTTAACTAATCCTTACCAAACTGGTATATTGTGTTTCAAATTTAATAGTCTCTACTCTCGTCTCTCTGTGCAAGATGTCTTAAGTTCAACTTCCCTCTCCATCATATATACCCATCATTGTGATTCTTGACCTCCTTTGTTGCTTTTCCCATTTTTTCCATCGGAAGTAGTATTCATAATGCACACTTGGGCTTTTTAATTATAAAGATTGTAGTTTCTTTATAAGACATGCTTCTGTTTGGTTTGCATAATTCTTAATGCTTCAAAATGTGTTGTGCATTGCAACTAATAACTGTTTGAGCCCATTGAATCATTGATATTTTATTAGGGGAGGCGATGGAGTGATGGGCTTCATCAGGCAGTTGAAGCAAAAGAAGGCTTACCAATCCAAAACGAGACTGTAACATTGGCTTCAATCAGCTACCAGAACTTCTTTCTCCAGGTTGGGATTCTGTCTTGATCAGTTATATTGATCTCTATAATTTCCAAGTTCTGGTGCATTTTTCTCATGTGATGCTGAGACTTAAAATATTTGAATTTGATATGATTCAAGTTTCCAAAGCTGTGTGGTATGACTGGCACTGCTGCAACAGAGAGTGCTGAGTTTGAGAGCATATACAATCTTAAAGTTACAATTGTCCCCACAAACAAGCCCATGATTAGGAAGGTTTGTTCTAAACTTTCCTTATTGGTTATATTTTGTATTCTACTTTAATTCACATATGAAACCTTGATGATAAAATGTAGAGGAAAGGGAATCTGGAATAAATCACTAAAAGTTAATGGTAAACCAATATATCATTTAGGTTATTACTGTTCTCTTTTTAATGTTGCTTACCTTTAGGCTGCAAGTGGAAGTTAGGTTCCCTGCATTTCCCTTCCAGCTTAGTGCTGCATAATTAGTTGGGTTTTGAATAAATTGTACTGCCTAATAGTTACCCTGTTTTATCTCATTTTGGACTTTCTTTTAATTCAAAGAAACACGTAATAAGAATTCCTCACTTGTAACTAAGACCAATTTATCCAACTAAGACCAATTTATCCTTGGACTTTCTTGAATCTTGACATTCAAGTAAACCCTTAATGCTTTGTGGATCAAATTGTCCACCATGCTCTTTGATGCTTCATGCACTGTCATATGAATAAATGTAGGTTGGGCCAAATAATTTAAGTCCGATTGCTAATTACAGTCTTTCATATTAATGGTTGAGTTTATAGAAACTTTTCAGGATTTTTTTTATTAAGATTGAGAATTGGTGGGTAAGGGAAGGGTACTCATAGGTTACAGTCTTTTATATTAATGGTTGAGTTTATAGAAGTTTTTCAGGATTATTTTTATTAAGATTAAGAATTGGTGGGTCAAGGGGAGGGTACTCATTTGGCTTCATACTAAGCTAGGAGGTTGTGCATTTCAGAAGGGATATGAAGTTTTCCCTTAGTGGCTTAGTGAAAGTCACTGTTCCTGGGTGTGGGGGAAATGGTGAATGCAAAAAAGGGATGTATTTGATGGATTGCATGTCAAACATTGGAGTGTCACATAAGCTTTATTTATGTATAAAAGTCTACATGCATGAAGTATAGTGTGAATTAGTTGCTCTTTCTCTTTCTTTACCATCACAATGCTTACACTCTTTTCATTTAAGGAAGAGTCAGATGTAGTGTTCAGGGCAACTACAGGAAAGTGGCGGGCTGTGGTTGTGGAGATCTCTAGAATGCATAAAATAGGTCGGCCTGTACTTGTTGGTACAACCAGTGTTGAGCAAAGTGATGCACTGTCAGAACAACTGCATGAGGCTGGAATCCCCCATGAGGTGAGTACTAAACTGCTGACTGCAATGATTTTTTCTAATTAATTCTCTGAAGATTTTACTAATTTCAAATGTGTAAGGTTCTCAATGCTAAACCTGAAAATGTGGAAAGAGAAGCTGAAATTGTGGCACAGAGTGGTCGTCTTGGGGCTGTTACAATTGCAACTAACATGGCAGGTCGCGGTACCGATATTATCCTTGGTGGTAATGCAGAGTTCATGGCAAGGTTGAAGTTAAGAGAGATGTTAATGCCAAGGTATCCTTGTAATTTTTGTTCAAACAATTGATAGTATTTGATGTCTGTCAGTTCTATTACCTTCTCAATCTGCCTGCTGTTGCGCTACTTGTTTTAGCTTCTGCATCAGTCTCATACAAAAAGCATTTAGTGCTTACAATTTATGAAGGCTGATTCCCGATAGATTCCTATACGGTTTTTTTTTTTTTTTTTTTTTTTTTTTTTTTTCTGTGTAAATTAACTTGTGAAAACCAAGGTTGCATAGTGGATGCAAATTAGCACATTTTATGACTGAATGGAGAGAGCTCAGCCAGGTTGGGTTGAAGGCTTAGTTGAGTTGTAGTTACTACAGCAGGTGTGGTAATGAAATTAACTAAGTCTTGGACTCTTGATCAGCCTTATTTGAATCCATCTGAAGCTGCAACCAATTAGGTTCTCACTTCACATAAACAGAGGAAAAAAAAAGCCATTCATTTCTTATTCCTTACTCTGGCTTTTGATTATAATAATCTACAAACAAGGAAAATGTTTACAATTTATGACACCCATGAACAAATTTTGAACCTGGGAACGTTTCATTGCGTTCTGAATGGCTTCAACACTACAGGATCGTTAAACCAGCTGAAGGGGTCTTTGTTTCTGTAAAGAAACCTCCTCCAAAGAAGACATGGAAGGTCAGCCTGATTTTGATATTCTGTCCTTTTAAGTATTTTTTGGCTCTGAAATCTTAATGTCAATTACCAAGTGCAGGTGAAGGATAGTTTATTTCCATGTGAGTTATCTAAAGAAAGTTCTAAGCTAGCTGAGGAAGCTGTGCAACTAGCTGTAAAAACATGGGGCCTGAGATCCTTGACTGAACTTGAAGCAGAGGAGAGACTTTCTTATTCCTGTGAAAAGGTGAAGTTTATTAGATTACTATCATAACATATGAAGAGATTCCTATTGCCAAATATATCTGCATATTTGTATTCATCACTGTTCAAGACATTTTTGTTATGAAAAATTCATGCTATTAGACAAGCACTCTTATGTTAAGAATTATGTTGCAGGGTCCTGTAAAAGATGAAGTAATATCAAAACTTCGTAATTCTTTTTTGGAAATTATGAGAGAATATAAATACTATACCGAGGAAGAGAAAAGGAAGGTAATTTCCTTCCCTTCAGTTCCCTGCTGTTAATGCAATGTACTGTTTGCTTAGTAATGTTTATAAAGGGAAAACACACGCAGACACACAAAAGAAGTCCCTCTGAACCTTTTGTCTGTTACTCTGAGTACCTCGTCCATCCATGGAATCCTGGAACATACTTTCTGCATCTTTATCAGTTTAGCTCTGACAGGTCATATCAGCTGGTGGACTCCATGTAATTGGTACTGAGCGGCATGAGTCACGTCGAATCGACAATCAGGTACACACTTATGACAATGTAGGTCATATGGCAAAAATATAGGGTCAGTTTGGTTCATGAGATTAGACACAAGGAATGAGAATGAAAGTCATACACATTGTTTGGTTGACAACTTTTTAAAACAAAGGTATAAGATTTGATTACTCCTATAATTAAAAACTCGTTACCTAATTTAAATTAGACATCATTCCATTAATTCAGCCTTATCCTTCCTTATTTCATCTACTCTTCATCTTGTCGCTTCTTCACTGCATTGCCACTCTGAATACTCCAATGGCTCCATAGCTTCTTTCTTCCAAGAGCTTTGCTCACTTGAGGTAAGTATCACACTATTTGCCTTCATCCTTCATTGTGCGCCTTGGCCCAAAATAATCGTCGTTTTTATAAGTTGTATGGGGAGTTAGCGACGAACACCGTTTCGTCCGTCCAATCCCATTATAGGTTTTTTTTTTTTTTTTTTTTTTTTTTAACACTTGTGTTTATGTGTATTCTATTATACAATTCTGTACATTCAAAATAGAGATTTTTTTTTAGAAGTTAACAACAGAAACAGGAAACGACATTGTTTTGGCCCGGCCGCACATTGTGCGCCCTAGTGCACGATATAATTTGCCTTCATCCTTAGTTCTCCATTGTTAAACATTGAAATCCCTTAGACCCACTGCTAATATTATAGATTTGCTTCATAAATTTCTTGAAAAAATCAAATAATTGTGAATTGCGGTGATTTTTTTATTTTTGTATTTTTAAAACTTTTATTCCAATTATAGGATCATACATAACCAAACATTAATTTCAATTTCAACCTATTATAAAACATGTAAAATACTTTTACCAAATTGGTCCATTCCAATTTTTAAGTATTTGATTCTCATTCTCATTCTCATTCTGATTCGTATATTCGAACCAAACACACCCATAGCAGTCTCTGGAAATTACATAATTCCATGCCATTCCATTCAGTGGTATTTTCCTAGTTATGAAGATGCACTATTAGTTTGTAGCAATTTCTTCAAAAGGTGTTAATATATGCAGCTGCGAGGTCGAAGCGGTAGGCAGGGAGATCCTGGAAGTTCACGTTTTTTCCTTAGCCTTGAAGACAACATATTCCGTATATTTGGTGGGGATCGCATACAGGTTGAATTTAATGGCAGGATGCCACACATGCTCATAATATCACAGTATTACAATGTTTAGAGATTAATGTTATCACTTTCAGGGTTTGATGAGAGCATTTAGAGTGGAGGACCTACCAATTGAATCAAAAATGCTGACAAAAGCACTAGATGAAGCTCAGCGGAAAGTTGAAAACTACTTTTTTGATATTCGTAAGCAATTGTTTGAATATGATGAGGTTTTAAACAGCCAAAGAGATCGTATCTACACAGAGAGGAGGATGGCCCTAGAAGCAGATGATCTCCAACCACTACTTATTGAATATGCTGAATTGACAATGGATGACATACTAGAGGTGAAACTCTACATCTATGAATTAACTATCAGATATGAATGTTCTTCCTGCTTTTTTTTTTTTAAGAATATCATATCATAAGAAAATGAAAAATGCATTACAATGCAATGGCCACCATTAATGGTGGCTGACTATGGAAAGACGACAAACCCCTTGCTAACAGTGTACAAAGCCAGAAACAGAACCCATGTTTCCTGTTAAATTTTAATTTCCGGTGCACTTACCATTTTTTCTTGTGTGAATAGGCAAATATCAGTCGTGATTCTCCAAGAGACACCTGGGATTTTGAGAAGCTTATTGCTAAACTTCAACAGTATGAATCTTGTGGAGGATTTTAAATTTCCTAGCAGACATCTTTTGGGTTTTATATTTTATTAATTCTGACTAGATTTACCTTACAGGTATTGCTATCTTTTGAGTGATTTGAACCCCACTTTGCTGGCTGATAAATTCTCAAATTATGAGGAAATGCGGGAATATCTTAGGTTACGCGGAAGGGAAGCATATCAACAGAAAAGGGTGAGTTACTTTCACTGCATTAAAGAAGATAAGGTTTAAGATTTCACTGTTTTGCCTTTTACACTGCTCAACTGCTGATAACACATTAGACTAGTCAATGACACTTGAATAGTTGCTACATCAACTGAACTCACAATTGTGTCCTTAGGACATTGTGGAGAAACAAGCTCCAGGATTGATGAAGGAGGCAGAAAAGTTCTTAATTTTGAACAACATTGATAGATTGTGGAAGGAGCACTTGCAAGCACTCAAATTTGTTCAGCAAGCCGTAGGCTTACGTGGATATGCCCAAAAGGATCCCCTCATTGAGTATAAGCTTGAAGGCTACAACCTTTTCATTGAGATGATGGCACAGATAAGGAGGAATGTTATATATTCTGTCTACCAGGTTTGTTAACCCCAGCTGCTCACATTTTTTGCACATCGAAGTCCAATTTGATATATTTTTATCTTTCGTCTCAGTTTCAACCAGTCTTGGTAAAGGAACAAGACCAAAAAGGTCAAAATACAGAAAATGTCGATGCAAATGGGAGGGGAGGCAATGAGAAGAAGAGCAAAGATGAAGTTGCTAATAATCTCACAGCCTAGTGTATGAGACACCCAAGATCGAATGAATGCAAATGGGAGGGGAGGCAATGTGAAGAAGAGCATAGATGAAGTTGCTAATAATCTCACAGCCTAGTGTATGAGACACCCAAGAAAGAATGAATTATTGACATGGTAAGAGTTTTGGTGGATTCTTGTATTAAAATGCCATACTGAAGACAAAATGTCAAAATGTAGAAGGGGAGGAGGTGATGGAAAGGAACATAATGTGAGGAGACTTCGTTTAGCTAATAAGTCTACCGAGTTCTTGAACATAAATGAAATAATCTGAAGAGTAAAATGATGTGCGGTTATCAGCAGCTAATAAGCTTACTCTGTTCTTGAACTTAAATGTAAAGATAAACAATTAAACATGCACTTGACAACGCTATCTGTAGAGTGAAATGATACTGGGTGCGGTCATTAGCAAAAAGGTCAAATGTGCATGCTATTCAGACCTTTGAAGGAGGTGACTGCTGATGAAGTGATTAATTGTGTTTCCTCTAGCCTGCATAAAATCCAAGTGCAATATCATACCATGAGTAAAACTGGAAATGTTTATTGGGAAACAAACAAACAGTGATACTTGTTAAGATAAACTTAATAAAAAATGGCACACACACACACAATTGAATTGAGAACAGCCAAACCTTTACTCCAACAGCAATTGCAATTTTTAGTTTGACCACTTCCCCTAACCTCAAAGAAGCTCTTTTCTTATCTTTCACAAAGAAAAGAGGTACCCTCCGTGAAGCAGCCAAACTGGATAGATGCTTGGTCAACCACTGTGGATTGCAATCAGCTGCTAATAGTATGGCCTTAAAGCGTATTGATATGTCATATCAGAACCTAACGAGTCTGAATAAATGGCACAAATACCATTCTAGACTAGATTAAAACTGAAAGGGATAGGATAACCTGAAGTTGGACTGGAGGAACTTTGACTAAATCACTGTGGGTAACAAGAGAGCAGCAGTCGTTTACATGGATAGGAGGCATGCGTTCAAGCAGTCGTGTCACTTCATTCACCCCGATTGAAAACAGTTGCTGCTCATTATTTTCATATAGTATTATTTATATTATCATACACAGCATATTTAACAAATTCAATAAACTATACCAACTAGCTACAGCTCTGCATACCTTAAACCAGACTTTATCTGGCAAAGCTCTGTCCACGCTTCTCACACACTCTATCTCTCTGTTCACGACAGACAATGTAAGACTATTATTCAAGCGATTCAAAAACAAGGAGAGAGAGACATGCCAACGAACTGACAGCACAAGTAAAGATTCACCTATCAATAGCTTTGAGGAGATGATCCAAGCTTTCCCCTTCAAAGCAACTGAAAAAATAAAATAAAAATAGTTATTAGATGCCAGGCCCCTGTATAAATCATATTGAGAATGTAAGAATAAAAATCCAAAAAGCAAAAACAAGGACATAAATACACTGCCATAGAAAGAAAAATAAGATGAAACTATATTAATGATTACAGTTGTTCTGGAGGATGAGACAGAGAGTTGTGGAGCTTTTCTCGCTTAGGAGGTCTGGTCATGTTTGATACTTCGTTTCAGCAGGCAACAACTGAGCCACTATTTTCTTTATGGTTTATTTATACTGTTGTAAACTAGTTATAAATTATAATCAGTGTCAGTTCAGTGAGATTAAAAAGTAAAGAACATTTTAAAAAATCAAAACAGTTTAATATTGAAGTATCAGAGTCAGCATATATAACAAGCAACTGAAGCAAGACAATTTGTGAATTTTTTTAATATTTTACATTTCACCTTAAGCTCCTTGATTCTAATTTCTAATATGATTGCATGTTTGACTCTTCATATTACAGAATGAACAATATTGGTTTTCTTCTCATCATGCTTTGACGCAATGTTGTAAAAATCGGCCTAGGCGGCTGCCTAGGCGCTAGGCAAGGTTGGGGCGATTTCAGCCCTAGGCGGCTTCTAGTGGGCCGGCCAACTAAGTGCCCTAGGCACTAAGTCGGTGCCTATTCGACTGTTCCTCTTTTATATTCCTCCAACCATGTACTGAACTAACCATCTAACATATGTAGTTGATTAGTTTGATGGATTATAACAGTGTAACAATTCACAGCCCTGAGTGAAAAAAGTGGAGATGATATACCCAAATTACTTGGCCGCCTAGGAATTGCCTAGGCACTAGGCACCCCAGAGCGCCCGACTAGCGCCTAGCACCCTCTGTAACATGACCGGTGTGTTTTCTACTCATCTTTGTGATAAGCCATTATTTTCTTCCTCTCCTTTCTGTTTCTTGACGCTATTAGGCCGGCATTTTCCTTTTCTTCGGCATTTGGGCTAAACCAATTTCGCCTCAAAAATATGCCTCATACTCGCCCTGAGGCGTACATCTCATTGCCCACCAGCTACGCCTCACATTGAGGAGCGCCTCATTTGCGCCCTTTTTAAACCTTGGCCATACAGGAGGTGCTTAGCTGGGTGAAGATGTTGAATGGTGAGAAATTTCAAGTGGAGACCAATGCTCTCCCGGTGGTTCAAGGTCTAACTGCAGAGAATGATGATTTTTCTTTTGGACTGATTTAATCAGATATCAATGAAATGCTTTCTAGCTTTTCTCATGCATTTCTGTCGCTAAACGAACAGCAAATTGCACTACTCATACTCATACCCATTACCATGTGTTAGCTCAGGGAGTCGATTTCTGTCTGTTCCTAGGAAATGGTTGTCCATTCCCCCTTCTTTCATTTGTGATGGATTTCAATAAATTTCATACAGATTGGAATTAATATTACTCTCCTTTTAGTTTCAAATAAAAATGTTGTGTTGTTCTAAAAATATATAGATATCATTATATCTATACACATTCAAAAATCAGGAAAAAATCAAGTAAAATCCAGTGAAAATCAGAATACACACCTAAAAGCATTATATCAATACATATCCAAAAATCAGGAAAAAATCAAGTAAAATCCGGTGAAAATCAGAATACACACCAAAAATCATTATATCAATACTATCCAAAAATCAAGAAAAAAAAAACAATAAAGAAAATCCAGCGAAAATAGGGGAAAATTGCATATGAATACACATTCGAAAATAGAAAATTCTGAAAAAGTTCAGCGAAAACTCACATGCATCCGACTCTGATTTCGAAGGTTTTCCAACGATGTTGCCTGTTGGAAATTGAAAGGGCAGCGCGCGCCGCCTCTGTTAAACCGCAAAAGTGCCGGTGGTCTGCCTTCTGGATATCTCGGGGCTCCCGAACGACGCGAAGCGGTGAAGGCTAGGGTTTTTGTATCGCCCCTCGAATTCTATATCGAAGGTCAAGTCGGAAAAGGAGTATATATATACAGGCATACAGTTGTCATTAGCAAGGTTCGATTTTATTTATTTATTTTTTTTTGAAACATTTTAATAAGGTTAATTATTATTATTATTAAAAGTGAATTAAATTTACAATTATGCAATAATAATAAAATTATTATTATTATTATTAAATTACAAATATAATAGTATGAAAATAGAATTCACTTCTAACAGGAAAAAAAAAAAAAAACTTTTTTCCTAATCTTTTCTCCTATGATTTAAGCTTATATTGTCCAAACTCCAAAGTGAGTGATCCCATCATAAAGAAAAATTTTGAATGAGTAGCATTACTCTTTCAGACGTGCAAAACTACCGCCTACCGGCCGCTAGTACTGAATCCTAATACAAGGAAACTTCAAATAAATATTGCCATAAACTGAAAGGTTTTGATACTGAAATTATCTTCAATGTTAAATCATTTCGTGCACCATGATCCTCTTAAAAGGGAGCCCTAAGGACCACGTGGAACTGCAATCTCGTAGGGCATTCTCACTTGCGAACATACTTGGACAAAAATTCAGTTACATCAACAGCAACATCATAAGCACCCTCTATACATCTTCCTAAAGCTACACCAGATACAAAGTTGCCCCCAAGAAACAGACCTTCAAGCCCACCATCTCTTATTGCAGTTTTTGCAGCACTTAATGTATCCAAATGACCAACTAAGAACTGTGGAATAGCTTGCGGCCATACTCGAACACCCAAAACAAATGGATCTTGAGCATCAGACTTGATAAGCATCTTTCTGATGTCGCGATCAACTGTTTCCACAAGTTGGTTGTGTGACTGGAAAAAGAATGAGATCTCAGAGCAGGAAGCAACAAGAATGTCTTGATAGCATTTGAATTTACACAGGTTGAATGAAATTACTTAACATCTGAACACCATAACATACCCATGCCCTTGAGAGAGCAAAAGGGAAAACATAGAATTATAAAAGCAGCTGATCAAAAAAACTAGAAAAATGATAACAGCAGCTAACAAAGGCCAAGTCTGAACTCTGAAGCAAAAGATTTAAGCAGATATCCATCTGATAGTTTTTCACTTATCAACTGTTTAGGGTTTAGGGTTTAGGTGGGTCATGTTCAACTAGCCACTCAAAGTGCTGATTGAGCCATTGCAAACTAGCACATAACTGTTGGCTCACATCAGTTTATGGCATTTATCAGGTGGTTCTGAATCTTCCCTATGCTTCATTACTAGATTGTCAAAGTTCAAAAAGAGAATGACTACTCAAATTCCATCATACCTTAGCCAAAATGTTAGTATTTTTTGCTCCTCCGATATAGTTCAGAAGAAGAACCCTTCCAGGTGGAGCACGGTTGGGGAAAAGTGATGAGCTGTATATAGTTCCTACAAAATGTAGTGATTGAATATATTTAATTAGAATTTCAGCTTCATCTCAAGTGAAATTACTTCAAAATAACTGCGCATATCAAAATCTTTACTTACAAATAAAAAGGTTAAGTTATACTCATCAGGGCAGATTACCTAAAGTTTCAACTCCTTGGGAGCGTGGATGCAACTGGCCAAATCCTTTAAGTTCACCATCAATCAGGCACTCATCTCTAATAGCTTTTTCTGGATATGAAATGGTGACTGCAGCAACAGGTGGATAGTAAAACTTAGCAAGTGCATCAGCTGCTGCATCCTGTTGATAAATTAACTAATCAAAAACTCTAACCAAAACAAACCTTTAAATACTATCTAAAATACCTGCATAATGAACAATTTTGTAAATAGCAACTTTGGACACTAGGGTATCAACACAAGTAAAATTTCTAGTTCAAAGAATCCAATAGAAATTTTTTATAGGTGAAAGCATCAACTTGCTTTTTCAAATTTCTATCCACAAATTATATACAATTAGTAAAAATCAGGAATCCTAAAATAACAATGAGGCTTACAATCCATTTTTACCCCCTTTTCTCTTCTGGACCACCATGGGAAGGGTAAGGACCAGAAAATTAAAATGCCTAAAAAACGAAGCCAACTCAAGAATCTAAAGCTCCATAGCAGGCATGTTACATGAAAAAATTACAGTAATTGGATTTATAAATTAATATCATCATCTAACTTCAACCACACAAGGAAACTAAAAATATTGAGACAGTTAGCAAAGAAAACGCACCGAAAGAGGACGTAGTATGGGACTTGCCACATAGGATGGAATAGTCATTACTACACTTCTTGTTTGCAGAGTTACAAATCCTCCTGGCGTCTCATATGTCAAGTTAAACCCACCATTTTCTGTTTTGATAATACTGGAAAGCTTCCATGAGAGCTTTACTTTACTTCCCAACCTAAAGCAAGATGATGCAACTTGTTGAGGCAAATTAGAGCAACAGATAATAGGGAAAATACGAAAAGAAGGAAGTGTCTTCTTTTCTGCTGTAAGAAGAATGGAAAGAAAACAATACCTTGAAGAAATTGAATCGGGCAGCATTGCAAGGCCTTTCCTGAAAGAACCTACAGTTTGACCCTTCGGTTTAGGTAAACGCCTGCAAAACTACCACAATTAGAGCATTGCATAAATATGTGTAAGTAAACGCAGCAGAAGAACTCAAGAAAAAGCTATGCATATTCATACGGATCTTGAGGAGCCTTGGGCATTTTAGATCTCTCTTTGAGTGCTTTAATGGTTCCACCAATTATGCTGCCACCATTTTCCTCCAGCTTCCACACTTTCCCAAATGCTGCTTTCATACTCAGCTTTGATGGATCACCAGCGTATACACCTCACAATATGAAAATATAACACAATAAGAAATCATGAATGCATAAGTACATATTGAATGGCTATGTAAAGCTCTCAGCGTAATGCCCATTCCATTGTATCATCATTCATTGGGAATCTCTATTCTATTCTACATGCTTTTTCCCTTCACTACCTTGAAGGAACATTGATTTCCATCAAAGGAAAAATCATAATATTTTTCATTAGGATCAAATAATTTTTTATTAAGTAACATACTAATATATCAATTCTCTTTATGAATTCCTTCCCAAAGATGATTCCTTTCTCACACCAGAAATTTGAGAGTACCGACTGGAGCTTTACTATAAAGCAAGGACCTGTCAACATGCAATTTGTTTTATAAGCAGAATGCAACATATGCATATAATGTCCACAAGCCCGTTATAGATAATTTGAGGTCAAAAAGAACAAAGTGATTGTTGAAGCAATGTAGTTTCCATGACTGCATTATTAGGCCCAAGAGCCAAAATTTTCAATAACAGCAGGTCGGAATAAAACAGAAAAGGACAAGAAATGCTTAGATGGCAAAAGCAAAGAAAATGGCACAAATAGATCAGCTGAGAGGTACCAGAGCAAAATGGCTCTATTAAGCGCTCAAAGACTTCTTCTCCGAGGTTACGACGCACAAACTCCTCCACGGATTCCTCATGCCCCTGCTACCTTTGACAAAAGATGCAATATGAGAAACACAAATTGCAAAAAAGGCACTGAACTTTGAAATATGACTTGATTAAGCTAAATAGTCTAGTACTTGGGGAAAACTTTCCAATTTGGATTAAAAAAAATAGTAAATGGAGAAAAAAACAAGAGTTCGACAAGGGGATAAGGGGCACGAACTGGGGGCGGTGGGCGAAAACCAATGGCTCCAAAACCAGCTCTGAGCTTCCCGGGAAAACTCATCAAGTCAAAGAAGGGCAGGTCCGCGGGCTTGGAAGGTACCGGCCTGAGCTTGCCATTCCAGAAGACGAAACGCGGTGCATTGGGGTCCCCTAACACCAAATCGTCCTTCAATCCACAATCAACCACCATCCTGAGCACGGCCTCCGAAGGCTGGAAGCTATTGGGACCTTCTTCCCAGAGATAACCTTCCCTCTCTACAGTCGTGATGTTACCGCCAACTCGATCTCTGGCCTCGGTCACCAACAAATTGGGGTAGCTGGTGGAGAGGGCTTGGGCAGTGCAGAGACCGCTGATTCCTGCGCCAACGATAACGCAGTCAAACGTCGGGAAAGGATTACCACTGTCGTTGACCTTAGAGGGAGAAACAGTGGCGACGGAGCATCGAACTCTCCAACCAGTAGAATTTCTGCGTTTGAGGTTGAGCGCAGGGTTGAATGATGGCAGTGAAAAGGATGATGGGGAGGAGGACGGAGGACATAGGTGAGGGAAAATGCTGGTAGCGACTGCACTGTGGTTCAATGGAGCCAAAGACATGGTGCATGAAGGCATAGAATCGGAGGAGCAATGCGTTTGTTTCTGGCTTAGTAGCTTCTACCACTCAGCTAGTCTCCTGGACGTTATCCTTCTTTCCGTCTTGTCGCCAATGAGGGTTTCGTTCTTTGTATTTCGCATATGCACAATTTCACGAAAGTGGTCAAAATTTAATGGTAAAAGTGTCAGTTAGGCCCGAGTTTAGCGCAGTTGAAGGTTACACTGAGAATATTCGAATTCCACAGGAAAATGTATTACGGGGTGTTTGGTTGAAATGAAAGAATTAGGGGGAAAATTAATTGTAATTCGGTGGGAAAAGAATAAGATGAGAATAAAGTATAAATTTAAAAGTCAATTAGGCCCTTAAACTTTTTAAAATTACTATTAGGTACATAAACAAGTCAAATTAGGTCCAAGAGCCAACTTTTTCAATCCCCATAACAGCAGGCCACTACCTCTATCGCTTCTAACCTTCTTAATTCTCCGATTAAGTTGGTTTTCCACTTCATTCTTATAAAGAACGAATTTATCAACGGCTTCATCTTTGCTTTTAAGCAAATACACATAGCAGTATCGTGTATTATCGTCGATAAACGTGATAAAATACTTATTACCACATCTCATTTGTATCGATCTAAAATTGCACAAATCACTATGGATTAATTCTAGTGGTTTAGTTTCCCTTTCAACCGATTTGAAAGCTACTTTCGTTAGTTTTGTCTTAACACAAATTGCACACTTGTTATTTGTGTCAATTTGAAAGTTAGGAATATGGTCCATGCTAATCAATCTACGCATAGAAATAAAATTAACATGACCTAGTCTACCATGCCACAAATTGGAAGACTCAAGCAAGTAAACAGAATTAACTTTGCTTTTATTGATAACAGGAATTACACTGAGCTTAAAAAACCCACCAGTTACATATCCTTTACCAACAAACATCCCTAACTTGGACAAAACTACTTTGTCTGACTCGAACACCATGCGAAAGCCATGCTTGTTCAAACATCCCTAACTTGGACAAAACTACTTTGTCTGACTCGAACACCATGCGAAAGCCATGCTTGTTCAACAGAGAGCCAGACACAAGATTCTTCCTCAGCTCAGGAACATCCAGCACGTTGTTCAACGTCAGTTCCTTCCCGGAAGTCATCTTTAGAACCACCTTGCTCATGCCTTCCACAGCAGACTGAGCAGAGTTTCCCATCCACACCTTTTCACCCTCAACGGTCTCAAAGGTGTTGAACATCTCTCGGTTGCAACACAAGTGTCTGGTTGCACCGGTATCGATGAACCACTCACGAGGGTTTGAGCCCACAAGATTCACATCGGTCACCATAGCCGAAGGCTAATCTCGACCTCCTTCTGACTGCTATCTCCAACAACATTGGCTTCAGAACTCTTGTTCTTCTTCCGTGGAGCTTTGCATTCAGATGCTCTGTGGTCAGGCTTGCCACAATTGTAGCATTCACTAGAAAACTTGTTCTTGGTAACACCACCTTTCGGACATAGCGTTCGCTTCTCATTCTTGTTCCTCTTGGAGCTCTTACCGTGCTCCACAACATTGGCCTTAGCGCCAACAACGATAGGAACTTTCCTATCATTCGTCATGTTCCCCTCCTCAATCCTGAGTCGCTAGATCAGGTCTTCCAGATTCATCTCCTTTCGCTTATGCTTAAGGTAGTTCTTGAAGTCCTTCCAACTTGGAGGCAACAAGTGGATCACAGATTCCACTTGGAAGGCTTCACTTAGCACCATGCCCTCGTCACGGATCTCGTCGAAGATTAATTGCAAATCTTCTACCTGACTTAACACGGTCTTTGAATCAACCATTTTGAAGTCGAGGAATCGGCCAACTACAAATTTCTTTGAGCCGGCATCCTTACTTCGGTATTTATGATCCAAAGCTTCCCACAACGCTTTTGATGTGCTTATCTTTCGATATACATCATATAGCGTGTCACACAATCCGTTCAGGATGTAGTTTCGGCATAGGAAGTCCGAATCCTTCCAATAGCCAATTGCCATCACGAATTGTTCATCTTGTTCCTTCAACGCAGGAACACTCTCGGACAAGAACCTTGCCAAGCCGAGAGTTGCTAGGTAGAACAACATCTTTTGTTGTCACCTCTTGAAGTTCGAACCAACACCGGTGAACTTCTCTGACTTTTCAGCCGAACCACTCGGTACCGAAAGTACCCGAGACATGGGAATATATCCGTCAGTGCTCCCACCATCTTGTGAACCAACGTTCACTAGTGTAGTTTGGGAATTAGCAACATTGTTGCCGTTTCCTCCATTGTTGTCCGCAACAACATTATCCTCCCCATCAATTGGCAGTACGGGATGCTCTATTTTCTTCAAGAAAATTCGGAGAAGACCACCAACGGGAAAACAAATATATAAGGTTTTAAGACTGTAGGATCCGTTGGTAGAAAAATAAATAATAATCCAAATAAAATAGGACTATTATTTTATGGAAAACGGGAAAGAAAGATGGAGAATTTGGCTAGTGTTTGGTGTTGGGTTTTTGCAAGAGTCAAGCGATCACTCTTTCCTTAAAACCTTATTTGCCACCTCCCAAAAGTGCTTGGAGCTTCGTGGCCTAGGCTTCCCAGGATAAAATTTGCTTGTGATTCAATGTTTGAGCACCCAAACAATGAATCCGGCGAACAAGACAAGGCTATGAACACAATAGGCTTAGAAAGAGGAGTAGAAGCAGAATTTTGAAGCTTGAAAAACTCAAAGTTTCGTGTAGAGTGCTTGTGCTCTTGTGTATAAAAATCTGCTTCTTGGTACCTTATCTTATATAGAGATTAGAGCCGTCAAAACGGGCTTAGCCCGCCGGCCCGCCCCGCCCCGCCCCTACTTAGGTAGGGGGCGGGTTTTGAAAATAGAGGACCGTTTAGGAGCGAGCTTTTTTGGCCCGCGGCCCGCCAGGCCCGCCCCGCCGGGCCCGCGGGTTGCCCGCCATTATTTTATTTTATTTTATATAAAATATTTTTATATAAAATACGCACTTTAAAATTATTTTTATGTGTAATATTTTTGGACTTTGTAATTGTGACTAGTTTGATGTTTGATAAACTATGAACTTTGAACTTTATGTAATATTTAATGTTTGATTATTATGTTTTATGTGAGTTATGACTTATGTATCAATTTATTTTAATTAGTTAGATGTTTGATGAATAATTTTTTTAAAAAAAAAAGGGTTTCGGCGGGGGCCCGCCTAGCACGCGGGCCACTGGCGGGGCGGTCCGGGCCTATCAAACCCAGGCCCGTTTAGGAGCGGGCTTTTTTAGCCCGCCCCGTTTAGGCCCGCGGCCCGCCGGGCTTTGGCCCGCCCCGCCCCGCCAGCCCGTATTGACAGCACTAATAGGGATGAAGGAGTTAAATAGCTTTTAATATGGCAATTAAAACTGACTTTAAAGCTGACTTCCAACAGCAATAACAACAGGCCACTACCTGAGAATTGAATTCAGAATTCAAAATTGGAGTTAATAGAATATTAATTCCGTAACAGATGAATTCAATCCCCATAACAGTCAGAACTTTTGGGTTCCGGACCGTTGGCATATAGGGTTCGGTCTCAACTTTCGACCTTACCCATTTTCGGCCCAAAGGCCGAAACTTGCTGTTCAGTTTCGGCTCCCCAAGCCGACATCAAGTGGCATGTTTCAGCCTGTTCAGGATGTTTCGGCCGCAAGGCCGAAACTACTGAACATGTTTCGGCATCAAGTGGCATGTTTCGGCCTGTTCAGGATGAAACTTGCTGTTCAGTTTCGGCTCCCCAAGTCGACATCAAGTGGCATGTAAACATGATGAAATTTGCTGTTCAGTTTCGGGGAGCCGAAACTACTGAACATGTTTCAGCATCAGGATGTTTCGGCCACAAGGCTACTGAACACCGAAACTACTGAACATGTTTCAGCATCATGATGTTTCGGCCACAAGGCTACTGAACACCGAAACCGGCCTGTTCAGGATGAAACTTGCTGTTCAGTTTCGGGGAGACCGAAACTACTGAACATGTTTCAGCATCAAGTGGCATGTTTCTATTGAACATGTTTCAGCACTCAGGATGTGACAAGTGGCATGTTTCGTTTCAGCACTCCGGATGTGACAAGTGGCATGTTTCTACTGAACATGTTTCAGCATCAAGCATCAATGTTTTGTTTCATTGAGCGTGGCATGTTTTGTATGTTTCGGCCTACTGTTCAGTAATTTATGCCTGCAGAGGTGCCGGCGCACACGGGCTCGGGCTTGAATCAAGCCTTTTCGATCGCACCACGAGCTCGGGCTTGATTCGCTCGGGCTTGAATCAAGCCTTTTCGATGCCTGCAGAGGTGCCGGCGCACACGAGCTCGGGCTTGAATCAAGCCTTTTCGATCGCACCACGAGCTCGGGCTTGAATCAAGCCTTTTCGATCGCACCACGAGCTCGGGCTTGAATCAAGCCTTTTCGATCGCACAGGCTTGAATCAAGCCTTTCAATCTCGTTTCTAGTTGGAATATGATTTGCACCCCCCCCCCCCCTCCCACGCGCGCGAGAGAGCATATATGCTATACAGTTCTACAAGTTCCAAAATAGCTCTTGTATATAAGGGGGGGGGGGGGGGGGGCAAATCATCTTTCCAAACCAATGTGGGATAAAACTCATTTTTCCCTTCATTTTCCAACTCAAATGGGTCTACTTTGAGAATCAATATCTCATTCACCCATTATCCGTTTTGAGCGTACAATATATCAATCTTTCATCTCACTACGAAGAATCCGAATACACTTTAACTCGACCCAAATTGGAAGTGGACCCCACTGATAATTGTACCACAAAATAGTCACTTAACATGCCATTTTATGTTATTTTAAACTATTTTTTCCAACAATTTCATGATTTGATATAGTTTTCAGGTGTGCTTCATTGCAATTTTAATGCCTTGGCATAGTGCACCTTCAAAAATAAAATCAAATTCCCCTTTCACAAAATGACAATGATAATAGACATAGTTTATCATATGTGTTAGATATATAATGTGTACAGTTTCATCAATGTCCAATGCGTTATTCTAATTAGTTGACCAAAATTCATATTAAATTTTATATTGTATTGTTTTGTTTGAAAACAACCATCAAAGCGAACTATTATTGTGAAATCAAATCATGAATACAACGAGGGATATTTGCATCCCACACTTCCGACCAGTATACAAGCAAGAAGCTCGGGCCATAGAGGGAGCAATCACATAGGTTGTTATATTTTTTTAATACATTATAACATATTCATAGTATATGTTTAACAATTATGTTAATTTTGATTGGGATGAGTTCGAATCTAAGACCTTCATTATGAAAATCAATTAGTAAGTTAGAATAATAAATAGTTAACGTAATATTTTTTTTTTTTGAAGATGAAAAACTAATTCATTAATTCATGAAGAAGAGGGTCCACAAGAAATGATGGGGGAGAACTTAACCATTTCCCGCAACCTGACACAGAAAATGCCTCCCTAGCAACAATATGGGCGGCACTATTCGCAGATCGCTTTACACAGTAGAAATCTACATCTACAATCTCAGAAGCTAAAACTTTGATGTCCTCAATTAAAAATCCAAAACTAGAATTAAATGACTGTGAACGTAAAGCATTAAAAACAGTCTGACAGTCCGTTTCCACATCAACATCTCCCATTCCAGTAGTCTTTAGCCAACTCAAAGCCTCTCGAATGCTTAGTGCCTCTGCCTCTTTAGCCATATAAACTCCCGGCAACCTCACGTTCTTAGCAGCTAGAAAAACACCATTATCATCTCTCAGCACCCAGCCTACCCCCATCTCATTACATTCCTGCCTGAGTGCCACATCTGTATTCAACTTGAACCTCCCCCGCGCAGGTCTTGTCCAGGACACACTACTCGACTGCTCTTGATTCGTTCGTGTAGCCTCATTCGCATTCCTCCAACAATCCAGGAACACCATAGTCCTATGCAGCATCATATTCATATAAAAAACCACACCCTTCCACACACTATCATTCCTGCTATTCCACACACCCCAACAAGCCATTAGAAACTTAGGCAGAGAAACAATATCCAACAGATTTATAGCCCAAAAAAACCAATCACTTATACTATTACCAGCAAAGCTATTGATTTGTGGCCATCCCAGCTTAACCCAAAGCCAGGTCACTTCAGCACAGTAAACAAACAGATGAAGGGCTGATTCCTGCACACAGCTGCACATATGACAATTCAAAAAGCATTCAACATTTCTTAATTGGAGAATATCACGCGTAGGGAGATAAGCAGAAGCCAGCTGCCAACAAAAATTCTTCACCTTCGGGGGAATATGCAAGTTCCAAATCTTAGTCCATGAGCGATCATCCGCAGCCACCAATGTGAGATGCCTGTAGCAAGATTTAACCGTATAAGCACCTTTTTGATCCCATTGCCAACTCCACTGGTCTCGTGGCCTTCGAACACTAACAAGTATGTTTAAAATCAAGTTAGCATCGCGAACATTAAAAACATCATTAACGCACTCAATATCCCACCCAGTACCATGCATATTCATCAGAGAGGACACCGGAGCTGAACGGACCGATGGATGCAAGTCTGTCTCCACATACGGATTGTCATCAAACGGGAGCCAAGGGTCCGTGCCTATAGTTGTCTCACACCCGTCACCAATAGCCCTTCTACACCCCTCCCTCAAACAACTTTTAACCTCCAGCATGCCTCTCCAAACAAAAGAAGGATTACTTCCTTCCCCAGCATCAAAGAAATCACAGCTAGGGTAGTAACGTGCCTTGTACACGCGAGCCAACAGACTCGTGGGGTTGGTAATCAATCTCCAAGCTTGCTTGCCAAGTAAGGCCAAATTCATCTCATGCATGCGCCGAAAACCCATACCACCATTCGCTTTGGGCCTAGACAACCCTTCCCAGAAACACCACTTAATACCTCGTCCATCCCCAACCCTTCCTGTCCACCAATACTGGTTCAATATGACTTCCACCTCCCGACACATACCAATGGGGAGCAAGAACACCGACATTGCATATGCCGGCATCGCCTGCAACACGTTTTTCAGCAAAACTTCTCTCCCTGCTCTAGACAGAAACTTTGCATTCCATGACCGTACCCTAGAAAGTATCCGGTCCTTCAGAAAACCCAGGATGGCCTTTTTCCTCCTCCCCACAAGCGAGGGCAGTCCCAGATATTTGCCACTAGTCATCCCCTCCTCCACTCCCAGAATGTCAACCACATCATTCCGAATATTCTGCGGCACATTAGCACTAAAACAAGCAGCCGATTTATCATAATTAATATACTGGCCAGATGCCTTAGCATAGGTATCCAGAACATACCTCATCTGCACACTTTCCTCAACCGTAGCTCGCAGGAACAAGAAGGAGTCATCCGCAAAAAGGAGATGAGAAATGGAAGGCGCTCCCCTAGCCACTGTAACCCCATGCAACAAACCCGTAGACATTCTCCTCTCAATCATCGCACTCAACCCTTCAGCCACAAACAGGAACAAGTAAGGTGATAACGGGTTCCCTTGCCTGAGACCCCTACCCGGGATAATAGGCCCCACTCTCCGCTGCTCATGCAGTATATGGTACCGTACTGAGGTGACCGTTTCAAGCAAGATATTCACCCATTGCTCACCAAATCCCATTTTGATCATCACTGCCTGGAGGAATTACCACTCTACCCGATCATAAGCTTTTGACATGTCAAGCTTTAACGCCACAACCCCTTGTCTCCCCTGAGCCTTCCTCTTCAAGTGGTGATGCACCTCATATGCCAACATAATGTTATCCGTAATTAAACGGCCTGGAATGAATGCACTCTGGGCACCCGAAATCAAACTCTGCAACAAAGGCTTCAAACGGTTAGCACATACCTTATTCCTCCTGGAAGATCTTTCATCGTCTCCGGGACCGTCTTCTTCGGAACTAACACTATATATGTGTCATTTGCCCTATGGGGGAGCTTTGCTGTTTCAAGGAACCTTCTACAAAAAGCCGTGACCTCCCCCCCCCCCCCCCCCCACAATGTCCCAAAAAAACTGGAAAAACCCAGGTCCAAAACCATCTGGTCCTGGGGACTTATCCGGATGCATTTGGAACACAGCAATACGCACCTCCTCCATACTAAGAGGGTGGAGAAGCCTAGCATTATCAGCACCCGTAACCTTCGCTGAGATTGTTTCTATCACCTCTTGGAAATCCCCATAATCCGGCGAGAACAGACTTGTAAAATAGTTCAACATGACATTATCTAGACCCGCCTCATCCACCACCCAATTCCCATCCTCATCCTGGAGCCTCTTGAAGGTATTTTTCCGCCGTCTTGCTTTCACAGAGTTATGAAAAAATTTATTGTTCACATCCCCTCCCTTGTACCAAAATTCTTTTGCGCGTTGCTTCCAAAAAGAGTGTTGTTGCTCCAACAAGAAAATCAGGTTCTTCTCCACCACCTCATACTCACGCATCCCGGGCCCATCCCTGCGAGAACTGAGCAAATCCAAACGTCGTTTATTTTGCTCAATTTTCCACTGAAAATCCTTATTATAATGTCGTCCCCATCGTGCAATGTCACGGGCGCAAGCCTCTACCCTGGCCAAAGTGTCAAGCCCAACTGTCCGATCCCAACTATGTGCCACAATCTCTCTACACGCCTCCTCCCGAAGCCACATATTATCGAAACAGAATCTCGCCCTCCTCCGGACTGTCGGCAAGCTAACAGGTGTTAACATTAGCGGTCGGTGATCACTATACGGTACCGTCAAAGAGAGCGCCCGTACCCCTCCAAACAAATCAAGCCAACCGTCACTTGATAGTATGCGGTCCAGTTTCTCCTCTAACATTCTATCAGTGCCCCTGGACTTTACCCAGGTATATTGGTGTCCGCCAAAAGGGACATCCTGCAAGCCACTATCTGCCACCGCCTCCCTAAACCCATTAATCAACCATTCCGGATGTGGGAACCGTCCACGCTTCTCAAATTGGTCCAGGAGATCATTATAGTCACCCATAACTGCCCATGGTAGCCGTGATCGTACAGATAAAGACCGTAACAAATCCCAAGCCTCCCGCCTCCGTTGCCTCTGAGGGTATCCATAAAACCCCGTAAAACGCCAACATGGGCTTCCCACATCGAGCCTGACTTCAGTATCAACATGATTACTCGAGTACCCCGTAACCCTCAAGTCCACGGTATTATTCCATAAAAGAGCCAATCCTCCACTATGACCATCAGCATCTACCGTAAACACACAATCGAAACCCAAATGTACTCGGATTGTTTCCATTCGCTGCTTATCCACAAACGTTTCAATCAGATAAACCACACTAGGCCTCTTCGAGCGGACCAGGTCCGCCAATACTTGAACTGCCATCTGGTTGCCAAGCCCCCGGCAGTTCCAGGATATTATACTCATAACTCTCGGCGGGCTTGCACCGCAAGTCCCGCCTCCACTCCGTTTTTTGACAACATTGTCTCACAGTCCATACCATCATCACAAACTGCTGGATTTTCCTCTCCCCCCTCCACACGTCTCCTTTTCTGCTCCCCAATTACCAAACCTGCCACCAGACCAGTAGACCCACGCTGAAAATCTACCGTATTAACCCCTACTGCCGCAGCAATCTGCCCACAAGAATTTCGTGCCAACGGTACCTGCTGTCTAGACTCAACTCCAGCATCACATTCATTCCTTGCCAGTGGGCCCTGCTGGCATAAAGCAGTTTGTGCACTGCATGCATTTCGCGGCAGTGGCCTCTGTTGGGCCGTATCTACTCCAGTACCACTCACATCGTGAGCCAGTGGGAGCTGCTGCCTTGTTACACCATCGACATTCACCATCATAGCCGGAGACCTCCAGCCTCTCCGTTCCACCGCCGACTCAGGAGGGATCCAACACTGATTCAATGTGGGAGCACCCCGTCTCATTCCGGCTCGTAGCCATGCCTCATACGGCTTCTCCGCATTGGGATCACGATTCAACGCCAATGTACAGTGCTTGTCCCCATGCCCAATAAAACCGCAAAGAAAACAAAATGTAGGAAGTCGCTCATACCTGAAATCTATGAACGACCATGAACCCGTATCTCTTCTCAGTTTCATTTGCTTCTTTAACGGCTTCGCCACATCTATTGAGACCCGCACCCGATAGAAGGCCCTCATTGAACCATCGAAATTACGGTCGTCCGCTTGCACTACCGTCCCAAGAAACGCCCCCACAGCGTTAACTACTGCTTCCGAACGAAAGCCCAACGGTAGAGAGTGTATTTGAATCCAAAAATCTGCATGGTTTAATTGTACTGTGTTTGGATCATCCCCAGGAAGCAGCTTCTTCATGATCAACAAACTTTGTTCATACGCCCACGGTCCGTCATGCAATATACGTTGGAGATCCCCTTCATGGTAGAAACGAATTAGATATCGTTTAGGCTGTAGTTCACGCATGTTCACCCCCATAGCCGCTTGCCATACCCCTGCCATCGTATCCTGGAAAAACGGAAAACGAATCGGCTGATTCGTTACCAATCTCCCTACTGCGTAAAAACTATCATCCTCAATGGCGTGTTCACCCGCAACAAGAGGGAGCTGCACTGCGTTGTCATCGTCCTCCACATCCGCCAGAGTCAGCCCCGCACACAAGTCTTCCATGTTCCTCTCAGCCATTACTCCTGTCGACGAAGCCTGATTCCGTCCTCAAAACGCCGGCCAAACTCACAAAACCCGCAAAACCCTAGAGTGCTCGCGAAAATAGCGAGAGAGAATTAGCGAAGAAGTAGGAATTTTCTCACTCGATAAACACTACTCGCAGTTGATGATTCTAAAACTAGAAAACAAGAAACGTTAACGTAATATTTCGTTACTGAAATTTATACTGAAGGAATGAATGGTATTTACATATAATAGAGGGTAAGTGTAAAAATAATAAAAAAAAATACTAAAATCAAAATAACATGAACCATTCATTTCATCCAACAATTACACAAATATTTTTAGTTATGTTAGAGCATGACTTTATTGGCTCTTATTAGGTTTGTTATATTTGTATGTATATGTAAATTGTACATATCTACAATTTTAATAAGAGCGAATCTTGTTAGACCCTTAACTGGAATAAAAAAAATGTCGGTACAACACATGCTCTATCGAGTTGTACTCTGGGCTTCTGTAGTAGTACAATGCCAATTGCAAATCCTAATATAACCCTAATGCCAACTGCAAATCCTAATATAACCTTGTTACACCCTTTACACCGTCAGATTTAACGATTTAAGCTGAGCGGTGGCAATTTTGAAATTAACGCCAAATTGAAAGGCAATTAAGAGGGGGGGATTAACGCAATTCGAACAAGCGATCTGGAAGAAACACAGCAAAGAAATTACAGCGGCGATTCAGGAGGCAGTTCGAAGTAGAGATCTTCGGCAGCAGTTCGAAGAAGGCAAATCCGGCGGAACAATAAGCTCATGGAGATTCTCTCTGGTCCTTCCTCCGATTAGCTTCCGTCTTTTCTCTGGTATTCTGAAGGCAGTTCGAAGAAGCGATCTCCGGCAGCAGTTCGGAGAAGCCAAATCCGCCGGAACAATAAGCTCATGGAGATTCTCTCTGGTCCTTCCTCCAATTAGCTTCCGTCTTTTCTCAGGTAATTCGTTTCGCTGCCCTAATTTATCTCGCTAATTAATACTTTACATATTTGTTGTACTAAAAAACAAATACTTCACATCATTTGTGTGATAGCAAGGAGACATTACCAGGTGGGATCTCTGTCAATAAGAAGAGGGTCGAGAAAGGTCTCTCGCAACTAAAGGTCTGTCTCGGGGACAATTGCATATATACCATTCATTTTTTTTTTGAACCGCATATATACCATTCTTGATACGAGACATCTAGGTTGCTTTATTGAACTATAAAGCCTCATTCACTAGCGTATTCTGCAGATTGACATGCATAGATTTTCCTGGAAAGTAAGATTAAAACATAGAACTATCATCATGTAAGATAAAAGGGAAACTCATATCATCATACTGAATACTAATATTATATATTCTTTTTTTTTTTTTATAACTCTGTGATTGTGTGTATGTGTATAAAAAATTTGAATATATTGTTTTTAGTTTGTTTGGCTATAGAATAAATGTTCATTATTTTAGTAAGTTATGTTAAATGAAAGTATGTATAGTAAAGGGCAGAAAAGTCGTCAAGAATGCATAATTTGCAGCTGGCTTGCAGTTTGATTTCAGCAGTAGGGTGGTGAGGATGGGGCACTACTTTTTCTTGCTTAGATGCATATTCCCTTTAGCTTTATATGTCTAGAGATTTGCAAAGGTGGAACCAATTGTAAACTTCGTCTTGTGGTTCTAATCGGTAAATGATCACAATAAGATAAATCAGCCTAATTTAGAACATTATTAGGACTACAAATGTTGTCTGGTTCATAAACCTTGATCATTAGTATGCTACCAAGTACCAACAGTATAAAAAAGACAGTGCATAGTGCATGCAAGGATTTAACAAAACAATAACACCACTATTAGCTATGACACAATTATGGTTTCATTAGTTATACCTTTGTTTTTGCATGTTTGGGAGCTGCTTCAATATGTACTCACAAGATAAATCAATAAAACCGTAGCATGATAAGAGGCCTTGGCCAGCCATAAATTCTTCAGTCTGTCCACCCATGTCCAAAAAACAACATGTAACCAGGCAAGAAATTAAAATCACAGTTGAACAAAAGAAAACATTGTATTCAATAATCTATCATTGGAAAGTGTAAAGATCAGCAAGTTTCTTATTCAATTTCATTTTCTTTTGGCACCAAATGTCTATTTGCATTATACAGAGTAATTATATGTATGTTCAGTAATTTAACAAAACATTCCCATTTTTCCTCTATTTGGCAGAGCATTGTTCAGTGGAGTTATGATGAGAGTTTATCTGCTTATGATCTTTCCAGTACAAGTGATTGTGTGAATGGAGAATAAGCATGGAGAATAACAAAAAAATCTACTCTCATCTCTAATATCACTTGATTTGATGCTTATATAATGGACAGAGATGGTCATTAGAGCTTCTGTGTGGACTTATTTTTTCTATGGAATTGATTTTGTAGGCTTTAGAAATCACAACTAAAAATGCAAATGTATATGTATTATTCACACCTATAATTTAATAAATGGTTTTTCCGCTTTGTGTTGCACACTCCTTTATTTATTTATTTATTTATTTATTTGTGTTAATGTAGAAAGGTCAGAATTCACAATTGTATTCTCATTCATGAGTTTGAATTTATTGTTTTGAAATAGCTATGTTATGGAGTCTCGCGATTCTGAAGTCCCTGAATCCAGTCGTGATGCTCGGAATAAACAAAGCGAGCAGTATGCTTGTAATGAGAGTCGACGGGCAGAGAGGAACTTGAGACGCCGAAATGCTTACGCAACAATGGATCCTGCTAAGAAACGAAAAATGCTAGATGATATTAACGAAAAGCGTCGCATCAAAAGTAATGCAGCTAAATCTACACTAACTCACGACGTCAATGCTGGTATGCTTTTTAATAGTCAAATTTGTCTTACTATGAATTCAATTCTTAAACTTATGAACAGTAGAACTAACTTGTTTACTTGCATGCATTTGATTGATTATACATCACTTGATTATGCAATTTAAAAAAATATTATATGATATTTCAAAATGAATAAAGGTCCTTCAGAAGTAGTACTCAGACAAACTTCTCAAGAATGTTTGCAACACAACAATACTCTTTCTTCTAATCTCGACCAGTCTTTTGTGCTAAAAGATTGTTCTCCTTGTACCTATCGTAAAGCAAAACGATTCCAATATGAACCACCTGGATTTTGTTGCTCCTCTGGCCAAGTGGTTTTGGTGTCTAATGAAATGCCTCCGCTATTGAAGCAATACTTCTGTGAGAAAGATGAAGTGTCACGTCATTTTCAAGCATGTGTTCGAACATACAACAACACATTTGCATTTACTTCATTAGGAATCCACAATTATGACAAAAATTTATCCAGGAGGAATAAAGGAATCTATACATTTAAGGTCCAAGGACAAATGTATCATTTTATCAATGATCTGGTGCCTGGAAATCAACCTCCTAAAAACTTGCAGCTATATTTCTTTGATACTGAGCATGAGGTTGAAAATAGAATCAAAGGGGCAGAACGAATGGATGCAAGTGTTGTTGAAAACCTTATTGATGTACTTGGAAGCAATCCGTATTCACAATTCTTCAGAAATCTTAAGGATATATCAAGTATTGAAGATTGTAATATTGTAATTCGCTCAAATGCAACTCTAGATCAACGTGTTTACAACATGCCTACCTCTTCTCAAGTTGCAGCAATTTGGGTAGAAGAACAAGATGGTAGCGGAGAAAACAGTCGTGATATTAAAGTTTTTGCAAAAACTGGCCGTTCACATTCTGTCAAATACTATTATGGTTGTTATGATCCCTTGCAATATCCCCTGTTGTTTCCCCACAGAGAAAGTGGTTGGCATGAGGGTATATCTAAGGTACCTAAATCTTATACAAATCGTACCTCCATTTGTCAAGGTATTCTTCAACCTGGACAATTTCCTTCAATAGAAGCTTTGTTAGACAAAGAAAATGAAAATATTGTTGGTAAGAGCAAGCGGAACACAGTTTCATGCAGAGAATATTATGCTTATCGTTTCCAAATTCGACCAAATGATAAGTCTATGCTCCTACATTCAGGAAGACTGTTTCAACAATTCATTGTTGACACGTATATCAAAATTGAGACACAAAGATTGGATTATTTTCGAGCACAACAACGTGATGTTCGAACAGAAAGCATGCAAGGATTAGTGGATAGCATTGCATGCGGGGAAACAAATGCATCTAATGTCGGACGTAGAGTAATTTTACCTGTTTCTTTCATTGGAGGCCCACGGGATATGCGTAAAAGATACATGAATGCTATGACATTAGTGCAGCGATATGGTAAGCCAGATATTTTTTTAACGATAACTTGTAACCCAAATTGGCCTGAGATAAAAAATTCGCTTGAGTTTTGCGATGAACCTCAAAATAGGCCTGATTTGATTTCCAGAGTGTTTCGTGCTAAGTTGGAAGAATTGAAAGTTGACCTCATAAAGAAAAATGTTTTTGGATTGGTGATAGCATACACTTATGTGATTGAATTCCAAAAGCGTGGGCTACCACATGCTCATTTCTTATTAATTTTGGGAAAAAATCACAAATTCAAATCAGGTTTGGATGTTGATGCAATTGTTAGTGCAGAAATACCTGACGCTGTTAACAACTCTTCTTTGCACTCTTTAGTAGCAAAACACATGATACATGGACCATGTGGTTCAATGAATCCTGAAAATCCATGTATGGTTGAAAAGTCTGGTGCTAGACTTTGTAAAAACAAATATCCGAAGGGCTATTCGGATGCAACAGTTATGGGAGAGAACTCATATCCTACTTATAAGCGACGGAACAATTCACGCTTTGTCACCGTCCGTGGCCACCAACTGGACAACAAATGGGTCATACCATATAACGCATATTTGTTATCTAAATTCGATTGTCATATCAATGTTGAAGTCTGTGCAAGTATTAAGTGTGTCAAGTACATATACAAGTATATATATAAAGGCCATGATAGAGTTGCATTTAGTGTGTCTTCCGGAGAAGAAGTCATTGATTTTGATGAAATAAAAGAATACCAGAATGCAAGATGGGTGTCACCTCCTGAAGCTGCATGGAGAATATATGGTTTTAGCCTTGCCGAAATAAAACCAGCAGTAGTGGACTTGCAGGTCCATTTGGAGAACTACCAGTACATGAGGTTTGACAACAAACAAGATTTGGTTCACCTTGTGGATAATCAATTTAGCTCAAAGACAATGTTAACAGAATTTTTCTTCATGAATATGACTGATGAGACAGCTAAGAGATTGAATTTATTGTATCTAGAATTCCCCGAGTTCTTTGTTTGGGTAAACAGAGATAAACAATGGTATCCAAGGAAAAAAAGAGAGGTTATAGGTCGCTTGGTGAGTGTTAATCCCATTGAAGGAGAGAGATATTATTTGAGAATGTTGTTGATGAATGTCAGGGGTCCAAAATCATATGAACACTTAAAAATGGTTGGTGAATCTATGGCTACAACTTTCAGAGAAGCTGCAGAGAAATTAGGGTTGTTGCAGAGTGATCAAGTGATAGATCAATGTTTGCAGGAAGCCATGTGTTGGCAAATGCCTACAAGTTTTCGTAGGTTATTTGCAACCCTATTGATTTTTTGTAACATTCCTTCTCCCCATGGTTTGTGGACGAAATACAAGGAACATCTTTGTGAAGACATAATTTCATCATGTAACAGTATAATTGATGCTGAAAATAAGTGTCTCCATATGATAAGTGATATACTTGAATCTTTGGGGAAGAATATAAATGACTTTGGTTTAGTTTCTTATCATATTGGTCTTTCAAAAGAACAAAGAATACACAAAGAAATACAAGCAGAAAAAAATTTGCTGCCTAATGAAACAGATTTACTTGCTATAACAAAGTTGAACCAATCTCAGCGAGTTGCCTTTGACACCATAATTTCTAGAGTTTACTCAAATTCAGGAGGGGTTTTCTTTGTTGATGGCCCAGGGGGAACTGGCAAAACATTTCTATACAGGTGCCTTTTAGCCCGTGTGAGAGCAAACCAAGACATTGCACTTGCAACTGCAACATCTGGGGTAGCTGCATCTCTTTTACCCGGAGGCCGAACAGCTCATTCTCGATTTAAAATACCCATCAATGGAGATGATAAATTTGTATGCAATATTGGGAAACAAAGTGCTGAAGCCTCACTGCTTAGAGAGTGCAAGTTGATTTTATGGGATGAAGCAACCATGGCCAACCGTAGAGACATAGAAAATGTCGAAACAACTTTGCGAGATATAACAAACAATGACACAATCTTTGGTGGCAAAGTTGTAGTATTTGGAGGTGATTTTCGCCAAACATTACCTGTGATAAGATCTGGAAGCAGACAGGATTTTATACAAGCAAGTTTGGTTAAATCACATAAAATTTGGCCAATCGTTGAGCGATTGGTTTTGACAGAAAACATGCGGGCTAAAGAAGACCCATCTTTTTGTGAATACTTAATGCGCGTGGGAAATGGAACAGAAAAATATGTGGTTGGCAATTCTATTCAAATTCCAAGAGCATTCCTTGTCCCATCTACAGATGAATTACAGTCTTTTAATTCATTAATTGACATAGTTTTCCCAGATTTAATGAACTTCACTCGCGATCCTTATCCACTCATGAAGCGAGGTATATTGACACCGAAGAATGAATTCGTGGATGAAATTAACAACACCTTAATTGATAGATTTCCTGGAGACGAAAAATGCTATATAAGTTATGATGAGTTGCTTGATTCCACTTGCAAAAATGATTTTGTTGACTACTTGCATACTATCTCAGTACCTGGGTTACCTCCTCACAAGTTGATTGTAAAAAAAAATTGCCCAGTAATTTTGCTGAGGAATATTAATCCTGCAGAAGGACTTTGTAATGGTACCCGGTTAATATGTGATGACTTCCGTGATCATGTTATACGTTGTTTCATTGCTTCTGGGGAACACATTGGCAAACATGTTTTCATACCAAGAATACCACTTGAAGCTTCAAAGGATGAAAATTGTTCACTTCCATTTAAACGTCACCAATTTCCAATCAAAGTTTGTTTTGCCATGACAATAAATAAGGCACAAGGACAAACATTTGATTTTGTAGGGATTTACTTGAGACAACCGGTGTTTTCACATGGACAATTATATGTTGCATTATCAAGAGCAAAGAAAGCAGATTGTGTCAAAATATTACTTTGCAATACTCATCACGATACAACTACTACAGACCTAACTGATAACATTGTCTATCAAGAAATTCTAAATGAAGCTTGTGGATCACTTCTTTGATCTAACTAGGTTATTTTTTACACTTTCTGTGCGAAATATATTCATTTTAAAAAACAAAACATGCTTTAGTGAATACATTTTGATTTTAATATATTGTGTTTATACAGATTACTACAAAACGCATTCAGATGCTCGATTTGTCCAACTTATATTGACCTTGATCCGGTATCAATATAAAGAATTAATGATTACGGTTGTTCTCTCCAAGATATACAACAACACAACTCTCAGCAGCTATGACTATCAAGTAACCTTCTTCACCTTTTCCCTTTCTGCTCTAATTATGTATATTTGTTTATCCTTCATTGTTTGTGTTTTCCTATTCTTGATTTGTCAAGAGAATTGCCACCTGAATCACATATGTTGAAATTAAAAACTGGATTAGGAGGTTCAGTCAAGCAATTATTTGACAACCTAATCTTACTTGTGTTTAAGTAAAAGGAAATGAGAGTGAAAACTCTATCAAGCTTAGTAGTATTTTAGAAGGTGATTACAATCAGGATTAGATTAGTTCTGACCGGAAATGTTACCTCCCCACTCTCCATTTAGTAGGGAATAGTTCATTAGTTCACCTGTTTATGATTGGGTAAACACTATATTGCCCTTGGCCGCTTTCAAAAAATACTATATGGCGGCACTCTTGCTAATGGATTGTTTACATGAAAATAACATCAAACTCTCATTTCTTTCAAGAATTTGTTGATAAAATTAAAAATGATGTTATAAGTGAAACTGCATAAAAAAAATCATGCATGCTATATTCAATGAATTTCTTCCTTTCATACTGGAGTAAATTTTCACTCTCATATATCTGTCTCCATCAATTGTAATTTCTAACTAAAGTTTAATGAATCTTTGTATTGGCAAACAGTGGTTGTACCAGAAAGATTATGCACTGCGGCAGAAATAACATTCTACTTCAGTAACACCTTCACAACATTAGGGAGTTCCAGTTAACTAAACCCCGGCATAAATTGTAATTTGACTTCTTGGCAACCTGGTTGTGAGCCACGATGCGCTTCTCCAGAAGTGTGCTTCTCCAGCAGTGTACCAAAACTGGTAAGAGTTGCATACTCTCTTCTTTCTGTACTTATTTTTCTTGGTTCAATATTGCATCTGGCTCCTATTTGAAAGTAAACAAGGAACTTGATAAAGGGTTTTGGAGTCTGGACTCTTTTTTTTAATTTTCTAATTTTAATTGAAATGATATTGTATCGGTTTGCTTCGATCACTCATCCACTTTCTATTTCAGAATTGTAAAAGAATGGAAGGTAGATTGCGCGTCTGTGTTATAGGCTTACAAATCAATGAAATCGACCCATTCTGTCAAGACAAGATTATCTTGTATGAACAATGTGCAGATAAAAGGGTGAGGAAGATAATGCGTGTATTTATTTTAGTTTGTCCATTTGTTTGATTGATATTAAATTCTTACATTTTTAAATGATGATCATTAGATCTTCAATAAGTAATGTGCTTTTCAGTGGTTTGATGTGAACTTTCTGTGATGTAGGATAAGGAGCTCAGACGATGGATTCAAAATAGTGAGCATAAATTAGGCTTATCAATGCCTTTAGATCTTGATAAAGAACAACCTGCCCAGCTAGAATCAGAAGTCACTTCACTGGATAGGTACTTTAAACTGGAAAGTGGAATGGGTTACACTCCATTTATCAAATGGAGTGTGTATTTGGTGTTGACGTCCCCGAACCGGTAAGTTTCACTTTCAGCGACACACTTCAAGATCTCCAGTTTACATTCTATTATAAGAAACTCGCTGACATTATTCAAAACGATCATTTTATATATGTTCGTAATCTTGCAGCAAATTCCGAAATGGTGGATCTGGTTTTACTATCTAATGCCTACATCTTGGTCCCTAAACGGCATGCTTTCTTCGCAATATGGCGATATAGAGAAGGATATTGAGATTTTTGGAGAAAAGAAAACATAGGCAACCTTAATGAGGGATTATTTTGGATATCACCATGATCAATTACCCATTGTGGCTGTAGTGCTGATTCTGTTCCCTCTTTGTTTTGCCTGTTTATTCACACTTTGCATTTAGAAGTTGAACTTTCAAAGGAGGTGCTAGAAATTGAAATATCTGGCTGGTTTATGCTTGTGCAGAAAAACATGTTAAATATTCACTTTTACTATAATGTTTTGAGAGAATATTGTATTTTCAATGGGTAGATATGAGGATATCATACATATTTGTAGATTTCTTATGACTCATATCTGTGTTTGGAGTAAATACTCCCTCTCTCTACTGGACACACTGATTAGTTCAGAAACACAAAGTCTGTAATTTTTGTTTCCTTTCTGTTTCTTTGTCTATTTGGAGTAATACTCCCTCTCTCTACTGGACACACTGATTAGTGCAGAAAAACAAAGTCTAATTTTTGTTTCCTTTCCTTTTCTTTCTCTAATTGCTAGGAGTTGTATTCCCTAAAAGTGACTTCATTTTGTCTGCTAAATGTTAATCGCAAAAATTGGGTATGTTCTTTGTGCACATAATATTTGTACGAAAGTTTTACATTGTCAAAAAGATTAAGTGTTTATTAATAAATAAACTAAAAAATTATATGATTTATATATAAAATACTAAACACACACCAACCCGATTCAATCACCAATAAGATTTATTTTTATGCGTAGTTTGCTAGGCCAAGTTCAACATCGATCAAATATGGTATCGGTATCTATGCATCATCAACTCTAATATAATCTTGCATTGATATACTTTAAATACTTATATTAAAATATTAGTTAGACTGTACGTATCAAATGAAAACACAATGATTGCAGTGGCTCCTTGTTTAATCATAATTTTCTTACCTAATCTTCTATATTTTACATAATTATTTCGTAATAAAATTAATCAATACACAAATAGTAATTTATTTCCATATTACTATACTTTCTTATTTACTAAATATGTCATCTTCACTATATCAAATATATATACTTGTCATGTCATTATTACCATCTATATACAATTGTAATTTTAAATTAGAATATAGAATACAAATATTAATAGATTCCTAATTTCAAAATTAGAATATTGATCTCTTAAGTAATAAGATTTACTTGTTTAATCATAATTTTCTTACCTAATCTTCTATATTTTGCATCAATATTTCGTAAAAAATTAATCAATACACAAATAGAAATTTATTTCTATATTACGATACTTTCTTATTTACTAATTATGTCTATTCACTATATCAAATATATATACTTGTCATGTCATTATCACCATCTTTATACAATTGTATTTTGTAACTTATAATTAGAATATATAGAATACAAATCTTAATAGATTCCTAATTTCAAATTAGAATATTGATGACTTAATTAATAGGATTTCTATAATACAAATCTTTATAGATTTCTAACTACACCCTTAATCTACGTAGAACAACACTATATTAACCCCTGGTATTCAACAGACACAATACCTAACTTCTTTTGCAACACACTATTCAAGAGACATTCTACAGGTATGAATATAATAACTCTCCTACCATTACTACATAATTAATTAATATATATAAATAATATAATACTTCTTCTTACTCCTTATATTATTTCAATTTCAATCCGTAATCTATGATTTTTCAATTTATGTTGTGGTTCTCATTATATTATTTCTTTACATTCTTTATGCACATATTTTCAATGACAGAAAAATATTAGTCATGGCAAATGCACTAAACTTAATTGATATTGACACACAAACTGTGAGATGGAGTTGTAAAGTTCGTGTCATTAAGAAAAACGAACCAAGGAATGCTATTAAATCGCCTGACAAAAAGTATATGCTCATCATCCTCGAGGATGAAACTGTAAGTACATAATACAAAATTTTCCCCTTTCATCATTATTATTATTATTATTATTATTATTATTATTATTATTATTATTATTATTATTATTATTATTATTATTAAAACCTTTTTTCGTGTATTGTTATGAGTACATACTATTTATGGGCATGAATTTAGTGATGACTTTTATTATGCAGCGTCATTATAATTATTTTTTAAATAATAATAATAATAATAATAATATTATTATTATTATTATTATTATTATTTGTCATTTTTAAATTTATATTTATTAGACATGTATAGTTCTTTATTTACACTCAAATCAATGTGCTTTCATTCACCACCAACATCATTGTAAATGCTATATCTATATACAGGGAACTCGGGTTCAATCAATAGTGTTTGATAATGACATTGAAATGTATGATAGCACTTTAAAAACCAACAAGTGGTACATAATTTCAAATGCCATTGTCAAACCTGTCCAGACGAACTATAGAGTACTTGACAATAAATACAATTATACATGGATTTTAAATGCTCAGACCAGTATCCAAACAAGTGACAATGCTGACACACCATTGCCTACCATTGAACAATCATACACAGCATTCTCAGAATTCTATGAATGCATGAAAAAGTCACAAGAAATTTGTAAGTTAATCTTTATTACAACATCTTACCAATATCTATTCTAATCATATTTGAGTAATTATTTCTTGTCATCCCCTATGATAGCAATTGTAGGTATTGTCATTGACAAACTTGCAAAAGAATTCATCTCAACAATGAATGGAAAACAAAAGATCAATGACTTTATTGTTGTTGATGAAAAGTAAGAACCCTATTCTATTACTATTCTTATATTAAATAAATTACTATCAACCACATCATTTTTTTTACGTAGTACCATATTTAAAAAAAAAAAATTACAGTTTGAAGCCAATTATACTAACCATGTGGGGAGAATACGCTGACAAAGAGGGTTCCCTAATCACTCGAGAAATTGAAGCTGGAAACTACCCGGTAATATCAGCAGAATATATTGCAGTTGTTCACTTCAAAGGTAAAATCAAATTATTTACTAACATCATTTCAAAACTGCTCCATTTATACATTACCATATCTAATATACTATCCACTACACCAGGAATTTCTTTGACTACAAGAACAAATTCAACAATACTTTTACACCCAGAAGTACCACGAGTAGAACGTTTAAAAGAATGGTATGTTTTAAATTTGTTGATAAGTTATTCAATATACACACCCACGCACACACATTATTTTAAAAATTCATTTCTTTTGAATGTATTTTTAGGGGAACAAAGCATCGTGCTACACTTGATGCATTAAAACGCTGTCGAGACTACAATGACGCTGCCATAAAACTTGCAAATCCAGAAACTGCTGAAATTTCTACAATTGATAGTGTCCCTCAATCAATTGATCCGGTATATATAAAAAATTGTTTTACACACTAATTCAATATTTTATACTTAACATTAACATTAATTCTTTTACTCATGACAACTTGTAGATTAAACCTGTTTGGATAAAAGGGAAAATTAGCTTTAAGCATCAAATAAAAAACACATGGTACATTGGATGTAGTCATTGTATGAAAAAGGTTTACGCAGAAAGTGACAAACTATTTCATTGCATGCATTGTGGTGAAATGAATGCAGTGGGAACACCACGGTTAGTAACAATTTTTAAAGTCATTTTATTTATTTTTTTGTTAGAAGGAGGTCAATATCAATTTAATCATTACACAAACATAACACAACAGTGCTACTCTCAAATCACATAATAGGTGTAAACTAGATGTGCAAATTACTGATGGAAGTGGAGGCCTTGTTGCATCTGTGTTTGGAAAATGTGCTGAACAACTATTACTCTCAACGAGCAAACAAATTATGCAATTGGAACAACAGGTATTTCTCCTTTACCACCCACAACCACTCATGTTTTACAGTAAACTAACATAATGCCTAACTACATAAACATCTTGTAGGGTCAACAGCTACGATTTCAACATATCAATAACCGCTTACAAGATGAAGAATATATAATACAATTGAGGTCTCAATCCTACACACAACAAGGCAAAAGCATGATATCATATACCATAACATCATTGCACGATTCATTGTCATTCGCTACCACAAGTAAACAAGATGCAATAAACACACAACCAGCAAAAAGGAAACTCAACTTCACTAAAGATGGAGAAGATGAAGACAATTCCGAGCCTCACCAAACACGCACTAAGAAAATTTAATTTACTGTGTTCAAATTACTACTCTTTTCATTATTGATAGTCAGCTTTAGTTAGTGGTTTATTTGTTTTTACTTTTACTATAATCTAGCTATTTCGAATTTCTTCTTTAGTTAGTGGTTTATTTGTTTTTACTTTTATTCTAATTTAGCTATTTCGAATTTCTTTATCTTTTATTACAATATATAATCACCAAAACTATTTCAATATCTTTTATTAATTTCGCATGTTTCTTTCTCTCTCTCTCTCTCTCTCTCATTATTATATTATATGAATACTTTAACCAATTAAGAAATACTAATTTATAAATACACATTGGGCATTGGTCTAATCGCGCAAAGCGCGTGTCAAAACTAGTTTTATTATAAGAGTTATAAGTTAAAATAATGATAATGAATAACCCCGTAGTTTATAGCATATAAAATAATATGAAAAATATATGTTGATAAACTTATTTAAAATATATTTTATATTTTAATTGTGTTGGATCGAAGGACAAATGTGTCAAAAGACATACTGAGCAGTGAGCAGGCCGACTACATGCGTGCTTGAACGTTTTGATGCGGGCGAATAAACAACTACTCCCCCGTTTCCCGCCTCTTCCAGTTTCTCTCACATTGTGTTATTTTGTGACTGACGCTCTGAGATTGAGATTGGGTTTCTCTAGCAAGTCCGGGGAACGTAGCTATTTTGTGGAATGGTCAATGCTTGTATCGGTAGGTAAAACCTCTGTAGCACTGTTGTGTAATGTAGTAGTATTTATGTACAATTTGCTCGATTTGGAAAAATGTTCGTTAAATGGATTCATGTTTGCTGTTGTTGAATTTGCATTTCTTCAACTTGCTAAGCAAATTTATTATGCTGAACGACTATAACACGGGGAAAACAATAACACAAGGGATTAATGGTGTTTGATTATTAGATCACAGATCGGAAATGGTGTTATCGGTAGTTTGAATTTGGAAAATACATCAGATAGCAATCATCCGGGAAACTCATTCGGGTGAAATGCAAGCATCATCTCACGTATCAATCAATGCTTTAAGTGTACTTTGCTTCACAGTAATAAGTTATATGGTCTTATGATTGGATTTGTTTGCATTTCACATATCAGTTG